GGTGGTAAAGATCCTATAACGCCCTTTGACATGTCTCGGGTCAACGACGTCGAGAATCTGCTCTTCCGCTGCACCACATGCCGCAGAGGCTTCCACTTTGAACACTTATCCGAAATAACGCATATGACATGGCAGTGTGAGAGCTGTGCGTCAGTACCTGGAGAGGTTGGCGCGATAGTCGCATGGCGCCCTGTAGTCCACAAGTCAGATGCCGCGAAGGCAGCAGATAGGGAGTACCTCATCAAGTGGAAGAACAAATCCTACAACCATACTACCTGGATGCCGGGCAGCTGGGTTTGGGGCTTCGTGAATCATCACATGCGACGTGCCTTTATGAGGTCAGATAAAAGCCTAGAACCCTGTATGACCGCCGAGGAAGCAATTCCTGAGGACTTCTTGCTGGTGGACATTGTCTTTGATGTAAGATATTCCGGCGCCTCGCCTGATACAGGCCGCAAACATACCTTCGAAGAAGATGTTGCACGTGTGGATGATGTGGTAGAAATGTACGTCAAATTCAAAGGTTTACCGTATGAGGAGGCCACCTGGGACACGCCCCCCGAGCGCAGCAGCAACCCCGAGAGGTGGGAGAGTTTCCGAGCTGCATACGAAGACTGGGTCCAAAGGGAGTATACTCACATACCCAATCAAGACAACCTGAGACGGCGTATTGCTCATGTCAGGAAGCAAAATTTCAGTTCCAATGTTGTCAAAAGTGGGCAGCCAGAGACAATGACAGGCGGGCAGATTATGGATTATCAAAAGGACGGGCTTGACTGGCTCTACTACATGTGGTACAAACAGCAAAACGCTATCTTGGCCGATGAAATGGGTCTCGGTAAGACAATTCAGGTTATCGGTTTAATCGCAACCCTCGTTCAATATCATAAATGCTGGCCTTTCTTGATCGTTGTGCCAAACTCGACGTGTCCAAATTGGCGGAAGGAGATCAAAACATGGGTTCCCTCACTGCGGGTAGTCACATACTATGGATCAGCATTCTCTCGGAAGTTAGCGCAAGATTATGAAATGTTCGCTGATGACGATACTAGCCTTCGGTGTCACGTCGTCGTAGCTTCGTACGAAACCCTGGTCGACGACGCATCCCGGAGACTGCTATCGAAAGTACCTTGGGCTGGCCTCATCGTGGACGAGGGGCAACGGCTAAAGAACGACAAAAGTCAACTTTACGATGCATTGTCGCGAATCAGATTTCCATTCAAGATCCTCTTGACGGGCACTCCCCTCCAGAATAACATTAGAGAACTCTTCAATTTGTTGCAATTCTGCGATCCGTCCAAGAGGGCAGATGACCTCGAAAATGAGTATGGGGATCTATCAACGGAGAATATACTTGAATTACATAACATGATCCGTCCATTCTTTCTGCGACGAACAAAAGCTCAAGTTCTCAGTTTTCTCCCCCCGGTGGCGCAGATTATCGTCCCTGTTTCGATGACTACGGTGCAGAAGAAATTGTACAAATCCATTTTGGCCAAAAATCCTCAGCTCATCAAGGCGATCTTCAAGAGGAAAGAAGGCACTCGTGCCCTGAAACAAACTGAGAAACACAATCTAAACAATATTCTGATGCAGCTACGGAAATGCCTGTGTCACCCGTTTGTTTACAGTAGGGCGATTGAAGAGAAAACGAGCAACGCGGCCGTATCGCATCGGCATCTGGTGGATGCAGCTGCAAAGTTCCAGCTACTGGAACTTATGCTGCCAAAACTCAAGAACCGCGGCCACAGAGTCCTAATATTCAGTCAATTCCTCGAGAATTTGGACATTATCGAAGACTTTCTGGAAGGTGTCGGTTTAACGTATCTTCGCCTCGATGGGAGGATGTCATCGCTTGAGAAGCAGAAGACGATTGATGCATACAACGCCGAAGAGTCGCCGTACTTTGCATTCCTCCTGTCAACTCGATCGGGTGGCGTTGGGATTAATCTAGCTACCGCCGATACTGTAATTATCATGGATCCCGATTTCAACCCACATCAGGACATGCAGGCATTGTCCCGTGCTCATCGCATAGGACAAAAAAACAAGGTCCTCGTCTTTCAGCTCATGACCCGGGCAAGTGCCGAAGAGAAGATCATGCAGATTGGCAAGAAGAAAATGGTACTCGACCATGTCCTTATTGACCGCATGGTTTCGGAGGAAGACGATGGACGAGACCTGGAGACCATTCTGCGGCACGGTGCTCAGGCCTTGTTTGATGACGATGACTCTGGCGACGTGCGCTATGATTCCGAATCGGTTGACAAGCTTCTTGACCGCAGTCAAGCCGAGCAAGCTAGCACACCCGATGACAGCAATCAGGGTAATCAATTCAGTTTTGCTCGGGTTTGGGCGAACGATAACCAGAATCTCGAGGATCAACTGCAGAACGTGGAGGAAGAGCCTGCGCCAAGTGCAGATGTTTGGGAAAAGATCCTACGGGAGCGAGAGCAGGCAGCTGCCGAGGAAGCCAGACGAAAAGCTGAAACCCTTGGTCGTGGGAAACGTAAACGGACTGCTGTTGATTACGCGAACGACGCATTAATGGAGCTGTCGCCTAACAAAGACCGCCCTGCTCGTGAGCAGGCGGAGAGTGACAGGGAATTTAGAGCGGACGACGCAATGGAATCAGAATCTGATTTTGCACCCGATTTAGATTCCGACGACATGGGTCAGGTCGCTAAAACGTCCAAAGGTGAGGGCGCCCTTGCGTCGAGTAAGGTCATCTGGTGAACTAACAATGCCACAGTGCATGCATTTCAACGCGTCCCACAGCAGGACCTACCGCCCCCGCTAGATGGGAACGTAGAGCCCGTTCCTCATCAGGGGCCACCCTGTATAGCATGCAATCGGGTCCACGTGGTTGGACATTGCCGCCTGAAGATGGCCGGCGTCGAACACTGTCCTCTGTGCGGACTCGCCCATTATGGGTATTCGCGTACATGTCCGCATTTGCGGTCAGATACTCAAGTTTCCAGAATGCTTGCCGCCCTGAAAGAGAGTACTGAGGACCGTGAACTTGTCCAGCTAGCTAAGAAATACCTAAATGGGATCCGTGGAGACCTTGCACAGCGTAAGAGGAAGCAGGCCAGTAAGGCTGCATCGAGTCTCACAAACCATGGCATACCCACCACCAATTCTAATGCTAATCCCGTTGTGGCGACGGACTCTCCGATGATCGATCTTACCGGACAACACAACACACAGACCACACATGAAGTGCCTAGTGCCGTTGGCGCGACCAACTCCTCCACAATCGATCTTACCACAAACGATGGCACACGGCAGTCGACATATCAACAGCCACCGTGGGGGGCCTCTCAGCCATTTCCTAATCATTATGGATATTCGGGACATGGAGTATAGATAGGATTTAGGCGGCAAGGAGTGGATGGTGCATGGCGTAAAGGCATATACGGGGATTCCTCTCGGCATTATTGGGCGTACGGGCTGCAATCTTGCATCGCTATGGATGCATGTACATACTGAGTGATTCATAGACATCATATCCAATCATATCATTGGCATGACTGGAATTATCCGAACTGAACCTGAGGCACTTTCCCTTTGGGGCTGCAAACCAAATCGGTCACATGTTGTTGTGGCCTTTCGGTTTCTCCCGCCGTCGATTTCCCTCCTTGCAGCTGTCATCGCATTCCTCACTGGACCCCTGGCTGATATACTTACACTTAAAGCAGACCAAATCCCCTCTAACCTGACGAGATGGTTATATCCGGAACCCCCACCAAATCTTGTGGGATAGCTTCTTATCTTCCAGAAGATGCCAACATTTCTCGAGTCGCACAATGGTCTTGGTGAAAAAGCCGCACCATCGCTGATAGGGCTGTAAGTATAGAGAATATCGGCATTGTGTCTCAACTCTATCTCTATTTGACTAATCACAGGAGGCCATTTACTGATGATCTACTGGGCAGTTGGTGTCGCTATGTCACCAACACCCATGGTTGATATGGCCGTTTGTATCGCCACGTTTTATCGGCAATCAATGATGTCTCAAAGAATGAAGAACTGTGATCGACTTGGTTCATACAGAGGATGGGAGCTTCCAACGGTATCACAGCTTTCGAAAACACAATGCAAAGTGGTTAAATCATGTATACTGCCAACGTGGATGTTGGCAGCTTCCCGCCTTTGACAATCATCACAGGGAAACAAGGGAGTCCACGGGATACAGGAGGATCATGGCAGAAAGGGAACAATATAATGGCTGTCAAAGGGCTCCAACTTCCAAGGATGGGGCACTGTGTCCCCAGCGAAACCGACAAGACAGGCCAAAACAGCATGTGTGCCAAAGTGGGAGGGCTGCAGCCATCCGAGCCGGATGTTGTACTGGCCAACATCATCGGACAAACACTGGCGGAATTGAGCCACAACTGGACTGAAGTCGGGGACTGCTGTTGAAGCGCCTTGGGGGCTCTTTCACGTTACTCTCCTACTGCCTTTCTACCTTTTTGGATGTCTGCTCCGCAATTTAGCGGAACCTTCCTTTCTCTAACTGAGGGTGTTTACGGTGACTCCCGAATAATCTCTTGTATCCTGCACCTGATGCCCTCCCTCCTTTCTTACCTTTAATGGCATTGTCCGTATAAGCTTTCTTATCTTATATATTATGCAATCATCTATATTTAAGTTCTTCTGCTTGAATTTGTCCTTGTGATTCCAAATTTCCCGCGTCATTACTGTTATCCAATGCCCGCTGCCGGCTTCAGTGAATGGTAGTGACAATTTCCTGGCTCATACACCGAAGCTATTCACCACGCGCTCCGGAACGCACACTCGCCTACCGTCGACCTTATTTTCTCTCCCTCCTACCTCTTGATTCTTCTGGCTTCCTCTTGAACACCTTCATCTCTTTTCCATCTCTCTCCTCCCCCTTGGCCGCTTACCGCTACACTTGAAGCTAGGATCCATCACTCCCTCCACCCCATTTCTACACGAGACGTTATCCAAAATCCCTGGTTGCAGTTTTATGCTGCCAAGCCATAATGTCTTCCGCGATTCATCCTCAGTACTTCTGTACTCGTCCTAATGGCACCTTCACCCCCCTTATCGCTGTGGATGAGCTCCCCTCGCACATCTCGATTCGTGGAGCTCCCCGTGTGCTAGCAGCCAGTGAGACGCAAGGAATGACGAGCCTTGGGATTGTACAGACGAGGCCCCAGACCTATGTCGTTGAAGGAGCTAGCCCCGCTTCCACTCGAGGGACGTCCACAAATTCGACCGGATACCGCACCCGTGACTCCGATTTACAGGCCGCGTTGATGAGAGTCCTATCTGATGAGTGTCTTCCGGCAAACGAGCGTTTAGCTATTACATCGTTAATACAGCATGGCGTTTCTCGCGGCATGTTTGCACCCAGTTCGTCCAGTAACGGGTGGTTGGTACCAAATAGTGGCGGTGGTATCGCCGGCAATGTGGGTTCCAGGCAGGTGAGTGTTAATATGTAGCACTGCAGAGATTTGGGGTAGCAAAAGGCGAATAACTGACCCTCAATCAGGGACCTCACTACAATATCAAGAAAGAATACTGTTCGTACTGGATTCGTCATGGCGAGTGTGACTATCAGCAGCAAGGCTAGTTTTCAGGTGTCTGATTGTGTAGTATGACCACTAACATGACCATAGGGTGCCTTTACAAACATGAGATGCCCGGCGATCCGGCAATGCTTGAGAAGCTTGGCCTCCGTGACATCCCCCGCTGGTACCGTGAGAAGTACGGCATCCCTAGCCTGCTACCGAATGGACATGTTCATCCTCGTCATCAAATCGGCCATGCTCTGCCACTGACGGACAATGGCGGTTTCGGAGCGGTCCACAATCCATCCCGCCTCGCGACAAATGTAATCTCAGACATTTCTGATATTGAGAAGGAGTCTCGGCAGAAGACTCATTATGCTATTCAGCACTCGCCAGTTGCACTTCCTGGTTCGTCGCGGCCTGTCTATACAACCGCAGGACCGGCCAGGGCTCAGGTTCCTCAGAGGCACGGAGCAAAGAATTCCTCGAAAATGGACCTTTTATCCTTTGACCCTCTGCCAGAATACCCCAGCTATACGTCTGTGGAACCTGCGCCCGGGAAGGTACGCACACTGACCGGCTCAAATGGCACCGCCGCCTTTGCGAATGTCAATGACAACGAGCGCGAGGACTTCGTCCGCAGTATACAATCTCTGATGCCGGCTCCAATGTCCGGGAGCTCGGAGTACCTGCTGGCCGGTAGTTCCCTCTACAAGCCTCGTTCCAAGAAGGCACAAAAATCCCGCCGGTTGTATCAGCCCCGGCCTGCTGTCCCGAAGCAGGAATCCGAACCTGAAGCAGGCGAAGTAGATGTCTTCAGTGGAACTCATAGAGGCTATGGCACTGCTCCGCCGAGCGTTGCATCTCCTATTTCCAAGGTTGACCACCCGGGGGCCTTGGCCAGCCCGAACATCCGGTCTGCCCTAGATAGCGCGTCCGAGCCGGCTACTCGCGGTGCCTCCCCTTTAACCCAGTCCGGCACTGCATCTTCGGACTCGAGTCCTGACCATGTCCGCGACCGACACAAAGATAAAAATGAACACAAAGCGACCTTCGGCGCTATCGGTACCAAGAGAGGTTATCGTAAGTCGTCTGACGGATCCTCCGAAGGTGACCTCTTAGGCCTGGGCACCAAGGACGATGATTAAAGCCCGGCCGTCCAACCAACCCCGCCGCTTGGGTACTTTTGCACTGCTCAAACCATTTTCAAGTAAATATGAGGCGTAACTATACAAGGTCTCAATCCTTTATGATATGATACACGACACGGAAGGGAACGACTGCTAGTCGAACTAAATATACCTAACAACGTTCATGAGTCCGGCAGGTGTGGTTGGCTCAAGGATGCCAGGTCATTATATTATTGCCATCGGCGTTTAATTCTCTCTGGCTCTCATCTGTGCCCAGACCAGATGTCTCTCCTTTCGTTCTCAGTTTAGGTTGGAATGGGAGGGAGTGGTCATCAGGATACATACAACAGGCGCAAGGCGCGGCGGACTGTCAGACTTTCACAATCGAGGTTCTGTGGTGAAGGTTCCGGTGGTCTGCTTTGTCTTCTGTCCTCTGATTCTTTTTACATGTGTTAATTGTGAGTTTCGATTGCTGTTGTGTTCTCTTCTTTCTGTGTGTTTGTACCATCTTGCGTTCTCTGTTCCTCTGGTTTTTCCTTCGTTCAAACGGGTAGGTATGCTGGATATTATAGCATTTCTCATGTCTATAGTATCAGGTACATATCAGAACCTAATAATATATGGAAATTAAAATCAAGAGAGCCGTTGAGGGGCTAGTTCATCTTTATCCGATGCGGTTAGGTACGATCGGACAATGTCGGGATCGATAAAGGTAAGAAAACTAAATAAAGTGCCAGTTAACGATGAATGAGATATAATACATTGACATAAGATAAAGTGTCTAATACAACCGTGCGAAATATGCGCCGCCCTGTTTTGTCTGAGCTTACACAGGTCAAAGAAAATACTACAGTATACCCTCTCAAACAGACACATCAGGTTACCATATGGACATACTCCCCCCGTTTCTCGTAAGTTATAACGATCATGGTGAAGTGGGGTGTGGTGTGGTGTTTGTTTCCATTGAAATCCCTCCAAAACTCATCTCAGCTCAAGCTCAGCTCACCGAACCCTCTTCTTCTGAGCCTTCGCATTGACCTTCACCGCAACCTTCTCCCGCTCTTCCGTGGCCTTTGCGTTCAACGCAGGGTTCAAAGCCGGCAGGGTCCGCGCCGCCTGCAGAACGACCTTGTTGCCGTCCACCCGCTCCTGCTGCTGACGCTGTCTCTCAGCACGAGTGGCCTCCAGCTGCTTCTTGCGCTCGGGCGTCATAACCCAGGACTCAGGGAAGCGGCGCGTAACCTTGGGCTTGTGGTGACGCAGATCGAGAGGGATGTCGGCGAACGAGTCGCCCTCCTTCGCTTCCTTGATCAACGACTTGATGGTGTCACCAAGGTAGCGCTTGTTTTGGGCGCGAAGCGGGAATTTCTCGCAGGACATGCGCACAATATCGGTTTGGGGGTTGTAGCGGACACCGACGAGTTTAAGGAAGGTCTGGCGTTGCGCTTCGGTGAGGTATTTGGGGGTCAGATCTTTGGACGACAGCTCCACGACGACCTTGGGTTCGGCGGGGTGCTGCTCGCCCATGTATGTCGTGTAGCGGAAGCGGAGGATGTGAGATTCGGGAGGGAGAGTGAAGGGTTTGGCGAGCTCTAGTGCGGTTTATCAGCAAAAGGGATCATGTCTGGCATGGAGGGGAGACTATGTGGTATGTGGGTGACTGCGTACTGCTCAGCAATGGCATATCCCAAGCGGCGATTCGAGCGTATTCTCTGATTTCACGATGCTGTTCGAGTTGTGCGTAGGCCATGCTCGTCATTTCGTCATCGTTGAAATCCTCATCCCCGTCCTCGACGAGAGCCAGATCATCTGGTTCGTCTTCCGCCCAGAATCCGTTCGATCTAATTTTCGGTTCCTCGAAGCGCAGATATGTTTGTCTTTCGATCTGGAAGACTTCCTTGTCGAGCTCGGCGAACATGGCGGCACGGGCCTCGGGGTCGTTGTATTCGGAAACAAGAGCACGGTTCGCTTCGTCGAACTCCTGTCGCTCTTCCGGAGACATCAAGTCATATTGCTCCCGCTCCTCTTTCGAGAGGAAATCGGGCGAGTATTCGGGTGCCGGGGGCAGGTCCTGCGGACGAGGGCGCTTGGGCTCCTCAGGGACGGGCGGATCTTCAGAGACGAGGGAAATGGGCGTCACGGAGAATTGGCGGAAGGGGGTGACGATAGGCCCTCTCCGGGCCATAAAGAAGGCCGAGCGGCCCAGCGACCGAGCTACTGAGGCCATTGGGGGAGGGGAAAGTCTGGGGATATTGGGATTGAGAGGCGCAGTGGAGGAAGTTCGGCGGATGTTTTTCATTTCCTTCCATCGCCGCGTGCCACTAAACTGTTTTGGGAAGGCAGTGCCTTTCACCGCCGAACAATTGGCTGGAACTACTTACCACTGCTACTATCAACTTCGTACTTGCCTTTGCATCTTCCCGCGCCAACTCCATCCAGAGTCTGCCATGCTGGGTGTCAGTCTGTGGATGTTACGGCACTGACTATATTCCCTAGGGACTGATATGGTTGGCAAGATCGGCCACATTTGGAGTCTTGTTCCGTGCGGGATATCACCCGCCTACTAACCATCATGCCGTCCCCCCTCCCACCAAAGGCCACTACGAAGGTGTGCTTCGTGACTGTGGGTGCTACAGCTTCTTTTCATCTTCTTCTTCAGTCGGTACTATCAGATCAGTGTCTGCTGTCTTTACAGAAACTAGGGTTTACCCACCTACTTTTGCAATTTGGCAAGGACGGCCAGGCTCTTTGGGATGAATTTCAGAGCAGATGCCCCCCTGACAGTGAAAGCCGACATGGACTTGAGATTGCCGGATTTGACTTCAACCAGGCCGGACTAGACGAGGAGATGGGCTTGACTCGAGCTGATCCGTCTGAGGGTCGAGTCGGGGGACTAATCATCAGCCATGCTGGTAATGCCCACGTCTACTGTATCTCCAATGCCTGATTGAGGTGGCTGACATGGTTTGGGTCCAGGATCGGGAAGTATTCTTGGAGCATTACGGCTTGGTGTGCCGCTTGTTGTTGTACCGAACCCAACCCTGAAGGATAATCACCAGGAAGAACTGGCACGGGAACTGCAAGAGCAGGGATATGTTGTCGCCAGCAACTACTGGTACGCTGCTTTTCCAGTCTTTAGGGTCGGGTGATGTTGACGAGCTCACTCCTCCAGGGAAATTCCGAGTGCACTCGCTCATGCAGAAAAGCTGCGAGCCCAGATGCTGGCTTGGCCGCCTGTGTGTGGAGTAAGCCAGCGGCGCCAGCCAACGCTGGAGAGCGTGATGTCTGACGAACTGGGCTTCTTAGATTGAAGTCGCCTTTGGGTTTCTATCACTAGCACCGGCCGCATCCAGTCTGCTGGGCGCATTGATAGCGATTCAACTGTAAGTTGTATGGGATGAAACTGCCACCATGTGGTACGACTATAATTATCGCGACTACGGAAGTCATCTGGTATCTGGCTACGAGTCTTCAATCAATAGGGGTCTGGAGACTGAAAAGCTAGGGAAGGTAAAACAAACGATTTTGGGACTGGACTCGCCAGTGTCTTGGGCAATCCGCCGTATTGTGGCTTAACAAACGCTTAGATATAGGTTATTGGCAATGTATCTGTAGGAGTAGCCGATCCATTTGGGATGATTGAAGGAATCAAACATATTCATATCTTTAATGATTGACTGGCTAGTGAGGCAAGTAAAATGATCAAATTGCATTCTACCTTGTTATGATGGATCGTAGATAGAGCTATAGTTGGGATTTCGGGGACTTTGAAGCGGCGCTGGTCTGTGCTTCCCATTCCTCGACCCCAAAAACATACGCGCAGAACAACCCGCAGCTATCCTTCCCTCCGGCCTGGCTTGCTCTACTTTGTGACCTTGCAGAAAAGCAATCGAGCTCAAGCACTTCACAGAGAAAAGTTCTGCGACATCGTTCGAGTTCCGCATCCTCGCCCAGCAACCGACCAGGCCGCGGGGCCTCTCCGTGCCTTTGACGACAACAAAACACCCGCGCCCTTCGATCTCTCCTCCCTCTTCCCCGATCCCCAATCCCCAACATTCTCCCCACGCAATGGCAGAGGCCACCCTCCACAACGCTCCGATCGTCATTGACAATGGCAGCGGGACCATCCGCGCCGGCTTTGCCGGTGAAGAGATCCCCTCCTGCTACTTCCCCTCGTTCGTGGGCCGGCCCAAACATCCGCGGGTGATGGCCGGCGGTCTCGAAGGCGACGTCTTTATCGGACAACGAGCTCAGGAATTGCGCGGCTTGCTCAAGATTCGTTACCCTCTGGAACATGGGATCGTAACAGACTGGGATGATATGGAGAAAATCTGGCACTACGTGTACGAGAACGAGCTGAAAACGCTGCCGGAGGAACACCCCGTGCTCCTGACAGAGCCACCGCTCAACCCACGCAAGAACCGCGACGCTGCCGCCCAAATCATGTTCGAAACATTCAACGTTCCTGCGCTGTACACCTCGATTCAAGCTGTGCTATCATTGTACGCGTCCGGTCGGACAACAGGTGTGGTCCTCGATTCAGGGGATGGTGTGTCCCATGCGGTGCCGGTGTTTGAAGGTTTCGCGATCCCGAACAGTATACGGCGGATTGATGTGGCGGGTCGGGATGTGACGGAGCAGTTGCAACTACTGTTACGAAAGAACGGACATGTGCTGCACACCAGTGCGGAGAAGGAGGTCGTCCGCATGATCAAGGAGAAGGTGTGCTACGTTTCGCTGGATCCGAAGCGAGAGGAGAAGGACTGGATGAATAGCTATCACAAGTCGGAGACGAAGTCCGTCGACTATGCGCTGCCTGATGGGCATAAGATCAAGGTACCTACTTTTTTCTCCTAGGTGTTGCTGATCGGATTGAATGGGGCTAATGGCAAACCATGACAGATCGGACAAGAACGCTACCGCGCCCCCGAGATCCTCTTCGATCCGGAACTTATTGGCTTGGAGTACCCCGGTGTACATCAAATCGTGCAGGACGCCATTACCCGCACGGATCTCGACTTGCGGAAGTCTCTCTACCTCAACATCGTTCTGTCTGGTGGATCAACGCTGTGCAAGAATTTCCCGGACCGGTTGATGCGCGAGATCAAGCGTCTGGCCGTGGAGGATATGAAAATCCGAATCTCTGCTCCCGCGGAACGGAAGTACACGACATGGATCGGAGGTGGTATTCTTGCTGGCTTGAGCACCTTCCGGAAGGTAGGTTTCTATCCTGTCACCCTACATTATGGAACCTTTTGACTAACTCCTTAAAACAGATGTGGGTGAGCGCAGACGAATGGCACGAAGACCCCGAGATCATCCACCGGAAGTTCGCCTAAGAAGTGCTTGCCTTATCGGATGACACCAATCTCAGGGACCTGCACGATCAACGTATCCACTTCCGCACCTGCAGCTCGCAGACTTCGCGACAGGATCCGTTCACTGCAAGGACTGAACATGCAAGCTACTAGCTAGAAAAGACATCAATGGTGATGCTCACAATGGTCAGCAGCAGCTTTTAATAGATACCCCTCTTTTCTGTTCGCCTCGATTATTCAAGCTGCCATACCCATCTGCCACTCATACTACGCTTTTAACCTTCCACTATATTACTATCTGATGCAAGATACATCTTCTATGTGTGGTGTTCTGTGTCTATTCCGCATCGGATGAGCTCACTAGCTTATCTACCTATCTCATGCTGTTTCCCTTAGCCTCTAACCATACATACCTAGCGACATGTACTCCGACTACGAGGAAAGACATGAATCTACATTCTACTTTGCTTTACTACTTCTACTTTTCTCCTTTTTTCCAATCATATCTCCTTATTTCTCGCTGATATTGCGTGCTACGCTCTGAAGTTTTGTGTACATATTGGATGGATAGATGAGAATATACGAGTCCTACAAACAATCTCGTGATTGTGTGGCCTGCCGGCGTTCATTTGGAGCTAATAAACCAAAATCTAGTGACAACATGCTGGGCACTTTATCATGTATGATGATGATGGCTATAGGAGATGAATAATAATATGAAGCTTCTGCATTCGCATAGGAAGTACGGTAGAAACCTTTCCAAAGAACCAAAAACTATATTGATTTTCTCGCTTTGATGTACACCCTATCCAAACTGGAAGAACTGAAGTAATGGACATAAGATACTCTGAGAAGCTTTGGCAATAAAGGCCCTTATCTGGTCGTTAGCACCAGTTTCAGCTATAGAGAGAAGAAACGAGAAGAAGAAAAAGAAGGGCCTTAACCGACCCTCCACCAACCAAAGCATTGATGCTTGCTTGCTATGGACCACTACTCGCCGCATTGAGGCCATGCTCCCTCACACCATAGAGTTTTCCAACCATCATTCCAACAGCTACCCCCGAAGTCATCATAACAGTCGTGGGTGATGTATCCCAAATCTAAGAGATCCTTTGCATCATTAATATCGGGTGGTAGCCCACAGATGAACTGCCCCTGTAGGAATATCCCTCGTGTCGCAATAGTCCGCCTTGTCCTCTGGACAGAGTGATGCGGAGCCCAACCGAACACTTTTTCCTTAATCAATCTCATACATACTGTTGTCGCAGTCTGCCTTTGCCCCGGATATGGCGATGAGAGCTACTGCAAGGATGTTCCAGTAGATCATGATGGTGAAGATGGGTTTTCAGATGGTTTGAAGGGAGGTAGTCAGACTGTGCATGGGGGTTGACTTCATATACCACCAGCGCCATAACATTGGATGCTGACAGCGGTATAGCTGCTCTAATGGCCGCCTTTTACTTGCCAATGAGAGATTTGTATTCAGACTCGGGATGAGAAGCTGAGGATATAGGAAATTCACACTAAATGTCTCATACGACGGATGTGGTCTCAAGGAATGTTGCAGTATCACCTTGTTGGCTCCTCAGCATGCATAGTTGAGTGCCTCACAACAAATTCGCGGAACCTTGCGCTATCGCTTCAAATCCGTGTGAATGAACAATGGAACGAGCTAGGATGCGGCGTATGCTGAAAGCACTGCGAAGCTTGGTATAGCTGTCCGCCTTTCTCGAAGCATACAGTTCGCGCATTTGACGCCGTTGCATCACCCAAGCTTCCAAAAGAAGACGAATCTTCAGCTTAAACCCATCAAAATGACATGATCCTGCGGGGAAGGACTCACTGACAAGGTGATGAAGATCATTCAGATGGGGTTGGAGTGCTGGTGTCGCATGCATGCGGCGGATGAATTATCCATTGACATTTTCGCGTCTAGACCAAGGCGTGAATATGAGCCAGCTGGGTGCTTTGAGTTGAATCGATCAGTAGATGGGTAAGTCTTCAGTGATGGCAGGACTGTAGTTCTAGTAATAAACAGGAGCAGCGGGATGTATGCAGACGGGAGAAGTAGTTACTAGTTGAGGAAGGAGCGTTTAGCTAACGCTGCTATCTAACCAATCTTCATGTGACACCCTAGACTTGAACGTCCTTGTCACTGGACCAGAATTCTTATACTCCCATGTACAATCTATTGCAGTTTGTTGTCTCTCTGCCGTATCTACTACTGGATGACAGCATACTCTACCCCCTCAACCAGAGGCAAAGTCTTGAAGAAGCCGACATTTCATCCCAGTCAACCCCTAGAATCAGCAGGACCTGTTGGAAAAAATACATTAAAAAGGTCATCTACCAGAAAGATCCACACAGTACCTAATAGCTACTAGTGATCTAGTAAGTGTACAACAAATTGCCAGCCAGCCAGCCAGCCAGCCACATGGGTAGTCCCGAACCAAACCACCACGGGCGTTTGTTTACCTCTTCCTCCTTCGTGTACACATACGCAAAACGCATCTAGTCTGCCTAGGAGGTCTAGAACACTCCCGACAATTCTCGTCTGAGGTAACCAATTTCCCTGTATCGACGTAGGTAGAGTAAAGCAGATGGTCAGCGTCACTGTAACCCTGGCCTAGAATGAGATTGTCCAGACATAATGTTTATTGTCGAAAGAGGCAGGTCGTGTCATTAACTTGTTAGATGATGTCAAGTCACGACATCAAAGATCGGACATCCCGTCATTCGCTGAAGGTATGGTGCATCTAGATGGGATCTCGTCAAGTCGTTGACGATGGGGTCCGCGGCCCCAGGCGGTCTGGTGAGGTAATTGTGGTTACGTTTTGTGTAACGGACGGATTCGGCATCATTACGTGAGATTGCACAATTTGTGACCAACATTAGTTGTGCCACAACCTAATACTACTTTGTACGCAGTGGAACTGAACACGATTCGGTTGGGGTTGTTTTTGCTTGGTTTGATTTCACAGTTAACTAGTAAGGTACATGGGAAATCTTGGCTCTATTGGCCAGTGACACAATATGCTGTGGTAGTGAAGCAAGGAGACGCAGTGATCGATCCTATGCTGTAAACAAGACAAATCCAGTCATTGTCCTAAAAAAAATACAAAGGAACAAATGAACAGGGCAATGTCAACGCCATGCTGATGTCCGCGCATGTAGACGAGACCATGGCTAAAGGGGTATCATGTTGAAGAGTGTTGATGTGGAGGTTGAAGATTGAAAAGGAAAGAAAGATGAGAAGAGAGCTGTAAGTTTGGAGGGGGAACAATAGCACCCCATGATTCGAATCGAAGCAATCAGATGTTGTTGAAGGGAGATATGGGGATTAAAGGCGTATTTGAGTGAGATGATAGAGGTGAAGGTAGCAATCTTCGAATTCAAAGTCGAATGGTGAAAACAAAACTTTTTTGGTGGTCGTAAGTCGTGAGTCATGATCTGTTGATGCAACGCTGGTAGGCGGCAATGGGCACAATGGAAATAGCGCTGAAGATGGTCGGAAAGAAACCCAGTTTCACTCCCCCCTTGCTCTTCATACCTATGCCATGCCCCTAAGCTTGCCCCAGCCCTTCTCAAGACCGCGGAGAGCCCGTTCACGAGTAGAACCGGAGCTACTCGAGCTGCTGCCGGAGAACTTGCGGCTGAGGGTGCTGGATGAGTCGTCGCTGAAGACCATGTTGCCGGCTCCACCACGGCCGACATGGTAGACGGGGGCAGCACGGCGGAGATCACGCTCAAGCTCTTCGTCGAAGCTAAAGATGGCGCGCTCGCTGCTGCTGTGGACGTTGCCGGCACCGCCACGGCCAGACTTGAAGGTGCTGGGAACATTCGAGTCCAGGCGGGTCAAGGAAGCAGGACCGGTAGCCGTGCGGGAGTCGGTGGTCTTGGTACCCTTCAGGTTGATGACATTGCCAGCGCCTCCGCGAGCCGTGTGCAGAGCAGGGCGGCTGGTATGAGGGACCGACGGATGCGGTTCAACGACACGGTAATTCACTGATGCAGGCATGGTAAATTGAGGTGTGATAGGTAGTCGTAGGTAGGAGAGTGGTGTTTGTTGATTTGTTGTTGTTGAGGATGCGTGCAAAAAGTGCTGGCGATGCGGGAAGTATAAAATGCGCAGTCTATGTCGAATTACTCGAATTATTCGAAACGCGGAAAGTCAATCCGATTTGCGATAATGGCGTAATAAACATGTAGACGCAATATGAGTCAATTGGATACGAGGTGTGTAGGCAATGAGGACCTATGGTCGAGTGGTTCGCGAAGAGGTGGTGGTTCTTGTTTGTTTGTTCAAGTGCGGTAGGCAGAGAGTCAGACAAAGAGGAATGAAGCAGAAGCAGTCTGGGAAAGAGACTATTAAGAAAGGAGAGGAGAAACTAAAAATTTTCCTCCTGTGCTTTTTTTTTAGTGGTATGAATGACTCTTCAAACTGGAGCTGATGAGAATCCACTTCTATAGCCTGGAACCAGGCCTCGTAGCGGGGAAGGAGTTATATAGTTGGACGCAGGCGAGCCGGTCCCAGTGAGTTACCGGGGGAAGAGTCAGGACGCCCCCCCTTCGTGACGGCAGGCAGGCTCATGATTGCACCATGGCCACTGCGTGGTTTCCATTTCCAGGCACCGCGCCAGGGTCACGCTTGGCTGGGGTGGAGCTGCCCAGCAATTTTCATCCCCAATAAATCGTTACTAGTAGTGACTTGGTTGAACCTTCCCTCTTTCTGCATTCTGCGGTTATGCGCGCGCTACTCCATCATCACCGCTGCTTTCAGCCCTGCAAATTTTCACCCCGTTAGGGCGGCACCCAAAACGTGCAACATTCGCAGCCAATCATTGTCCGTCTGCCCTCAGTCTTACAGTCCCATTGGTCGGTCGTTGACCCACCGCCCCTGCCTATCCTGGCTGCTTTTAGGAATTTCTGTGCGATCATCTGACATGCACGGCGCCAATCCAAGGCGTGGCGAAACGTAACAGAAATTGGCGCCAGAGCCAATCACAACTCATGGATGGTCCCGAGGGCTGGCTCTGGTGGTTTCCTGGGGGTAATGGAAATTGCTGAGTCGGTCACGCGTCATCGGCCAACACATTGCGTGCGGCCTGTTCTAATTCTATTTGGGTCGATCCTGATGAATGAGGGGGAAGACACTCGCAATTTCGCCATCAATAATAGCAATAATTCGGTGTATCCAAGGGGCTATGGTATGCTTGGGCCCGGGGCTGAGTTGATGCTGCTTCCTTGGTCTTGGATAATACACAGCCCGTCTACAGTCTTCTATTACTGTCCATAGTTTCTACTGGAATACTAACTAACACGTAGGAAACTGACTTGTTATTAGCTTGGCAATACCTCCTACTATGGACTTACTCTATTCGGCACCAGCAAGAAAATACTAACGAACTCTTACCCCACAAACAGTTCGTTGTCCACTTGCACTATCCCCTTCCACTATACCGTATAATGCCCAATATCCAAGGCAAACCCTCGTGGCTTCACCGTCAGCCGGTCAACCGGTTAGAACATTCTACCAGTCCAGGACTATTAATCCCCGCAACTATTAGATCCCGGTGCTACCTGAAACCGGCAGCAGCACAGTTGCATCATCATTTGTGCTGCACCTGAAATTGGAAGCGTCAGGTTAATGGCTAAACTCTGATCCCCGGTAGTACCGAGGGGGAGGGGGTTTTGTTCTTCACGACCACGGTGAAAGGCATCGTCCAGTCAAATCCCGGTTCACACGTCTCAGTTAACCAGACTTACAACTACTGACAGGACGGCGTCTGCTGGAAAGGCAGGTACCGGGAAAGATGCCCAATGCTAAAGGCTCAAAGAGGCAGGCCAACCAACTCCGTGTGCAGGATAATGATGGCATTCTACATGACAGTCACATCTGAAGTCAAGACTGGTGTGGAGCGTGGGATTTCCTCCTGGGAGTGACTAAGACTTTGCCGGGGCTGCCGGTCGAGACCAATTTTAGTGCAGAAATCTCTTTCAGTATGGAGACGGTTAGCGGAGATCATCAAACAACAGCCCCTCACCGCATCATCCGGGTCCCCATCTGACTGACCCTCATTGCGCCCCAATTTCTTCTGCGTTGGCTATTTGGAGTCCTTTACTCGTATGATGTTGTGACCGGTGTGCGTTGGACATGGGGCGATGGCAGGAAATTGAGGGGACTGGATTTTGAGGGATCTCCCCTGGCTGTCATGAGATCTGAACAACATGAACGGAAAATTGAAGAATGCCTCAGGAACCCCACTGCCATCCACCGCGCTAAACCCGAGTAGGACAGCTTCCCCAGACGGACTGCCGAGGGGGCGCCACTCCCAAAGAGAAAATGACTCCATAAATCTGGAACGATCGAGAGGGGAAACTGACCAGAAATGCCTCACTCACGATGAGAATGACACGAATCACCCTCCGACCATCGTGATTTCTTCTAGAGTGCTCATCATCCCCCACCTGTCACGACTATTACCATTAGTCAAATGAAATGTATGCTAAGGACCAACTTGACAGACTAGTGAAGCGCTCACGGACTGCATCTCCTTTCCTAGGGGGTCAGGGGTACAGTCATCTAAACAAAGCAACTCATCATCTCAGCCCCTGAATGGCCACCTCAACCGAGCCGGTTGGACCGGCAAATGGCCGCCATTCCCGTTGTTCCTGCAAGCGTTTGGTTCCCGAGGCAAAAAGGAAAAGGCAAAGAACTTTTGCGAGGACACGTCGTTGCTTCCCCGGATTTTCAACCCCGGAGCATCCTAGTCATGCAGGTCTCATCACTCATCACACCCGGCTGACTGCCACCACCGGGACATGACGTACGAGTAATTTTTCCGTGCAGGATATAGACTACCCCTTCTTTCAGCTTCCGTTGCCAGGAGGTCGTCGAAGTTTCCATGCTTCTGGACACGGCCACCGCCTGACTAGGTGCTCGTGTGCTCCTTTTCCAACCATGTCTGGTGTTGTGACCCCTCGCTCGTATTTCCCAACATTCCTATCTTGCCACTTCGCCATGGTCAAAACACAGGGGAACACAATGATAGACCTCATCATACATTGTAGTCATTTGAAGAGTTTAACTAAAAGTGGCATACCGCATCAACCCCTCGGTCCCTTGCGAGTCGCTCAGGCAGTTGTCGGTCACGACATCGCGGATCCCTTGCTAGTAGGTCGTTACCACAAGATCAGGGAATAGTGATGGCACCAAATTAACTGCATTTCGTTATGTCCTATCCCATAGTTTTGGGACAGTCCCCCTTGCGTTTGTCGGCCGTTAGGCGGCTCATGGGGTGATGCGGCAATGCTTGCTAGTCTCACTATTTGGCTGTCATGTCAAAATCTGGTTTTTAGGATATGACATTCTTCTGAACATACGGATCCCATGAATATTACAATCACAGAATGCAGCGCTGAACCTGGTCTAAGTGTGTATGCTTCGAGTCCACTAATTACTCCATATATTCCATATGACCAGTTATCCTACTACCTGTTCTTCAATCAACCCCTCACATTGCTCCCAGGAATAAACAGGATAGAAGTGATAATAAAAGTAAGGGGTCTGTTTCTTACCATATTGGACATTCGAGCTCCTTGTTATGTAAACTAGACAGGATCAAGCAGCTTCCGTGGCCGTTTCGTAGAGCCTACCGCGCTGCCATTGATTCCAACTACAATTCATATATCCAGAACATGAATACCAGCTATCAATAATGTCTGCTCCATAAGATGCTCAATTGATACACCTCAATAGTATATCTTATAGAAAAGAAATGCTATACAAGTTCTTCTATTACCACCACTAAACACAGCGAGCAGTTCTGCTCTACACCCACAAGCTCAGTCAGCCCAAATAATTCTGCTACCTCCCACCGCCAAAACATACAGAAATCTCGGATGGATTTCTGGGAGTTGTATGTTTCCAAAATCCGCTAAATCCGAGGTTTTTTCAACGAGGTTCACTGGTTTCTGCCGTCTTGAGCGGTCTGTAGAGCGGTACGGGGTTATTTTTGGCTGGAGGACTAAGGTAGTCCGGCTACAACTATAAGACGTCGGCTTTTGCCTGAGTTGCTCTACGTCAAGTACGAATTGCCAGTGTCTTGCGGCTGACTCCGTTGATTCTAGCTCTCTTGATATATATATACTGAAGATGTTTTCCTCCACCTTGCTTTCCTCTTTCACTCCCCAACTAGCCTCCCAGGTCCTCGTCTCTTGAAGCTCGAGTATACGCTCTATGCTATTGAAGTGGGACTTCATCTTACCTCACGGTAGACCAGCTAAGTAAATCTGAAAATGGAGAGACCATTGAGTTCAGGCCGAGATGAAGGTCCACCCTTAACAGAACCCAAGTATGCTATTCTGCCCTCAACTGACCTCGCCTTGGTCGGGAAGTATCCCCCAGAGATATATAAAGGCATTCATAAGCTCAAGGAAACAATCAAATCCACATTTGATACACTCGAAGAGCATGATATCGACTAATACCTGTCTCTAGGATGTGTGTCTGGACAAGATTTTCAACACCTGGTCGAGAATCGCCAGCAGCTATGTTACTCAGTCAGGTTCACATACTTCCCAGATATCAAAACACTTATTGTCAAAATTGCCATACCTAGGCAGAACGCGGCTCGCATGGCATTTAGGCGAGAGATCACCTCCCAGTTAAGGATCATGAGCCTCGGCATCGAGGAGCGTCCTGCCCTATGGCCGTCCCTGCACATCAGCCCTGCAGGTTCCATGAAAGAAGCAGACGATAGTTGCTCCCATCCTTTAATGAAAACTAGGAATGAGGATTGGCCAAAAATCGTCATTCAGAGTGCGGTAGCAGAATCGATGCCCAGACTCCGCCAAGATGCCTCCTGGTGGATAAATAACTCTAAAGGGCAAGTACAGATCGTGGTCTTGATTAGTGTGCGCAAAGATAGTAGGAGTATAGTATTCGAAAAGTATTTCCCAAAGTTCAGTGTTCCTTCCGACCCCGGAGCGCAACCTGGGACAGCCTATATTCCAGACCTGATTTCAACTACTGAAGTGTGCTATGGAGATGACCCTCCAACTGTTCGAGGCCCTCCAGTCAGGTTGGAGTTCCAACGCTTAGTGGGTAGAAAACCACTGTTGTCTGAGAAAGACGTCATTCTGTGGCCGGAGCTGCTCTTGGAAATCGCTGAAGACATCTTTGAATATGACGGATTTCCCCCGCTCAGACTGGCACGGTACAAAGCTCCTCATATGTTAAGCCCTCACCTGGGTCGTGACGCCGTCCTTAGTTCTAATGGATTCCTTGGGCACAGGGCCAGGACTGAAAGGGTTGAAAAAAGACAAGCACTTAAATCAAACCATCAAGTATGGGATGATTTGACTGATACGGAAACGTCGAAGAATCACCACTTTGTATCTATCTAGATAGTACTATCTTACATGAGGTTTACGGGAATATAGACGGACTCTTCATATAGAGTATTGTATTTACCTACCAATCGCACGATCAAGTAGTTCATCAGACTGTTTTGCAATGGCCTTCGCTGCACACGTGTAGATGGTGATATAGTTAGATATGTGTTTTTGCCTGAGGCCACAGAATCACTTCCCTAATATATTGCCGTAATTGACCGCCCTGATATCGCAGCGATCTCCGCCTCAAGCAGTGCGTCGCCATTGATTTCTCTCTAGCTAGCATCAACGGTCCTTTGTGCTCATTCAATATCAGTATTATCGCTCTTTCATTAGACTGCTATAATTTCAGCGAATACACCGCCGTACTCTTCCCACCGAGCCATCTCTCACGCGCATCGCGCCACCTGCGCGCATCCGACTTGAGCTTATTTCGCTTGCAAAGAGCAGTTGCTCTTTGAATACCAAAATGCCCAAATATAAGTCATCTCCTCCCCTTTCGATGAAACCTTGATACTGACAGTCACTTTACTCTTTTGTAGGACCACCCCAACCCCTTCAACACCCACCCGCAGACTTGTCCACCGCGCATGCAATTCCTTCCACCCTCCTATCCAGCCATTATCTCCGGAGTCACATTCCCACTGACCGATGTATCCAATCGAATATAGGCGACTACTGCGATGTCTACCTCACGCACGACTCGATGAGCGTGCGCAAGGCGCACAATGCTGGACGTAACCACCTCAGAAACGTGCTGGAATACTACCAACGTACGGCGGCCCCATTCGCCTCAGACCATCTCAATGCGTGCTGCTAACGCGACACCAGAAATCGGACAAGAAAAGGCCCAATCGGTCATCGATTCCATCACCTCGTCCTACGCCGCCGAAGGCCAGGCTGTCCCGAATCCCGCAATGGCTCCCCCGGGTGCTTACCCTCCTCCATTTGGCTTCCCTGGTATGTCACATCGCCACCTACTACACCTTCAGCAACAATCAAAGCAATCCACAAGCTAACTACTGACATTCAGGCCGACCAGGTCAACTCCCTCCACCTCCCTTTGGAATGCCTCCTCTGGGCGCACCCGGCGCACCGGGCATGCCTCCTCGTACGTTGCACCTATCCCCCACAAAGCAAACCAACACCATGAGTACCTAACCTTCATGAAAACAGCCCCCGGAGCAAGAGGTCTCCCCTTTCCGCCTCCCTTCCCCGGTCCAGCAGGCGCCGCCCCTCCTGCCGGTCTCCCCCTTCTCCCCAACATGCCCCCCGGTGCCCAGGGCTTCCCTCCTCCGCCTGGCGGATTCCCTCCGAACTTCCCGACTCCTCCCCCTGGTGCTGCTGCTGCCGGGTTCCCCCCCATCCCTCCCCCAGGTCAAGCTCCAGCAGGATACAGCCCCAGTCCTACGCCCGGTATAGCTGGACCGCCGGGACAGGATGGTGGTTACGCACCACCGCCCGGTATGGGCGCCGGTTTGCCTGGTCCGCCTCCGGGATTGGGTGACAAGCGGTGATGGCAGGATTTATCTTACGTGTATCTGTATCATGTGCCGCTTGTTTGATTTTTTACGGAGGGGGTTGTTTTTCTTTCCTATTTTCAATTTCTCTATTTGTTTTGTCTAGACCCCGCTTTCTTTTGATTTTGAAGTGATTCCATACCAGCGTTCTATCTATGGGGAATTCGGTTATGCAATATTTCTTTCTTTTGTCTGATTGAAAGGAAGAAAAAGTTGGTAAATCAACAGAATATGAATAAAAGGATTTATTGGATGGATGGGTTCTCTATTTACTTAGTCATGATGCATAGTTAAGTCGTAGTCAGTTGCATTTGGTAATATTTCGGAATCAAGGTCTGTAAACGTTCCTTTAGTAGTACTACGACAATCTTGATAAAACGACATCTACAAGCTACAATAGATTCTTTTGAATAGTTTCGGAATAAAGGTCAATGCAACTCAGGCATAGCATTATGATTTCTATCCATACACGATGAAACCACAAAGAATAATACAGGGATATCGGATCAGACAAGTAGACAGACCCCCTGCCAGCTAATAAAATAAAAGGAACACTTCACGTAGTCCACACAAAACCCAAGTACCGATCTCCAGATCCAGTATTTCAGAACGCCAGCGGTGAAAATAAATCGAGAGAGAAAAAAAGGTGGGAAGGAAATGAAAGGTGGATTGCCTTGGTAAGGATTCGGATGAGAGCCAGAGGATTTGGGAGAAAGAAAAGAAGGAAACAAGTAATTTTCCTGTATATCATAGTATACGACAAGGAATGGTAGCCAAGAGCATATAGGCAAGCAAATGGGTGGAATCGCAATATAAAAAGCAAAAAAACGCACATAGCGCGGGGGGGAGGATGCAGTCAGTGGAAAGCTAGAATAGGGCCCGAAGAATCAACCCATGCCCGCACTAAGCCATAACTTCATCTCAAGCAAGGCTAGAAAGCAATCATATTAAGTCTTTCAGTGGTCGTAACCTGCTCCCCGTTGCCATGGGCTCGGGTTGTTTTGTTGCCGGTATGCATGTGGGTTTTGGAAGGGGGAGCTGTTGTAGTTCCGTGGTACAGGAGACGGCGAACGCCCGAAATTAGCATCGTAGGCAGGAGGGCCATTGCGGGCCGAGTTGTCGCTGGGGAACAGCGGCAAAGACGGGTCGACAGGGGAAACCGGGGAATGACGAGTGGTCTGGTGTGTCTGAGCATCAGGGGCTTCGAGATTCTGGCGGCTAACACTGGCACCATTTCCGCTCGAGAAGGACGTGTTGTCATCCTCAAACGGACTGGATTGGTACGGCGACCCCTTCATGTCTCCACGGGCGGTAGCACCCAGAGCATCCAGTTCGGTGGTCAACTGACCCCCGTTCTTAATGAACGAACCCCGATCATCTCTCATGGGCTGGTACCGCGTGTCGGGGTTCTTGGAAACAATGGCGTAAACAGATGCGATCAAGACCAGAATCAACAACACCAGAGCAAACACGGCGTTGTAGACGAAGAAAACAACACCCATAACACCAGTGACAATTCCGGGTTGGTTGAACACATCCGAGAAGAATAGCAGGAAAATCGTGTTGAGGAAGTTGATGGCGGCAATCGAAATGTTGTAGATATTGGTCTTCTTGTCCATCCAGGGCCGGAGGACGCTGACAGCAATGAGCATAGCAGCTTCAATGATGACAAGGGCGATGGTTTGCACGACCGGGGCGGGCTGACTCAAGCCAATGAAAAGGCCCTTGATCAGGATGTAGCCCAAGAACGGGACGATGAAGTAGTACGCAGTTGCGCGGTACTGGACATACAAGAAGCCCCACTTATTCAGGCAGGTAGGGTCGGAGTAGAGGATATAAGCCGGGTTCTTGTGCATGATGACAGATCGCTTGGCCAGACGCAACACCTTCAATGCTGCCCAACCCAGCGCTGCAACCACCGAAAGGAACATGATCACAGCAAGAACCACCTCCGCAGCTGAGTCTACCCGAGTGAATTCCCACAGGCAGAGTACACACATTTGGGGAAAGCCGATCAGCGTAAGTCGGAACAGGATTCCACGTGCGACAACCTTCCATCCGTTACGGAACTCTTGGAATTTATCCCCCTTCATCTTGCCGTTCTTAGCAAGGACCTCACAGCCAAGCTTGAAAACAGCGACAAGGGCCATCACCAGCGCAACGAATACAACGAAGAAGATAAGACCGGTAAGGAAGATGTTGGTGGTTTCAATTCCAGCCTTGAAACCAACACGCTCAATACCACGAACAATGACGCTAGAATCCGTGGCAGTTTGGGTACTGGCATCCGAACGTTTCTGCCAATGCTTGAAATACCCAGTGGCCTTCCGGACAATGGGCTCATCATCGAGGGAGCGCTTGCGTCTGTAGAGTTGAACGGACGTAGTGGACAAGTCCGAAAGAAGGGTCGAAGCCGTCCCTCCAGTCGAGCGCTGATACCATGTACAGATAGTTTCCAGGAAGCCCACATGGATGATACCCATACTCCACTGGAAATTCTGGGTCCAAGACTCCACGATCGGAGGCATGGCGACGGATGTCATACCAATCATCGCTTGAGACTGCATGAAACCGAAGAGCGAGAGCGCATTAGCCGCGACGTGAGCAGCCGTGTTCGAATGTCCTAATCCAGAGGTGATAGCAGAGGCAGCAAGACCGAGACCGGAGATAATGGCTGTAGTCCAGCCGACACCCTTTTGATAAACTGTCTTGCCGTTGGAGAGGGATGCTTCCACACAGGTAATGGCTTCACCGGTGGTGGTAGAGTTGATATAGATCCGCACGTTGGCATCAAGATCCGGGACGGTGTATGCAATGTCTACGCGCAAATTGTCAATGAACTAGGGCTCACTCGAAGGGGCCGCCAATGGCGGAGATCACTTACTTGGAATGGACTTGACCACCGACTCAGGCACGGTGATGACGGCTTTCGGAACATCGATTGTGCCTGCATTCATGGGACAGAGTCCAGTAAGATCCATCTCACAGGGGTCAAGAGTCTTGGTCAACACCTGGATACCGTAGGCCTCGAGCACGAGCTCTGCAGTGACCTTTCCAGAAATTGCAGACACTCCATCGAAGCTGAAGGTGAGCGAGCGGTTGCCGGGTGTGAATGTAACACTGAAGTAAGTGGCCGTGAAATTCGAACTGTCCTGGCAAATACTAAGAGCATTGGACTCGATAAGCTTGACGGCGGCCGCCTGCGGGGAGTTGAGCAGGACGACCAGAAGGCCGATGAACATGGATATTAATCGCATTCTGGCAAGCTATGTAGCCGACAACTTGTCGTTTCGTAAGAAGTAACGAAGGCGCCCGTCGACCAGTGCGGGAGCCGCGGGGATAAAAAATCAAGGCGATCGAACAATAGGGTGGTACTCCAGAGCACCAGCTTGGCGCGGCCGGATGCGGTCGTGTAGGAAGTCGGCGGAAGCTGTAGTCTTGCCTTGGGAAAAGAGAGTGGTACCGCAGTGGAAATTGCGGAGGGTAGGATCGTAGGAAGAGTCGGATAGGGTAGTATGTAAGGATTATCGCTCGATGGGGGTGGGATCCTGTTGCGGTTACGGTTCACCACGTCATTGGTAGCCCAGGGCGCTTGCTTTCCGGATACTGGAACAAAAAGAGCGGATGAAACGGGTTACGTCGGGTTGAAAGAACGATTTGCAAAAAAAAGAATGCGATATATAAAATGAGTGTCGACTGTGGTAGTAGTATAAAGAGTTCAAGAGAGTGTCGTAGTTGGAAGTCGAAATAACAACAAAGCGAGCGTGGGATGGCGACACACAGTATGGCCGGGGGGTTGTTAAGTTGAAGGACGACACACGGGGAAAGGGACGGAGGATGGGATAGATGGTTGCCTGAGTCTCCCTAAAAAAGCGGGAAGGGGAGGAAAAGAGGGGAGAGGTGTTTCGCACCCTCTGGGGACGGGGAACGCAGGTCGAATTGGCGAAAAGAGAGGGATGCAACGAGAGGAAGGGAAAAAAAGAAGAAGAAACAAGAAGATCCAGACAAGAGGGTAGAGAAAGGGAAGAAGGAAGAGAAAGCGACGTCCTCCCTTCAAGACGCAAGACACAACACAGTCACAGCGTTTGGACGTGTGTGTATTATTTTCTTCAGGGGATTTCGGGGTCGCAGGAGAGACGGCCGGGAATGGAATGCTGGGTTTCTGCTTGTTGGTTTGTTTGAAACCGCCCGGGACCCTCCTCTGCGCTGACTCAGCTCGGGGGCCGTCCTCGCTCTCACCAATAACAGGGCTCAATGGCTACTTTGTCACGGGAAAGTGGAGTCGAACCACCACCGGGCGGAGTATGTACAATACCGTATCAGGTCGGTATTTGATGGATGGAGATGAGGACTACTACTACTAGTAGCAGTAGTAATAGTAGTACTTCAAGCACGCAGGAACAATAATAGTAGCCAAGACAATGAGAATGGATGACAGATGATAATGGTCAGTAAGTTGATCTCAGTTTGGACCAATCACTTATACGCATGAATCAGACTCTCCTAGAGTTCTTCTCACTGAATGATCACACGGTTCACAGGAGGGAGGTCAGTCAAAAAGTCAGTATGAACAGAGCAGGTCACTCATCCTGCTCAGCTGCCGACCTCATATACTATGTATGTATGGCTAACTAGTACTATGTCCCGCTGCAGCTGCCACACCTGGAATGATTGACTGTAAATTAACTTGCTACTTTGCAGCCAGTCTGTCGGTACCGTACCAACTTGAAGTCATCATCATTCCCCCCCATTATTTGCCTTTTTCTGCCCCAAGTCCCAAGGCTCACCTTCAGTCCGACTCCAGTGGGTGCACGCGCGTCCCTCAGGGGGTTGGGTCTGGCCAAATGCGGATGCCTACTTATGCTTTCCTTTACCCGCCGGGCCGCACTCTGATTTGTCTAGCATCGGGCGGGCCAGAGCAAATTTTATGGCGCCTGGGGGGTGGTAAAAACGGCTGGCAATCATGAATGGTTCCATCCTCCTATGGCATTACGAAATTATCATCCTCCGTGCTTGCTTGTGGGGTGCAACCTGCAGCCTCGCAGAGGTTAAAATTCAATGTCAGTGGATCTGAAATGTCTGCCGCTGTTCGTCGTGATCGCAATGCCGTGGATAGTGGACAGACGCACTGGAGAACACGGTCCATCTTGTCTTGCTGTACTTTGTATGTCCGAGAAGATCTACATCAGAACTCGCTTTCTTGTCTTACTGCCACCTTGACTCAGTGGCAATTCATCCACGCACCTAACAAAGTACTTTGTAGCTGTCGTCGAAGAATATATTTTTTGTCGTGTTTTCTTTTGCCCCTCCTGCTTCATTTCTTTTTTCCTTGTTCCCCCGCTCACCGCCTGGATCGGAATACATCGATGCTATTAATAACTTGGCCTTCCCACGAGTTGTTGCGACGACCCAATGATACGCACTACTGCAACTGAAACGTCGAGGTGCGTTCTCCATCCAGCGCAAGCATCAGAGGACAATGCAACGTAGGAAGAAGCAGCAGAAGAATCTCTCCAATGGCCGTCATTGAGAACCACAGCACCAGTCTCTCCGTACCCCATACATATGAGATGTCAGGTCGTTTATCGATCAACTGGAACTGTCAAATCTCGCAGCATAGGTTATCTTCCGACCGATCTATTTGTGTTTCAACCGTGGACCTGGACCCTGTGTCTGAACCCCGTGTGTAACGCGGTAACTAACAACCTGAGCCTGCTGAGTAATTCCCCTGTACTCCGTCAAGCGCGTGGAAATTTCGATCCTGTCGCATGTCAGATGCAGATAACCTGCCTCAATGGGACAGAGAAACGGCAGAGAGTTGGGTCATTGCTCATGCGTGGTTTTACTTTGGAACCGTGTTAATAACTGTTGATCTGGCAGATCAACGGAATAGGACAGCGGATCGTACTCGTATGTTTCTTCTTTGATTGACATAAGTGTTAGTGCGTGCGGTAGGGCGCCCCAGAGGGCGTTCCCAGAATGCCACTAACAGCAAGCCTGCCGTCGAGGGCTTAACTATGGGCTGCTCTTTTAATCTACTATTAGATAGTTTGGCGAGGGGAAAACTGGTGTGTCTGCACAGCCGCCTCCTTGCCCAATCTTCCAGAAACCACACTATCTACCACCTCTTTCCGATTTAATTAATTGCAAACCAATCCTCTTTCTTGCAGTAAGGAAACAATATTTCATGCTTTTCCAGGTCTCATCCTTTCTTATAACACTGAATATACACCTGCTACCACTTGTCTCGGAAGACCTTCCAAGACACACGGACATCGTAGTTCAACTTGCTAAGATGCCACCGCATCCCGCATCCCTGATCAACCCCCGAGCGAAAAAAAGGCAGATCATCAGACTTTGCCCGTCCGTGACTTGCGCATCATGACGTCCAGTCCCCATTGATCATCTCTCCTCTCCTCTCCTCCCAACCCCGTGCATTTTCCCCCTTCTTCCATCATACCCGATGAGCGGAGAAAAATCGACAACAATACAATTCTCCATCCTCTTACCTTCTTCCTTCAGAGCGATCAAAGGAAGCAAACCGCACCGTAGTATCGGATCATCCAGCCCATCCACAGGGTCCTAAACCGCTGACGCCTCAACCATGGGTTGGACGGAAAGGCTCGTCCTATTTTTGGTTCTCCTGGCCCTACTTACGAGTGCAGAACCACGGATTGCGTAGTCTCTCGGCTACGCCACTCTTCCTGGTTTTCTGGTTCTTTGCTAGGGCCTGGGCCACGAGTGTTAACCGGAGTGTCTGGTGGGTGTTTCATGATATTGTGTTTCTCGAGTTTTAGCTGTGTTTCTGGATGGTTTATGATCATTGTAAATGATGTTTTATGATTAGGTAATTGTTCATAATTATGCTTGCTGGACAGTATCGTATTTGTTGTGTGACTACTGTTTGTCGGACTAGAGATGTTTTTGAGAAGACAGTTCGCGAATTACACAAACGCTAAACTATGGCATACAAGTGACTTGCTGATAATTAATTGTGTCGGCATCTATCTGCATCTCCTCTGTTGTAGTGGTATTGCTAGCACGGTCATCTCATGTCTCTCTGGGATACTACTATCGGACTCATGGTTGGATATATATATAATCTCAAGTGAACATGACCTTCTCAAACCAAATCATGACAGTCAGTTTTATCCTGCTGATATCTCGGGATTTCATCATTAGGCCAACTGCTTGGGACTCAGTAGCCTACTATCAGATTATATCTACTTCGTACGAAATGTCCAAAAAAAAGCCTTATCATCAAATTCAGTCCCCAGACACCTTATATGACATACTATCGCTCCTCAACAACATATCCTATCCCATTCACCCCACTATCCTGTCAAATCAACAGTAGGAAAAATACTTCCCCAAAGATTCTTAAGGCAAGCTCTCGGGACCCATGAACCCACTAGACCAGAGCTCATCGGCTAGGTGTATATTCCCCAACCTCACTAATGGCTTAAGTAGACGGCAATCGCTAGTTATGCGCGGTATTTACAGAGTAGATACCTCCCTGGAACTCAATAATAACTAATTGCCAGTCCATACGCTCTTAATTCCTATCCTACATTATTCACAATACATCCAACAACCTACTTACCGATTTTTTGCAGCTAATTGCCAATGGATCATACCTATTCATCGGACAACACTGATGACGTGTCTTTATATACCTCACTTACGTATTAGCCGTCCCCAACAGGCCCGCTTACGCTCAAGAAGCACATACACAAAAGACACACAGTGGTACTTAGGCTACTACTCCGTCTCGTCCGTGCTTATTTGACGAACAACTGTCATCTATCCCGTTTGCGTACACCGCGCTTTTATTTCTATGTGCATGTTGACACCGACCTTCTGTGTACTTCGTAAAGTTGGGCTGACCTCCGCGGAGTATCGCTTGTATTGAACAGAAGGGCTAGTTTAAGTACACAGTAGGATTTCCTGGCCCTATGGCAACCTCCTACTTTACAAACTAGAAGCGAACCTTTGTTTCCATATGTCTGTTGCTTGGTGTCTATCTAAGTATAGATACATCTGAAACGTCGAACCAGTCTTTTCCCCCAACAACTAGACTAGTCCGATGTGCTATGTTCGCTTGCTTACAAGGTACGTTCCTGGAAGGAATCCGAGCTAAGCCACGCCGCGATCAGGGGTAGATTTGGGATATCTCAGATGTTGATTTCAACGAACGGGTTGACCGAGAGCAAGTCAGAGTCCGACACATGCGAGTGAATGTAAGAAGGGGAAAAGGGGGAAACGAGCCTCACAGCCACGACTAGCGCTTCAGGGAGTCCATCCCCGGAATATATGGGATGGAATTGGGCCTACGCATCCCGTGTCTTGTAGCTGGGTTCGTCGATGATGATCGTAAGCACTGTAGCAGGATGGCAAAGCTTTCGGCGTAGGGCACTATGTTCGTGATGGCAGTACCTTTATATGTGAATTGGTAGCTCTGTATCCACCCTGTTCGTTCTAGAGGAAGAGGGCATGCTGCCTCAGGCTTAGGGAAACATGTACTCAGTATGTATGTTTAGTATGAACTTTGAATAGATGCCGGAGGCTGTATAGTAGAATATAGTGCCTCCTATCTCTTACAGCCGATAGTTAAGAATCGCGCATGAAACAGTGACATGAAGCTCTAAGGCCGAACTATCCTGGTTCGGGTCTCGGACTTTCGGGCTATATTTCCCTATAATATCGGAGAGGTCTATATCCACCCATTTTTATGGGAAATAATCATCGCAAACCGTCCAGAAGTATCAGCAATTCCTCGAATTTGTCTGGTAAGTCCGACGTGTTAATGGCGAAAACGTTCGAGTCTGAATGCCGATCTCCACTTCGTCAGAGCTGGTCCATTGAACGGTGATCGGTTGAGTTTTGAAAAGGACATATTGAAGGGTACAGACTGTATATACCTGTCATTATGGATAGCTCTCATGTTGCTTAGTAGTTTTGAGCTATAGAAGTAGGAGATAGTATGGCTTGCAAAGATGCCACTGGCAAACAGTCTAGAGGCGTGAGGGCATTGTTGTTCGCGGATAGCATGACACATAGTATGAGGAAGTGCCATCCTCTGAACCAGTAACACGATACTTATCTAACTTAACAGTTTCAGGTTTCTTGACATACACTGGAAGATAAGCACTATGCTTCGTATGCACAAAAAGCAAGCAGTAGTATAGGTAGTATATCCATGGCTGTGACAGCCTCAGGCACCAACGCACGGACTTGCCACAGCCAATTATCGCCTCTTATCAGCACGTGACGCGGAGTTTGGCAGAATCGGACCAAAAAAAAAAGAGGAAAGAAAAAAAAAGGGCCGTACCAGCTTCACGTTCCAGACCCAACCCCAACGTCGAATTTTTCTATTCGCAAAGGGAACCTTTCTACGGAAGGTACTCAGTCAAGATGCCGATTCCTGTGGATACTGCGAAATCCATCAACAAGAAGCGCAAGAGAAAGCACGGTGCGCGCGCTGCGACCGACGCCGACGATGCTTCTCCGAAGCCCGCTGTCGACAATGGAGAGACGACCGAAGTGACGGAGACACCTACGGAAAAGAAGTCGAAGAAGAAGGCCGCCAAGGAGGCTGAGAAGGAAGAAAAGCCCAAGAAGCGCAAGGTTGATGACTCCAGCAACGAGGATGAGAATGACAGCGAGGAAGAAGTCCGTGAGGCCGATCCCGAAGATGAAGATGATAACGAGGGCAAGGAGGATGGAAATGGTGCAGACCTTCCTTCTTTGGACGCTGTGCGTCTGCCTCAGACGGATGGCGAGCCGAAGAAGTTCACGGAATTGAACCTCTCTGAGAAGACGATGAAGGGTATTCAGGATATGGGCTTCGAGACTATGACCGAGATTCAGCAACGTACTATTCCTCCGCTACTTGCTGGTCGTGATGTCCTCGGTGCTGCAAAGACGGGTTCCGGAAAGACTTTGTCGTTTTTGATCCCTGCTGTGGAGATGTTGAGCGCTCTGCGGTTCAAGCCTCGCAATGGTGGGTTTTTGGCCATCTCTACCAGGTGTTCACTCCATTGAACGTGTGCTAATATTCCGGTTCCAGGTACTGGTGTTCTTGTTGTTTCCCCCACCAGAGAGTTGGCGCTGCAAATATTCGGTGTGGCCAGAGAGTTGATGGCGCACCACTCGCAAACATATGGTATCGTTATCGGAGGTGCCAACCGCCGAGCTGAGGCAGAGAAGCTCACCAAGGGTGTCAACCTGCTTATTGCCACCCCTGGACGTTTGCTCGATCATCTGCAGAACACCCCTGGCTTTGTGTTCAAGAACCTGAAGACACTTGTTATTGGTAAGCGTGACGTGATTACGAACATAACAGGAAAACGACTCTAACGTCTGTGCAGATGAGGCGGACCGTATCCTGGAAGTCGGTTTCGAGGACGAAATGCGTCAGATTGTCAAGATCCTGCCCTCCGAGGAGAGACAGACCATGCTGTTCTCTGCCACCCAGACCACGAAAGTCGAGGATTTGGCGCGTATATCGCTGCGGCCTGGCCCCTTGTACATCAACGTTGACCACCGCAAGGAGCACAGCACAGTTGAAGGTTTGGAACAGGGTTATGTCATCTGTGAGGCTGACAAGCGCTTCCTGCTTCTTTTCTCCTTCCTTAAGCGCAACCTCAAGAAGAAGATCATTGTCTTCTTCTCCAGCTGTAACTGTGTGAAGTACCACGCGGAGCTGCTCAACTACATCGACCTGCCGGTGCTTGAACTCCACGGCAAGCAGAAGCAGCAGAAGCGGACCAACACATTCTTCGAGTTCTGCAATGCCAAGCAGGGAACCCTGATCTGTACTGACGTTGCTGCCAGAGGTTTGGATGTGAGTTTCTCCCTGCCCATGAACAAAACGCCCAGAGCATGATCTAAATAGTATAGATTCCGGCTGTGGACTGGATTATCCAGTTCGACCCTCCGGATGACACCAGGGATTACGTCCACCGTGTCGGTCGTACGGCTCGTGGTGTGAACGGAAAGGGACGCAGTTTGATGTTCTTGCAGCCTTCCGAGGTTGGTTTCTTGAAGCACCTCAAGGAGGCTCGTGTTCCCGTCGTGGAATTCGACTTCCCGGCCAACAAGATCGTCAACGTTCAATCTCAACTTGAGAAGTTGATTGGTCAGAACTACTATCTGAACAAGGTAAGTTTACAGGCTACATTTGACTCCTATGTACGATATCGATGCAATACTGACTCCACCCACCTAGTCCGCCAAGGAAGGTTACAGAGCCTATCTCCAGGCATATGCCTCGCATTCGCTCCGGTCCGTCTTCGACGTGCACAAGCTTGACCTGGTCAAGATTGCCAAGGGATTCGGATTCTCGACGCCGCCGCGCATCGACATCCAGCTGGGCTCCAGCCTGAGTCGGGATAAGAAGCAGCAGCAGCAAGGACGCCGAAACTACGGCAGCCAACCGAAGGGGTTGAAGTTCAAGCGCAAGCACGAGGATGACTGAACTGACTGACTAGTAAGCAAGAGAAAAGCAAGTGGTTTGTGTGATTTCTTAAGACCTGGCATTTTAGTTTCGGAGTTTACCCTGTGGATATCTGGACTTGTCTATATTATTATTTCAATCGTTCTCTTGAATAGATTCTATCATTCAGAAGCATTCAACCATCTTAGCAACTGTACTCCTGTTCGGTACACTCTTTTCTCCGATCGGAGATTACTCCCTAGAATGAACCCAGAAGCACAGACTGAGACAGGTGACTGGAGAAGTGTGCTGAGTCTCCTTCTGTGAAACCAAGATTGTGGTCAAGGACTGGTCATTGTAGCTCTCTCGACTGGATAGCCGATGTACTTGGCAGCTAGGAGTGGCTCACGGCCTATCGATGGCTGCAATGCATGTCATTCATGTATAGGCCTGGTACAGAATGGAACAAAGTATCGGGTAGGCTGTGCTATGAATAGATACATAGCGCGGATTAGGTTGATGATCGGTGAATCTTATCTACTGTTGTTGCTGCAACTGTGGGAACTGTACGCATCTTCTATAGAATACATCTCATTAGTGGGCTGTTCTATATCTGGCATATCGGCTCCAGAGAAAGAAGAAAAACATTGGCAGGTGACTTTGACAAAAGGAAATAAAATCCCACCGCGAGAAATAAATGGGAATTCTCATAGGCCCGTATGGAGTATTAATTTTCTATAAAATTTACTCGTTATGGCTCTGGGTGATGGCTGCCTGTTGAACGAACTTCAGTATTAATCAAACAATATGGTCCCAGCCCCGCCACACCCCATGCATTGGACATTAAGACCAGTAGAGTATTTCGATCCGACGAATCCGATCATCAGGATTGAGGTTTCATTTCCATATCCTGGCAAACACCTACTCGAAAGGGCAAATGAGACCACGCTGACCGGGGAAGCATGGACTATCCCAGCAAACTCATCAAACCTAAACAACTTAAACCCGAGGGTGGCTGGTCAAAAAAGGTGGCTGGGAAAGACAAAAAAGGGAAGAAAGGAAAGGGACGGGACGGGATCCGCCGTCGAACCCAACTTTCCTCCTCCCATCCATCATGCACTACCGAAAAAAGTACGGAGCACATCCAACGTTGCAAGTGGCCGTAAGCAACACCTGGTCCTGACAGTCACCTGTGCTACTCCAGCAGGATGATCGTTGCAATGAGAAAAAGCGAAAAAAAGGCTACCAATCAGCCGTGGAGGTGTAGTCAGAGTCAACGGAGGGGAACGGAGTGATTGATGAGCTGGCAGCCTTAACCGCCAATGATTGCTGGGAGTTGGTCGTCCTGGAGACCGCCTGGTCCTGGTCCTTGACTGACTCTTTTCCTTTTCTTGCTTTGCGCCATGAGCCAGTCAAGGTGAGAGATGAGAGTCTCTTGCTGGTTCCGTGTGCGGGTCGGGGGAAAAAAGGCACAGGGAGAGAGAGAGGAGGGGTGAGTGGGATCCACCCACTCACTCACTCACTATTCATCATCTTATTTTTCGATTTCGGACTTTCCTGATCCCAGTAACCACACGACTGTACCTACACTAGTCATGCTCGTTCGGATGCTGATGCTGTTCCGGTAGCCTCCTCCGCCAGTGGTCTTTAGAATTATCCGATTCCAGCCAGGTACGGAGTTCGGAAGACAGGAGATCGTGGCTTCTAATGTGACGAGTCATTCCGGAACCAAAAGACCCTCTGGACATTGGGTGCTGGCAGGGCTCATGTTTCATGCTGTATATATGGCAGCCAATTCCTGAGCATCACGCTCCAGGTTTCACCACCCTGAGTCTCGGGAGGCAAAAGACGCTGCTCTCACACACACCTGTACAACGGTAATAGGGCCACCCAAGATCGGGAGTGGCAGACAGACAGGAAACAGATCACATCTCGGGTCGCACTACGAAGGCAATAGCCCGCTCTCATCCAGTGGAGGTGCGCGCATGAACTTGTCTGGATTTAGGAAACAAGAAAATCATATTTCTCCAAGCCTCACGCTCCTTACATCCTTGGTGTGTCTGGAAAGAAGACGCAAGTGGATGAGAATGGGATTCAGCCTTAAGCTCGAGAAAGCATCATCGAGAATCGAGGAAGATCACGTTAGGCGACAGTGAGAAAAACGGCAAAGCCGACTGCTCAATAGTATTTATATTCCCGAGGCTGTGATGGAAGAGTGAGAGAGCGTGGGAAGCGCAGCTCTACTCGGTCACCATGCGTGGATCTCATCTGGTGGAGGAGGAGTGAGGATGGATCCCGGGGGATACACACACGTAGGAAGCAAGCAGTCCACTTCTATCGAACCCAACCGATAATGACACCCAAAGTGAAGTGGAAATCCCGCTTCAGAAAGAAGGCCATCGGCAGTATAAGAGCCCAGGAAACGCGATAATCGCGAGGCTGGCAGGGACAAGAAGCTCATCTTTCTTGGGTCGTGGCCAACTCATCCAGGCCGTACCTTACTTAAGTTTCAGTGACTTTTCTTAATCAGTGCCGGCCACTGAGTTTAGTTACTTGACTTGGACACTAAACCGCCAACTCCAGCATCCATCCATCCTTATACTCCTTTGACTAGTTCTTTAGTGACCTTACCAGCCTTCTCTATTTTTTCCCCTCTCCCTCACCGTTCCCACCCATCAATCAATCAATCAATCAATCACCAATCATCCACTTGGGCATTTCCCCCTCTTCCCTGCTGCCGCTGCTGCTGCTGCTACTACTACTACTGCCCATCGATTAGAATTTTCTCTTGTTCTTTAATCTTGGGCATTTCCCTGCATCCGAATCATTATTACCCAGCCCAGCCCCGACCAATTCGCAATCATACCTCCCACCCGTCCAACCCAATCAATGCACGGGCGACTCTTGCGGTGAATGCACATGGCCACCATCCACTGATTATCCACACCGATTGTTGGCTTATCGCAAGTGAGGGTGCTGCCTCAATTCATTCACTTGCTTCATTCTGATCCTCAATTCTCATTCTCTCTCACTCACTTTCTTCTTTTGCCCCCCACCTCTTCCCTCGTTGTGTTGATTCGAATCACCGGCAACTACCGCCTCGGGTGTTTCTTACTCCTCCTCTACTGCTGAAATCTCCGCTGTTATTGCATCTCCCTCCCAACACTCCCCAGCGCTGGTACGCTTCTTCTCTTTTGCTTTTTGTGATATCGCAGCAATCCCTCACAGCTGCCCTTTTGCGTCCCCACCTGCTCTGATCGCCATCCTTCCTTTCCCTTTCCCTTTCCCCTCCCAATCTCTCTCCAATCCTTCTCTTGCTGCCCATCTAATTTACCCGCCTGCTTCCTTTCTCCTCACCCGAGCTGCATATCGATCGGTCCGATCTGTAGTGACACTTCAGTCTGTTAGCAGTCGGACCCAATCCCCAGCCTTAATCCTTCCAACTACCCTCCTTTTACCCCCCCCCCCCCCCCTGCACACACTTCCTGCCCCTGAAATTTTGCCAGCTTCCCTAAATAGGCAAAAAAGAAAAATAAGGAAGACAGGGAAGACAAGACAAGAAAAAGGAAAAATATTGTTCCCACTCGCCCAAGCACAGAGTATGGTCTTGTCTGGCTGAAAAAGAAAGGATTCTCCGCTCTTTTCTTCTCCTTCATCATGGGCGTCGACACCCGCAGACCGATCTTGCCTGCCCCCACTGAATCCATTGTCGATACCAACGGCAGCATCACAGGCACTGATCTGGCAACTGACATATCTCGCCGCACAGACAAGACCTCATACTCCATTCCTGACGACGGGAGCCCCGTCACCATCCCCACTCGTCGGAAACATCGCTCCCGCGGGGACGACTCCAAACTGTCCCGCTCGTCGCAGCACTCCCAGACCTCCCTGCTCATCGAGTATTTCGAGGGCGGGAAGGGTTCTGGCTCCCTCACTTCCCGCCCCAGTGTCCGCGTCCGTGTCACCCCTTCCTCCGCGCGGAAGCTCAAGGACCAGAAAGATCACATCCAGATCACCGAGTCGAGTGGCAATCGAAAGCCCGTCTATTCCCGCCGCATCTCCCTCAGCTCGCCCCACAAGCACAAGTCGCTGGAGGAGTCGGCTGTTGATGACAGTTCTTCCAATTCAGCCACCGATGAGAACCAGCCTCCCGGCCATTCTCCCTTAGAAATCGAGCTCATGAATCGCGACCAAGGCAGTGAGCTCTCCGCCCTGTCGCGCGATAGGTACTTCCACCCAACCTCCGACATCTCGTCGATGCCGGCGGATAGCATGCTGGAAGCCCCCTCATCTGGTCCTCGTCGAAAACGCAGTCAGAGCTTGGAACGTGAATCCAAGGAGTACCTCAAAACCCCCCGGCGACAACGTAGTCGCAGCCTCAGCACCGAACGCATTGCTCATCGAGTCGCAGAGAAGCTCAGTAACGACCCTCGTGACGTCTCTAGGCAACGCCGGCGCGCCGAAAGAAGTAGGTTCGAAGACGGCAGCGATCTCCAAGAAATGGACTCCAAGTCTCCTCGACGTCGGGCTCTTCCCGACGATATGATGAGTCCAGAATCCAGCCTCCTCAGCGCCTCGGCTGTGTCCTCGCATCGCCGATCCGGTGATCAATACTCGTTCAAATCCGGCACCTCAAAGTCATCGATCAACAACCCCAAGCTTCTTGAGACGGTTGAAGACGCGATCCGAAGACTCATCCTGCCTGAGCTGAAGGAACTTAAGAAGGACCAGAAAGTCATCACCAACACGTCCAAGTTTGAGCGCGACATGAACACCTCACATTCATCCGCCAGCACGCCCTCTCGGGACGAGCTCGGCAGACGACTCTCCAAACACGCAAGTGCCCCTGACGTTCGGAAGCCCAAGGTCGTCCTGAATAAGGATAGTCGTGATGAAGGCATCGTCCTGTCCGGCGACTCCGTCCCGTCTCAAAAAGAACGGAGATCCAGCAAAGACAGCGAAAGAAGCCATGGCAGAAGCGAAAGAAGTCAGGATCTCGGTTACATCAGATGGGCTAACCGGCCCGAGTTGACCGAGCAAGAAAAGCTCCGTCGACAAAAGAGCAAAGGACTGCGTGATGCAGAAAAGGCGGCACTCGTGGGGACGGCCCTAACCGCTGCAGCCCTTCAGCACCACGACTCAAGGTCCAGCCTCGGGAAAAGCGAGGGAAGAAGAAAGAGCAGTGGGGCCCGAAGCCGCACCGGCAGTATTAACGAGACCGAACTAGTCTTCCAGAAGCACAATGTCGCCCCAATGCCACTGCGCAGTGCGATTGAATCCGACCTCACCAGAGCCTCCCTTCTCTCCGAGCAGACCGCCGAACCAGCAGCTTCGTACGGAGACACCAAGTTCCATGAAGGGTTCCGCGGCTCCCCTTTCCAGTCTCTTTCCCCGGCACCTCTTTCCCCGGCACCTCGCACGCCAAATAGGACGCCTCTGGACGTGCGGCATGAGTTGAAGCTCAAGCACAGCAACTTGTCCAGTCACGACTTGTCGATGCATAGCCCGTCGAGTCGGTCGCCCGTCGGGGATGCCGCCGCGGGCGCTATTGCTGCCGCCGCCGCCGCTAATCTGCTCGACTCCCACTCCGAACACCATGATCTCGACTACAGTGATCTGGCGAGCCGTCGGCGCACTCTTAGTCCGATACAGAGCGTGGCCAGCAATGAGAGCCAATCTCCGGTCAAGCAGGACTTGACCCATTATGATAGGTACGATTACTCCGAAGATGAACGAGAATTGGAGCCGCGTCTCTCGATTGACTCTCTTTCGTCTGCGCCCAGTACGGATTTTGCACGATCTACCCGCCCAGAAGGCCTCAGCATTACGAGCCAGACGGAGTCCCTACGCCGTCAACAGGAACCTGGCCCCGAGCTCGGCTACGAGGAGACCCCCCGGCCGTCCCCCCGAGAGGAAAGACACTGGGAGGACTATTCCGACGATGATGAAGATCAGCATTCGCTAGCCGAGACTGAGACTCAGAGCACCGTGGGTAAACGCATGACCGGGTACACCGATGACAGCGAGCTTGATCACCACGACCAGGAAGATCACGGCCGACCGGTAGCTGAAGGCCTTGCTGCCAACCCCCAATTCGTACATCCGATGGCTGTCGAATCGGCGGTGGCCTCTGTCCTCGAACCTACGATCCTGGATACCAAGTCCAGCCAGTCCGGACCGAATCGTTCAATGGCTGGTATTCCGGAGCAAGAGGAAGAAGAGTGGGAGCCGGAGCCTCTGGAGCAGTCGGAGCAGCATGAGCCGGCAGAGCACGAATCTCGCCGAGGAAGCCCTCTAAAGCAGCGCGAGGATGTTTCCAGCCCCGACGCGACCTCATTCCCTAGACGCATGGGTGCTACGTCGCCGCCCCAGAGCGTCACTCAGTCGCTGGACGACCACTACCAGAACGAGCCAGCTCCTTTGTTTGCTGGCGACCTCGACAGCAGCCCAATGCCACATGAAGACGACCGCAGCCCTGATTCAGAATCAGAAATCAATACCAATCCTTCCATCATTCAAGGCCCCGCAGCCCACGAAAACAGCTGGTCATTTAACCGCACCCCTTCCAAAGACGCTCCTTCTCCCCTCTTTGATAAGTCTGGAGCTGGCGCCGGTGCTGGCTTGGGTTTGGGGTCAGTTGAGCCCTCCCACTATGGCCAGGACTACTACCCGGAGGACGACTACGGTGCGAACGACTACTATGATCAGCAGTACCACGGAGGCCAGATGCTCGGCACACCGCTTGGTGCCAAAGACGAAGGTTATGTCTCCGCCGCGAACCCCCGCTCCCCGAGTGTTGAGACCCCTGAGCCACTAAGCAAGGGTATTGCTGGAATCGATACAAATGGAATGGGTCTGTTTGACAGTCCCCTCGGAGGGGAAGACCACTTCATGCCTGGTCACCAGCGGCAATTGAGTGGCTACTCTCAAGGAGTTGGCTCACCTCTGTATGACAGTGCAACTGGGAAAGGGATTGACCGGATTCAGTCCAAGGACATTGTTGCACTCATGGACCATGTGAGTACCAGTGTCCTCTTGCTTGAAGGTACCACTGCTGACTTATATGAACAGCTCACGGTTCGCGATGCCCAACGGAATGCCAGGGACACGGAGATTCTCGTGACTCTTGTTCGAAGCGCCGCGGAAATGCGCAACTCATTCGAGGAGATGAAGAAGTTCATTGCCCTGCAGGACGGGATGCTCATGGAAGCCAGTGACCGGCAGCACGAGCGGACCTATCGAGCTCTTGGTGGGCCACGCCCCCAGCCGGCCAGCACGCGTAGCGCTCGCCAGGTGCCTATTGACGACGGGGATGACCTGCGGTCGAAGCGAAAGAATATTTTCAAGCGAGCACTCAAAGGCCTGAGCCTCAAGAACTCCAATGACCTCACTCGAATCGAGGATATGTTGGAACAGCTCCTGGATGAAGTCGAAGCTCTACGCTACGGCCAGGATGACCGGTTCGTGCGGGGAGGCAACCGGGCCGCCAGTGTGGATCCTGAGGGCTATGAGCCGGAGGGCCATGCTGGAACTTCATCGCCCGGAAACCAGTCGGAGTACCTTTCCACCTCTTCTCAGCCTGTTCTGGAACCACTCGTTGGGAATGGACTGCGGAGGGGCATGGAAAACCGTGTCAGTACGGTGCCCGAACTGGATGAAGACGTAGAGGAGCAGGCGGAGTTCATGAGTCCAACCATGCCTTCGCAGGAGCCGGCCAACAACCGCCAGGTCCGGGCTGGCTCCGCTCCCGTGTCAACACCTCCTCGTGAGCCGATGGCTTCGGGCGCCCTCAGTAACGAGGCGACGCCGAAGACGACGGAGAAGGCTAAGAAGCACAAATCGAGCAGCTCTTCATTCTTCCCAAAGATCTCTCGTTGGTCCAAGACCACGGCGTCTTCGATGGGAGACAACATCCGCAACAGCATCCAACCTGGCCGCAGCAAGGAGCGAGCGTCTTTCGATACCTCGCGCTCTGGATCCGAGGCTGCACCAGGACCATATAAACCGGACTACTATGATCCTCAGGGCGAAGACCGATTGCGCTCGACGTACACTCTGGAGGACCCGCAGCAGGAGAACCGGCCGCCGTCCCCTCTGGTTCCGTCTCAAGCGTCGGGGCAAGCATCGGAAGCGCCGAAGTACCGGGCCCACCGGGGCAGTCTCGATCTTCACCATCCCCAGCCTCGCCAGGGCCCGTCTGGGCGATACCAAAACCAGCTGGAGACGCAAGCTCAAGTCTATGGCGTGCCAGCGGGCGCCCCTTCGGACCAGTGGGGATCCAACCCCAGCTTGTCCGGCGTGAACGCCAACCCGCGCTACAGCGGCGCCAGTCGTCTTTCACCCATCTCGGACGCGGGCTACTCGGAAGCGAGCTCGCGGCGCACGGGACCTCCTCGTCCACCTAAGATCAAGGATGAGGGACCACTGATCCCGGAGCGGCCGCCCAAAGTCAAGGAAGACGATGAGCGATCGTACATGGAACGAGTTGCTTCGCGGGTTAGTGTCCATACCCGGAAGGGACGTTTTATTCGCATGATGCTGACCATATCTCTGTAGAGTTCGATCATGCGCTCTCCCCGTAGCACGCCGCCTCCCCGGAAACCCACGGGGCCTCGTCCCCTAACGTCGGGCAGCCAGTTCAGCCCTGCGCGGCGGCAGCGAAGCCAGTATCGCGCCAGTCCGGAGCAGGTGGAGGATGACCTTGACTATTGACGCGACAGACGTTTGATACCCCATATTATTTTGTTACTCTTTTTCTCCTCTCGTGATGTTTCTTCGACTTGAACCTGTTATACGATTTGTTATGTTCACGACTTATGACCCGCGCAGCGATAACCAGCATGCATGAAATGGATGGTTGTATGGACGGAAAGGGAGGGATGGGGGGGGAATGTGTCGACTAGTTTTGCTACTTGTGTACCGATTTTTTTGCATTTCTGTGCTATATGATTCCCTTCTTGCAGCATATTTTTCTCGATTAGTGCATAATGGATGGGCTGTATGCCATGCGATGGATTGGAATACAAAAGTTTCCACCTTTTCTAAGATACCGATAGTCTTGACATCATTGTGCCTAAGCAGAGCCCTGGTTTTGCAGCTTATCAGTTCAGGTGCAGTCCAGCTGCAGCTCAGCTGAGGTTCAGCTCGGCGATCCATGGCTCCAGTACATGCGGGGTCAATGCGGAGAACAGCTGATGTTTGATTCCCATTTAAGCAGATAATGTCTCCCAGTTGACTAGTATCTCTACATTGTATCTCGAACATTTGCCAAATAACCACAGAAGAAGATTATGAGTGCTTCCACCATGACTAGTGATAAGGATATTGACCCCCTCGACCTCCCCATCTGCACCACCTGCGGCACCCAGTTCTCAACTCCCACGCCGCCAAGTCCATGTCCCATCTGCGATGATCCCCGTCAATACCTCCCTCCATCTGGGTATTCCAACCCCCCCACCCCCCATCCTTGAATATACACCCCCACTCTCTCCCTACATACATCTATACTCACCACCACCACCACCACCACCACCATCTACAACATACTAATATAGAATGAATACAGACAAGACTACACAACCCTCCGCGCCCTCCGCGCCCCCACCCACGAACCACCACTGAAGAACATCCTCGCCCCACTGAACAATACCAACACCAACACCAAGATCTACACCCTCCACACCACCCCCAAACACTGCATCGGCCAACGCGCCTTCCTCCTCCTCACTCCCCGCGGCAACATCCTCTGGGACTGCATCCCCTATCTCGACGACGACACCATCACCCAAATCAACGCCCTGGGCGGTATCTCCGCAATCATCATCTCCCACCCGCATTACTACGCCACGCATTTAGTCTGGGCCGAGGTGTTCAACTGTCCGGTTTATCTGTCTGTCGAAGATAGGGAGTGGGTTATGCGGCTATCACCCCAGGATTCCTCTGTACAGGGTGGTAGTGGTGGTAAGCAAATCTTCTGGGAAGGTAAGGAGGTAGAGGTACTTCCCGGTAGTGGGGTCATAGGTGTCAAAACAGGGGGCCATTTCCCGGGGAGTTCGGTGCTTTGGTGGAAAGATGAGCGGGTGATGTTTCTGGCTGATACGATTGGGACGATTCCTAGTGGGGTCGGGGATTATGGGAGTAGAGGGAGACGGGAGGGGACGGCGTCGTATACGTTCATGTGGAGTTATCCGAATATGGTGAGTATTTCTCTCTCTTTCTTTTTTTCTATGGGTTTGAGATGAGGGAAAGGGTTGCTGATTTTGGGATAGATTCCCCTGCCGCCGGATGAGGTACATGGCATTTGGAAGGCGATTAAGCATACCGAGTTTGATCGGGCGTATGGGGCGTTCATGGGGATGGATACGGTGGGGAATTGTAAGAAGCGTGTGTTGGATAGTGCGAAGATTTTTGTTCGGGCTATGGGGTATTTGGATCATGCGATCCATGAGGAGGATTGTGCATGATTGAACTGGATTCGATTACATACTTGCATCACACAGTACATACTGCATGGTCTTTATTGGCGCATCTGCATCTGCACCGGCATCTTCCCTCCAGATAGCTCCATTGAGGAATAATGTACATCTTGCATCTCCTTCCAACTTCAACTCTGCCTACACATCGGTAAACGGCCTCACCGAGGTCCGCACCGCTGTGGGCTCACTGGCCCCATTGTTGGCACACTGCGCCGTCGCCAGAGAGCTCGGCTCTAATCCATCACTGATCGGAAATGGCCCCGGATAGCTGTCTGCCGTACGCGTCTGCTGCAGCTGTGCCATATCCAGCGTGACCTGCTCAGGCTGCGACTCATCCGCCAACACGCTGTCCATCGACCACGGCCGACTCAGAATACTGAACCGCAACCTATCCGACATGAACCCCGAGAACCGCACCCCGGGAAGCATACTCTGATGCGGACTCGAACAGTTGGAATTCGGATCACTAAGCGACAGACTCCTCCGGACAATCGACGAGTAAACCGAGTCACTAGCCAGCGGCTGGTGGCCTAGGAAGTGCACGCTCGCGCGCGTGCTAGTATGGTCGTCAAGCCCTCGATCTCTGTCGGCAATAGCGAGCTCCAAACTCCGGGTAGGCGCGCTGTGAGACAGCTGAACGACCCGCGAGGGCACCGGCATGAGGGGGATGACCAGGCTGGAGGAGGGGACGCTGTCGGCGGTGGTGGGTCTATCATCCGCGCTGGAGAAGCCTGTGTTGGAGGGCAGACTGGTATTCACCGAGGTGCTCTCGGGGATGATCGCTAAGAGGATCTGAATGATGTGTTGCTCTTTGCGACTGATGGCTTGACCGACGTAGCTGTAGGGATATCGGGGCGATGTGCGTCGCACCCCCGTGAGGCGCGCCAGGAAGTTCAGGAGCTTGATGGTGAGAAGGGTCCCGAGGAGGGCGAGGACGGTGCGGATATTGATGGCATCGAGGATAGGATCGCGAGAAGCTGGATGATGTTTCTTGGCTGACATGGTGGCCGGCAGGAGGATTTATACTGGATGCAGGGTGAAAACAGGATGAGGACTGCAGGGAGGAAGCAGAGATAGATCATTGTGAGGTGTCAGACTCGGAGATATGAGTGTGGAAATGGTTGAAGTTGATGGTGCAGAGGAAGGTGCAACCGTCAAACCTTTTCTCTTCTTTGTGGACATTATCGTTCATGCAGATGGTGCAGATATACTTTGTTTAGAAGTATTGCAGTATCGAGATGGAGAGTCTATAGTAGCCTGAAGTATAGAACCGAAACTAAGGAACGCAACTCCGCATGCCAGTCTCCACTCCATCTTATCAGCCCATCACCCACTTCTTCAACGTCACTTCTCCACTCTGCATTCCTCTCTCTTTCTTTCCTTCTCTTTTTCTTCCCTCCTTGCCTTGAATCCAGTCAATGTCCATCTCTAATTCAGCCCTACGCATATCTCGCTCCCTCATGGCCTCCCTGAACAACTATCCTCTCCGCCAACGGCGATTTGCCCCTCTCCTCCCCTCTTCTTCCTCTTCTTCCTCCGCACCCCCACTCCGCGGAATCGTCTTTGACGTCGACGGCACATTATGGTAATACCTATACCTTCTTCAGCTACCAATTACACTACTAACTAAAGATATTACCACATTCAGTCTTCCTCAAAACCACATGTTCTCCGAAATGCGGTACTTCCCCCACTCCCGCCCCCCTCAATATAACCAAACTAACAAATGAATGATAAAGACAAGCCCTCAACATCTCCCCCAAAGTCGACATCCTGCACCACATCAGCCGCCTCCCGACCCCCGAATCGCGTCTCGAAGCCACAAACAAAATCAAAGCCATTGAGCGCACCGCCATGGAATCACAGCAGCCTCAACCGGGCTTAGTGGAGTTGATGGATTTCTTGGAGGAGAGGGGGGTCAAGAGGGCTTTGTGTACGAGGAATTTTGAGTAAGCCCCATTCCCCTTTTCCCAGTTTCTGCTCGAAGTGCAGTATAAGAAGGCAAAGATACTAATGTAGGTGTGGTGTAGAGCACCCGTCCTCAACCTCCTCAACAACCATCTCCCTGCACATGTCTTCCTTCCTATAGTGACGCGTGAAACACCGGGGTTGTTGCCCAAGCCGGATCCAGCAGGGATATTGCATATTGCGAGGGAGTGGGGGGTGCAGGATGAGGGGGGGATGGCCGGGGGGTTGATCATGGTATGTTGTATTCTATTTCCATTACTTATTTCATTCTCGAGGTAGAAAGTGGTGGACTAATTGTTGTTATTCCGTGTACAGGTTGGTGATAGTCTTGACGACATGACGGCTGGACATACCGCCGGTGCGGCGACAGTGCTCTTGCTCAACGACCATAACGGACATCTTAAAGACCACGCGCATACGGATCTCTGTATCGAGAGGCTAGATGAGTTGATTCGCATCTTAGACGAAGGGTTCGTGGGACATCGCGGGGGTGAGAAGGTGCCTACGTCTACGGATAATGCCATGGAGAATGGCGTATAGTCATCCTGTACATCATGTTGGACATCTATATCATCTGTACATACCATAGCTCCAAACTATGAGCTACGTCTAACACAAACAACTTTTAGAACATACAACATCAATCGTTCCACCCTCGGGGTATATGTACACACACACAGGAAACGCCAATACAACGACCTGTTTATAACGATAAAATCCCATACCATCACAACCGATACTTATCCCACGCCTTCTTCGCCGCACTCGGCAACGGTCGATACGCATCCCCACCACCACCTCTCTTCCCACCACGTCCACCCCCACGACCCGTATTCCCACCTCTAGACGGAGGCCGGCTACCACCACCACCACCACCCGACGACTTCCCCCGTCCACCACCCCCTTGCCAACTATCCTTCCCACCTCTCCCGCGCGTCGGACGAGGATTTGGCGACATCGACCGCTGCCTCGACGGGCCGAAATCAGATCTATCGCGATACCCATTACTCGAAATATTCTTATTTCCTCTGCCAATGCCGCTTCCAATGCGAATGTTGCCACGGTTGCCACCGCCACCGCCGCGATGGACAGGCGGACGCCGATGAGCCATCATGTCGTCGCTGTCGGAAGAAGGCGGGCGGTGGTCGGCACGGCCGCGGATCTTGAGGCCTCCTCTGTTATTGCTATTGCTATTGTTGTTATTGTTGTTGTTACGTCGGTGGTTCACGACGGAGTTGATGTTGGTGATCATGTTGGGGTCGATGTCGCGGACGGTCCAGGAAGAGGAGAGCAGGGTTCGGGTGGATGAGAGGGACGGACAGTCGCCAATGAGGTGGCAGTTGCTGGTGCAGTGGGCGCAGGAGAGGGAGACGAGGACGGGTTCGGAGTCCGGGCGGGTAGTAGTGAGCTTCCACATCAGGTCGCAGTCTTCTTCGATATGCGTGGTCGAGCCGCAAAGTTCGCACGGGAATTCGCTGGCGGAGCCTTTCAGTGCGGATGGGCAGTTGTCTTCGTCGTGGCCGCGCGCGCGACACCGTTGGCAGCGGCGCCAGGTCGGGCAGAAGCTGCTTTGATGCTGGTTCCAGGAGCCGCAGTGTATGCACTAGAATGGTTGGTTAGTTGGTGATAATGACGGGGAAGAGGGAGAGGGAGGGGTGGGCGTACCTCTCGGGACGGGCACACTTCTGCGAGGTGCCCCTCGAGTAGACATTCTGTGCAGGCTATGGGAAGTTGTAGGTCGATGGCGTTAACGTCGCGGTCGTAGAAGCGGTATTTCGCTTGGATGTCCATGTCTTCGCGGTCGAGGTCGGCGAGGGTAGAAGGGGCAGTCGGGTACTTTTTCGAGAAGCGGAGGAGCGCGTCCTCTTTAGATTGGTTTGTGGAGGTTTGTCCGTTGGTTTTCGTGCCGTTAGAGACTGGTAATTCCTCGGGGTCGTAGTCGTCGTCGCCGTCCGGGGTGATTAAGCCATCCTGGTCCTGTCCGAGATTTTGACCGTTCCGGGACCCAATATTCAACAAGATCGAGTCATCTGCTTCCGAACCCAGAGACTCCGAGTCATCTGAGTCGCCGGAGAGCTGCATCTGGCTGGACTCGTCCGAAGCTTCCTCCTCATTCACTTCGCCCTCCTCTATGCCATCGACTTGGGCGGGTTTTGATGCTTCCGTCTCGTGATCGCCATGGGACGAGACAGATTCACTGCGACTGCGCCAGAATTTATCATTGACAGTGTCGAACTGTGACGCGGGCTTGCTCTCCTCTGGCTTCGCGCGACTGCGAAGCGATGTCCGAATCGCACTCTTGCTGCCTTTATTCCAGCTCGCCGGCGGCGCGGGCGCGGACTCAGCCTGCGCATCACCACCTTCGGAGGACCCGTCGTCACTGTCGGAGCCGGAAGATGAAGTAGCATCTACATCGACATCAAGTCCCGCTTCACTGAAGGTAGCGCCTTGGGGGACGAAGTCGCGGACATTGCGTACGTCGGCGGACCGACTGCGGCGTTGCCTTTTCCGCGGGTTCGGGTTGGGATCGTGGGAGCTCTGACGCGAGGAGTGGCGGGAGCCGTTTGTCTGAGCGCGGGGGCCGACTGCGGCGGTTCTGGAATCGTTGTCGTCGGATGGAGAATCAATCATCCTGAGAGAAGACGGAATGGAAGGGGAGGCAGCAGGAGGTTGAGGCGTTTGAAGAGCTGCTGCTGCAAGTTTCATCGGATTTCCTTCAGATTTCGCGGAGAGAATTTTACGGCGGGCGGCAGGAGCCACTTGTGCCATGTGCAGGTACCGTATCGTCACGAACGAGTACCAGCATCACATCATCGTTATTGCTTCAGACGTCCACTGTTTGAGCAAATGGCCGGTCTGGTACGAGTGATGGTGGAGAGTTTTGGAGTGGGATAGATGCAATGAGTCGTAGTATCTGGAATTGGTACATATTGTGCTTTCTTGAGACATTTCGATATGAGAGACGGGGGCCGGCCTATTCCTCTCCTACAAATTGCCGATTGTTGATCTTTCGTCAACACGCGAGTAAAAGATGGCAGTGCTGGATGTATCCAACCCATATGGGTCCCCTCAACGAGAGACAGCGTATCAGGAATCCTCGAAATGTGTCGGTCACTCAGATATGATCACCAAGAGGATCTTAGGGGATCCGGTATTGGCATTTTCTAGGGAAACCCTGGATTAAAGCGACAAAATGCCATGTGATTAGTGTAAAACGATCCGGTGTTCGCGGCTTTCTCAGATTCCATGAGATCCAATTGCTTATTTGCTCCGGGATTAGCGGACTCGGGATATTTTATGAGTGATAATCAGGGCGTGGACAATTCATATGGTTAGTTTCTTATTGGATGGTAGCAGGACGGAGTATTCATCCATACAAGCTGGGATATTTACCACGCGCCTCTGAAGCTGTTCTTCAGCACTATATGGTCACTGCAGCTAATTTATGTGGACACTGGACGAGCCTATGTACTAGAAGCCCCCAAAAGGGACTTAACACAGTATTTTCCTTATTAAATGCTCACAGCCAGAGGCACATAGATTACGTTTATCCACTTCAGTCTCATCCTGAGTCAGACACTCCCAGTTAGATTTCATATGCTCGCGATAACCAGACAAAAAAGGATACGGAATAGGAGAGATCCCTTGATACTTTGAAGATAGCATAGATAGCAATAATCGTTAATTAAAGCCTCGAATCAACCCAGACAGGAATGGCATTTGGTTGGTGCAGCGATGGTGTGGTCTAGACTCTATCTAGAACGATGGGATGCAGCAAGCGTCCCGGCTATTCTTAGCCATGCCGACAATTAGTTTGAGGTTGAGGATCTGCTCGGTTGCCCCTCGGGATGTCGGACTGCTGGCTTCTTTTTTCCCTTTTTACTTTTTTTTCTCTTCTACTTCTTCTTCTCCATTGGCCTTCGATTGAGATTTTTTTTTTCCTCTCTCAACCTGCAAGGCATCCACTCGCTTTTCGTGAACATTTTTCCCTTGAACACTTATCTCAAGTGTCCAACTTCATTCTTTGGCCCGGCGGTAACTTACCCCCTGTCCCGGTAATACGGAGACCTGCTCCCGTGACCAACACCGCCGCCGATCGTCTTCAAGATCGCCTCCCGGTCGAAGTCACTCAGTCTCTCGGTATTCAGCCAGCTTGCTCTCTCGTTCTCTCGCCCGCGGCGTCCTCTTTTACCACTCTGCCATTCTCTCACGACTATTTCCTTTTCATCCCTGTCACTCGATTTCTCCTCTCTCTTCGCTCGATCTTCGATCAATACCGCCAAAGTGTCTTCCCTAATCGTTCCCCGTGCCATCTCCTTCCCCCCGGACGTCGACGCTGCGTCGCGCCGGTTGACCCCGGACACCAATATGGCCCAGGGCAAGGCTGGACGGAGGAGACGGTCGAGTAGTATCATCTACCAAGAGCCCCCCGAATCCATTGAGCACACCAGCGACCAGGCTGCTCTGCCCAATTTGAATGCGAACTGGGTCAACGCCAAGGGTGAGTAGTGGCCACCTCCATCTCCACCATTTCCTCCCCCCCATCATCACCACTCCGTCGCTGCAGAAGGAGGGGTTCATGTTCCGGCGGGGGACTTGTAACCAACATATGTCCCCATGACATCCATGACAACCCCAGTGGCTGACCACGTTGTACTACCATTTAGGAGCCTGGACCATCCACTTCGTTCTCATCATCGCCCTCAAGATCTTGTTCGATATCATTCCCGGTGTCTCGCAGGAGACTTCATGGACACTCACCAACATCAGCTACATGTTCGGTTCTTTCCTCATGTTCCACTGGGTGCGGGGCATCCCTTTTGAATTCAACGCCGGCGCGTACGACAACCTCAACATGTGGGAGCAGATCGACAATGGAGATCAGTATACGCCTACAAAGAAGTTCCTCCTCTGCGTGCCCATTTGTCTCTTCCTGCTTAGCACACATTATACCCACTACGACTTGACGTATTTCACCATCAATTTCCTTGCAACCCTGGGAGTTGTCATCCCGAAATTGCCGTTTGTATGTATTATCCTTGCCTTATGTGGTGGGGTGAGTCATGATTGCTAACTGCTGTGATAGTCGCACCGTCTGCGAATAGGTCTCTTCTCTGATATACCCGAAGAGTAGCCGCTCTCTCTCTTCCTCTTTCGTTTCCGTTTCCTTTTTGGCTTTATCTACTTGCTTTTATTCCCTTACACTTAACCTGTGTGTGTTAGTGCTTCTTACTACTAAACTACTACTTCTCGTTCTTGATAATATTCTCCGCTTGGCGTCGCTGTCTCTTTTCCTTGCCCTCTCTGTGCTTTATATGTCTCGCTTCCTTTTTCTCAAATATCTCTATCGTGCTCGATTTCGTGGGTCTCGTATCTCTGCATGCAATGGGCAGACAGACCCGGCAGGCTTGTTTCGGAAAACGATAAAGAGGGGGGAGGCAAGGAAAAGGGGAAAATGTGGTTCGGTTTATAGAAAGGTGCTGGCGTGAATGGGGCATGCGGAATAGATGAAGATAAGGGGAGGCCGGTCGTCCGATGGTTCTGGACTCTCTTCTCATCACTACACTCTATATAAGAAGATATTCCTTATGCTGCGGTGCTGACTGTAGACCTGGTATGGCTTTCCGTAGGCGGCTTTCCGTAGGCAGCAGTCCGTCTTTGATGGCATGATCGTAGCGGAGTAATTTGTAGCCTCTTGTTCTGGCAACTGGAAATACTGAGTAAAGTGATTTCCATCTACAAGATCACGCGACAGTCAAACAATCATGGTAACCTAGTATGACGAACGCCGTATTTGCTACTACTTTTTCCCACTCACGTCAGCCTGAATGGGAGGCTGCACGAAGCTGCACTTGACTGCGAAACAGAGCATCAATGGTTGGACTTGAAGGAAGACGGTAAGCAGAAGAGAAGTCGTAAACAGAATCTACTTCATATGTCAGTCTGACTGGCCATCAGGCTGGTTGTTCTCTCCCTCTGCAGTCATCAATAATTGGAGGAAATCATTATGCAAGTTGTTCAATCATTGCGTTAGTCAGGACCACTGCGAGCCTTCTGAGCTCCAGAAAAGATCCTGCTGCAGCATTCACTGTAGGCAAACACCTCACTAGAGTCTTTGCCTGCTACCTGATCTCTACAGATACAAAAAACGTACGCCTCTTGATGTCCTGACAAATACTACTCGAAATACCATCTCTCTTGCTGCCACAATGGAAATAGAACTCGACTTCTTACTGGAAGATCTCCGTCACGCGGAGCAACGGGCAAAAAAGGCAGAGCTGGACGTCAAACATGCGGAGCAAGTTGAGGAGGCCAGACAGGAGGTCAGACAAGCAAAGCAGCGGGCCGCACAGGCAAAGCTTGGAGTCAAGCGAGCAAAATTGAGACACCAACAGCTAGTGCTAGAAACCAAGCAGTTAACGCTCAAGACCAAGCAACTACAGCTGCTAACCAAACAGGCACGATAGCAAGTTGAACCAAGCAGCCTCTCTGTTTATCTCGAAGAGTGTCATAAGCGTTCTCTTGCTATCAGTTTCCAAACGAACATGTCAAAAACATATCATGGTTCAATCGATCCTTTCGGTAGATTACGTCCCAAGCGCATAATACCCTGGGGAGCTTTTCCCACTTTCCAGCAGGCCATGTGGAAGGCTATCGATGATGAAGATCCAGAATTCTCCACACATCGCGCTTTCGCGTCCAAGAATCAATTGGAGTTCATTGGGAATGGTGCTACCCGACCTATAGCATCCGAATCTCATCTTCAATCCTTCCAAAGTGAGACCGTGGATAATCATGTACAATCCATTCTTGTTGAAATGAACAACAACGAGAGACTTCGTCAGCGTTTCAACATTCACGGATATGTTAGGTCTGAACATGAGGACAACGATAATAATGCGTTTTACATCCATGTAGAGTCGGATGAGCAAGAAGTCTCTCTGTATGCTGTTGAATACCAAACCCCGCATGTGCTATCAATGTCTGAGATTATTGCTGGCCTTCATGTGATGCATCTGGATGATGATTTCATTGACAATAATGGTGGTAGCTTCGACAAGCATGCAACCTGGGTTGTGGGCAGCAGTAATCACGCAGTTATTCTCCAATATGGCCAATATTGGAGTTCAGTATGGCTATATCTACACCGGGGAGGCCTTCATCTGTCTTCATATCACAGAAGACCCGTCAGTGGTGCAATACTATCTGCTTATCCCCAATTTAGACGTCACTGATGGAGATGAGTTTCGGCTCCAACGCACAGCAGTTGCTCATGTTCTCGCCTTGACCCTGAACACCATGCAAGCTACTCCACCACCGCAGTCATGGTACGATGCAGCTGAGCAACTGGACGAATGGGAAATTGACTTCCCTGATCCTGACTACCCTGATCCCTTAGAACACATACCAGGATCGGTCCGCAAAAACCTACTGCCACAATACAACCCACCATCTTGGAAATCTATTGAGGAACTCCCTTCTATTCCGCTATAAATCCAAAGTACAAAGACCAACACGAAGATTCAATATTATGCAATGAAATGCACAAGTGGCTTAGCCAGAAGAGTCCCTCTAAATCCTCTATGTCCGAACGCCAAATAATACATGAACTAACGCATCTTTTATCTGTCCATTTGTCACAGGATCGAGAAAATGGCTTCGAACAGCTACACATATTCTGTAGGACTGGCTTCCTACTGAAGGCCACCACCAACGAGCAACTTCCAAGCCTTGATGTGGAAATCAAAGCTTATCAACTCCTTCAATTTCTTCAGGGCAAATAGGTTCCAGTACTCATCGGGGACTTCGCTCCGCAGGTCCAGCATTGGTATCACGGTGAGCAAATGGCGCATATACTTATACTAAGCTAGGCGGGAATCCGAGCATACAAGATCATGGCGACGCAGGAGCAGACTGTGCCTTAGTTCCGAAAGCAGCGCAAAGAATTCTTGAAACCGATCAGGGATCGTGGTGTCATTCACGACAATGCATCATGGCGCAATGTACTTTGGAACGAAGAAGTTAGTGGCCTTGTAGTCATTGGCTTTGAGTTGTCTCCGCAGAAGAAGAACAAGCCTTGCGACTGGGATAAGGAAGGTCGGAAAAGAGACATCTCAGCAAATAATAAGTGAATTGTCGGGAAGAGTCGTGGCTCACCAGTCCAGCTTCGGTAGCAAGTGATGCCACATTAGCAACCAAGATTTTCCATACCACCTACTGCAAGTCATCTTGGGGTTTATGAATTCACGATGATGCATACCGAATCTACGAGACGAAGCAAGCAAGCAAGCAGCAAGAATCCATAAACTTTGAAATAAATTACATACTTTTTAGTCCTATCTAATTCATCGGGTATCTGATGCAAACCAGAGCATCTTTCTTCAAACCCCCTTATCTAAACAAAAAAGACAACTAATCCTCATGCTCTCTCACCTCCTCCCTCCTAGTTTGCACCTGTCCCCCACCCTTCTTAATATCCGACAATCCATAGAACGCAATCATACCCATACCCAGGAACGCACTCACACACGAGAACACCAACGCCACAATACCCCTAGCCGTGAAACCGCCAGGCAACCACGCAACCTGCTTATTCTGGCCGGTAAGATCGGTATAATCCTCGGTATTAGCGGCCGCATTACCCGCCGTAGGGACACCCGCAGCCTCACAAACATCATAATGCTGCTGAGGGATAGTAACCCTACTCTGAATCGCCTTCGGCGCCTCAATAAACACCATAGCCAAACCCTGCGCCAAGTGCCAATCAATATGGCAATGGAAGAACCACACACCGGGGTTATCGGCCTTGAAGCGCACAACGAAGTATCCCTGCGGCGGAAGCACAAAGGTATCTCTCCGGGGCGGGTACTCCGGGAACGCAGTGTGGTTAGAAGCATTGTACGTGATCGGATCACCATCTGCATAGTCATAGAAATGAGGCCCATACGGCGGGTACCGATCAATCATCTGGAAGGCATGGCCGTGAAGATGGAACGGGTGAGTTCCCGTATCCCCGTTGTTGAGGATGATTTCCACGATTTGGTTCTCCTCTAGCACGACCGAGTGCGTGTAGTCGCCGTACACTGTCGCATCTGTGGCTTGGTCTCCCGCGGACATGACGGTGTAGAGGGCGGGAACTTTGGGAGCGGTGTAGGAGATGTCGTTGAGGAAGGCGTAGTCGGCGCCGTCGTCGAGGACTTGCATAGTGACAGTGAGTTCGAGCGAGAGGTCTGGGGACTCGAGGAGGGGCATTCTGTCATTAGGGACGAGGGACATGTCGTCGTAGGGATTGAGGTCTGCGGGGTCGGAGACGGTCATTACCGCTTGCTCGAACGCAGCGCTGGAGTTGTACTCGAGCTAGTTGGTCTGGTTGAGTTGCAGGTCTGAGGGGATGGTGTCGAGCAGGGCGGAGTCGGCGACCATGACGATGGGGTAGTTTTTCTCCGTAGAGTTTTTCATCGTCACCAGAACGGTGTAGCGCTGCGCGGCGGAGATGTAGAGGATATCTGCTTCCGCCTCATCCGTGTAGATGCCGTCGATTTCGACGATGCGCATGGTGTGGTCTTCTATGTAGAAGTATTGGGCGACGAAGGCGCCGATGTTGATGAGGCGGAAGAGGTAAGTTTTGCCTGCTTCGACGGGGACCTTGGTGTTGAGAGTGTCGTTGAAGAGGAAGGAATCTGGGATGGGCTCAGCGCCAGTGGGGTTGTCGACGGTGATGAAGGTCGGGGCGATGGTCTCGGTCAGTTCATGATACCAGTCTGTCATGGTGATGGTGAGGTCCTCGTCATACTTGTCGGCGAAGTAGGAGGAGTTGTCATGCACGATAAAGGCCTGGCGATAGCCGTCGGGGTAGCAGTAGTCCGTGTGGCAGTGGTACCAGTACGTGCCGTTCTGGTTAACGGTGAAGTTGTACGTGATGGAGCTGCCCGGCGGAACGGGACATTGGGTCACCATGGATGGGCCGTCCATTTCCGTTGTGTTGGTTTGATACATGCCGTGGAAGTGGATCGAGGCGCTCTTGTCACCAAGTCCGTTGTACATGTTTACCACGAGGCGGTCGCCCTTGTCGACTTCGATGATGGGCAGGGGCCATTGATTGTTGATGCCGACAATTTGACGCTCGGCCAGGCCATCTGGATTGGCGGTCACCCAAGTGACGTTCCAGTCATAGGTCACGGTTTTGGCCTGGCATTGGGCGATGAAGAAGAAGATGGCTGCGAGCCAAGGGAGGAGACGGCTGGGGAAAGCCATCTTTGTCTGTCCTGTCCGGGATGAGGGGGCGGACGATGAAGGACGAGAGGGAAGGAGGATTCACTCGGACAGGGAAGGAAAGAGAATCAGGGAGGATGGGGGGGAGGTTCTACGTTGGGGTTCTATATACCATGGGTTGGAGCCCGTGGGAGATGCAGCCCTTCGCGGAAGTGGAGTACGAGAGAGAAAAGTGAAATAGAAGATAAATTATGACTAGATCATCCCACTTATCAATCAGTCGGGCCGCCGGATGAAGGTAAAATGAGGAGGAGGCATCCACGAATGCGAGGCCTGAGACGAATCAGATAGCCCATCTGATATCGACTAGTACTACCGAATACTGGGCTGTACGTGAGGAACGGTTTCCCACTATCGCCCGAACTGGTAGATTTCTCGGAGTCCCACTCAGCATACAGTCCCACAATAGCTTGATCCCCAGTTCAGGTAGAGAACGCCGACTTGGCATGGCTTGGCTATAATATCTCCGACAAGGACCAGGCTTAAAGATGGCAGTCGGACAGATTTTTTTCTTCTCGCCTTTTGCAAGCGAGCAGATGTTGTCTTGTGCCTCCAATCTTATCATGTTGTCTGGGCGCTGGCTTATCTGATGCTGGGCCCTTGTCGCGCCAAGAGCGGGTATTACGCTAGTATTCTTGCGGTAATTCGTTGTACGTTTAATTACGGTTGCCCTACTTTCATTTACTACTTACTACGTACTCAGAATTATCCTGCCTTCCTCTATACTCGGCGGAACTGGCGCCTATTTTTTCTTGGGTCGCCATGGAACCACAAAGCGGCCAGAAGCAATTACAAATTATAATCTACCTACATTACCCGCATGATGCGGTTTAATGAGGAAAACCCGCTCCGTTGTCTATACTAGCACTATCGCTACACAGCCCTAACCTCCGCTTCCTTCACAGACATGGGCCCTCCGACACCAGTTTCTTTCGCCTTGCCACTCTCTGCAAAAATCCCCGACTGCTCCACCGGCTCAAAGTTCTCTTCTTCCACTGGCCGACGAAGAATGGCCGCTATCACCCGGGCCTTGAACGCCTGGTAGCGCGCAATCATCGGGTCAATAACGGGGATTGCACCACGCCGCTCCCGATACATCATCGCAGCATAGGCGAGTATCACGCAGATCCAGAATAGATTATAGCCAATCACGGATCCGTATGTGGCCGAGTTTGTCCATCCCAGCAAGGCGTTGAAAATGCCCCATCCGCCGCCACCTCCCAACTCGGGGTTGCAGCAGTTGACGTGCCAGATGCTCTGTCGGATATCATAAGACCCAGGGCCTGACCCCGTTTCGGAAGCATCCCCACCAATGATTTTGTTCCATGCGTTATTTTGGAAGTACCATATGCCACGAGAGAACAAGCCTCCGGCTACCAGGTAGAGGAAGCAGGTCGAGACAATTAAGAAGAATTGCATGGTTGTTTCGCTGCCTCCTCTATAACATGCAATGTCTGCATTAGCTGGTGCCGCCCAATGAGTAACAGTACAGGGACTTTTCTTACCGATAAATCAAATATCCCACCAAGCATCCTGCAATGAGACCGCACACTACCGCCAAAGGGAAGGAGGTAGCCGGCAACCCCAACCCAACACCACCGACATAGACCACTGCCTCCAGACCCTCACGAAGAACAGTGATAAAGGGCAAGATGAACATGACGTATTTCTCGAGCCACATCTTCACTCGGCCCCTGCGCGAGCTATTGGTGTTACGGTGGTGCTGAAGAGCCTTGGTGAGTTTGACCCGCCATTTCTCCTGCAGCTTTGACACGCGCAACAGGGCCGCTCCCATGACCGCAATGATAAGGGATGCTAATATTCCTAGGACTCCTTCCCAGATATCTTCGGTGCTGGAGAACGTGTCTGTGCCAAGGCCGTAAAAGGCGCCAATCATGCCGGCGCCGACGCAGAGGCATATGAATAGTCCGAGTGCGCATCCTAGCCAGACCTGGAGTGGGAAAACATCATCAGTAGCGAACTTTGGTGGTGATGGTACGCTGAAGCCGTGAGTACACTTACTTGCTTCACGAGTCGTTTATACGTGTCACCCCCTTCATTCCCAAGTGTCTGCTTCAAGAAAGCCAGCAGCACAGACACAACCACGCTTGTTTCCAGGCATTCTCGAAAGCAGATGAAGAACACTGGCTGGGATCAGTAACCCATCATTTCATGAAACCTTCAGTTTTGTTGTGGTGATCTCACCAGTGACAGCAAAGACCGGGTTATTGCCCATTTTGACGACAAAGGGAAGAAAATCTGCCCTTGGGACACAAGACAGAGACACGCGACAGCTGGGAATTATTTTATCAGATCATCTTTCGAGATACGAGATCCGCTGATTGATAAGTATTTCTCGCTTGGCAAGTTTTTCCGCCTTTTTTCTTTTTATTTTTTTCCTTTTAATTTATTTTTTTTTTTCCTAGCCACGTCCGTCTATCTTACCCCTCACCGTAAAACAGATTTTTACAGGTTCGCATCTTACCATACCGTGTACGACCCATGCATCAGATTGATATGATTGCTGTTGGGGTGATGCGAGGTGGGAAGGGGGGGGGTGGATTCACACTCACCGTGGTCGGTCGTGCCTATCACCCCACGTCCACCGAGCCGATCGGATTGGGTATCCGTCCGCTTATTATGACTAGAATGAGACACTGGCGCCATTCGTTGACCATCCCAGTCACACGTGCTGGGTGAGGGAAATGTGCCTATGGTGGAAATACGGGATAGTTATTGGGTAGGTGGGGGTTGCGGGTCAGTCATTTATTACTACTGACTGGTTCACTCTTTACAAGATGCCATTGGGAATGTCAGGGTCCTCTACGGTGCTGAGTCGAGACTCAGATGAGACATCTGATAACTACTCCCCTTCCTTTTCCAATCAGGCCTACGAAGTGCATCCTTGAGACCAGAAAACATTGCGGTAGGAACCACACTCTCTGAAACCAACCTTTTTCAGTATGTTGTCGGAAAAATGCCATCATCTGGCGCCAGTGATTTCATATCGTGCAACGCTGGGATGATACTTCCCGTTCGACTGCCGAGATTGCCAATAGGAATGCGGATCATCTATCGGACGGCTCGCGTGCAGCTCCCTGCCTCTCTGGCTTGTGTCACCCACTTCATCCGAGGTCCGAGTGGCATCATGGTGAAAGTTCATCAAAACTTCACCGACATAGCGTACAGGTTTCAAAGGGGCACGGGGGATTCATCCCTGCCATTGGTCGTCCCCTCTGCTCCTATCGAGACAATTAATTTGGGGGTACATACACTCAGCAAAAAGAGGACGATACGAATGATGTTGGGAACATGACCCCTCCAACGATTGGCTCATGTCAAGCTTTTCCTGGCACGAGGTGTGGATACTTCGGCCAAACTTTGTTCGGGCCCGAGCGAAAGGAGTATAGCTTCATGTTCCTGGACATTTGGGCTGGTCGAGAATGTGGCTGTGGATGATCCGTGGAACTGCCCACTGTTTACGCAGGAAGTTTCTGTTTGAATTACCGTTCAGACAATGGTGTCTAGTGGTAATATTCATGCATGTGTGTCTTACTTGATTGTGGTTTTGGAGGGTGGTGTTGAGCGAGACAGGTAAGGTAGTATGCTAATCTACAGATTGTGCTGGGGCGACTGTTCTGCCGCAGGACTCTACTCTCTGTCTCGTGCTATGGTAGAACATACGTAGGCGTGGGTTACTCCCTGGTTAGTGTGATTGTCTGTCAACCGAGTTGATCGCACTTGTTGCTCCTACAGTGTTCCGTCGGATCCATGGGAGTAGCCAGCCACTGAATACACCACAGGTGACTTACTGACTTTTGTGGATATGACGGTGAGAGTTACCGCTCAGCTCTATGAATACTTATTGTATATCTCTCGTGATATTAATTTATTATTGAGTGCCCTACTACTACTGTATTCACTATCATGCGGCTGAGTGTGGCCCCTTCTCTATATAACCAGGACAGTACTCAGGCACCCTATCACACACTCTCCATAACACTGGGTACTACTACTGATACGAATGGAGTAATGATATATAATGCGAAATATCTCTTTATCTAGTATGATATGATCATGATGGCAATCTAAGCGGAATACTATATATATATCTTGATCCCCTTTGCCCATACAGTTTCGGTCACTTGAAAGTTGCAATGGGAGAGAGACCAATGTACTATGTAGCATACTACCGTTGGGATTGGAAACAGAAAAAATGGTTATCATATAATGGCCGCCATTAAGAAAAAAAAATAAGAAAATGAGCGATAAAGTGCCCTACAAAAAAAAGAAAGAAAAAAGAAATGTCAAATCAGGCTCAAACGCCAACTTTTTGGCGCTGCTGGGAATCGAACCCAGGTCGAAACGGCGCTGCGGAGAACCACAACGTTTCATGATGACCACTACACTACAGCACCCTGATTTGTTGAAAGTTGGTTCATTATTGTGCATAATATTCTACCACTTATCGATCATCAACTCTCCACAGCTCAGGAAGTTTCAGGTCAACGCTCAGGATGCTCGGTTCATCCCGTTCATTTCAACGAACCCTTCATCTATTTGTCGCATACAGTAGGGAACAAGCCGGATTGGTCTCGCAGTGTGGACTGCCTGATTGTGGCCCGCAATGTCAAGCGCCGCCTGTGATTGGCTGGCACACGTGCTGCCCCTGCTGGGTTATCGATAAGCATCGCGTCGCTTTCTTTATCGCTGCGCCATGTCTATTCCATCTCCATCTCCTCATTCATCTTGTCCACACCCTCTTCGATTCTCTACCTCTCCCTCCACTTCTGTCTTCTATGGCAGCTCTAGAACCTCCAGAGGCAGACTTGCCTATTTATCGTTCCCCCAAACCAGTCCCCTTTGAGCTAGCCCAACATGCAGCCATCTTCTTCGAAGAGCGACTCTGTCCGTCCCCTCCGCATCGCTATTTCTTCTTTGTCCACATCTGACCTCTCTGTTTAGATACGCAAGCTCTCAATTTCCTCCTGAATATCCTCACATCCGGTACCGTTGCCTCAGCGCCAGTATATACTCCACCCGTCCAGCAACTCGCCCTAGCCGCAACTCTCCTCATACACCCTTCCACCACCACGCGCGCAAAAACAACTGAGGAGGAAGAAGCACCCCTGGCCGCTTTACGTCTGCTTCGACTGACCAAAACCCTCGTCGGACCCATCTCTTCGAAGCTCAGCGTCGCATTCTCTTTCAACAAATCTGACTTCCCCCGCCATACAAGACGACGTCCTGTGGCAGAAAACATCCCCCCTCCCTCGGATCTATCTTCCGAGGACACGAAACCCTTGAACTTAGATCTCGGCCAGTCGCTTTCCTTGTGGTCCAACGCAGAAGACTTCTGGCATGTCGTTGGTTGGGCGTTCAACTGTTCTGTTCGCCATCGCCCCCGCTGGACGTGGTGGCAGGTCTGGCTTGAATACATGTGTGATGTTCTGGAGAGTGATTGGAACGAACGGTTTCAACAGTACAAGGAGGCTCACACCGGTAACGCCATTAGCGAACAGGGACCACCACCCTCCCCAAAGAAAGGTCGAAGGAAAAAAATGCATCATGACGATGACCCAGCCCTCCACATCCTCAGAGAAAGTCTCATATTCCGTTACATCCACGGAGCTAGCACCACATACGGTCCATACCGGCGCATTGTCCGCTCCATCTTTGCAGACGGTGGCTCGACCTCTCGCAATGAGTTTCGCGAAGTCTTCGACAATGAACTCAAATACGCACAAGCCCACACCTCCACCAGCAGAAAGCGCAGTGCACAGGTCAACATCGATGAGAACGAGTTCGGCGACTACCTCACGGACGATGATCCGGTCGAGGATGGAGAATATGACAACGAAAACAAGGACACCGACGAGACGAACACCAATTTTGACGGGGAGGTATATCCATCTGATTCAAACACCAGCAGGACCAAACGTGCCCGGGAGAAAGCTACCCCTCGCCGGGCACCCCAGCCCAAGCGCAGAGGCAAATCACTAGCTCTTGGCCCCAACGGCATCAACACACCCCCCGGCCCATACGGCGGCTCTGCCCCAAGCAGCAAATCTGGCGCTCGTGTACCCATCGAAGAGCTCCCAACCAAACACATCCCCTACATGCACGGCGACGTCGGCTTTTACGGAGGCATGCGCTCGCTCGGTCTCCGACAACGACTCCTACAACTCCTCTCAACCGTCTCCCAATACCTCCCCGACGACTTCATCCCCCTCGAAGACCTTTACCATCTTTACGCCGAAAACATCCGTCACCTGCCCCTCCCCGTCTTCCAAGCCTTCATCAGCCCCTCCACCCTCCCCTACCTCTCCGGGCCTGCCAAAACCACCCTCTGCGAATTCCTCCTTTTTCGCATGCGCGAGTCCGCCGCCCCCGACAGCGACGAGGAATATCTCAACCAAGCCAAACTCGAACAATGTTTTCTACCCTACGCGGCCAGCACAAAGTCCATAGCTGATAACACCAAGGTCTCCATTGCCCTGGAGTCACTGATCATCCTCCTCGCCGATAATGGCATGCTAAGCGTCACGAAGAGTCTGCGAGAAGCAGTTCATAAGGGCGTTAATCGCCGGTTCGACCGGTCCGAATACCAATCGAAGAAATATGTTCAGGAGGCCTATAGGTGGGCGGATGATATCGAGCGAGCATGGCTAGAGGAGAGTGCGGAGCGATTGTATTTCCTCGTGCAGATTATTCTGCCGTTCGAGGGTAATGCCACTGCTGCATGATGCTTGTCCCAGGGGGTACTGAGATGGTTTCTTTTTCTTCATTTCTCTCATTTGCATGTGTATATGTGATCGGAGTGAGCGATTCAAAAGCAAGCGCGTCATGTCTGTTTTCCTTGTCTGGGTATGATTTTTGCCTCGCTCATCGGTTATATACTGTCTTAAGACAGCTTTCGGCTATGTTTTATTGATGTATAGATAGTATAAATACCCTACCCTTTGCTAATTGAAACTACGAATCTGAAACTGGATCTGAACTTTGAAATGTCTATCAATTTTTAGCTGAATACTGCTTTTTATTTGCATTTGATTTATTTTTATTGTGTTTTTTCCCGAACAGAAATATAGTAACCACTCATGCCAAGCAAACTTCGCAGTTGCACACACCACCGCACCAAGCGGCGTGAGAGGGATAAGAGAAAAGGAGGCAAATGAAAAGGGTATATCCACGACACAGGGGAGATAAAATAAACCAGACAGGCAGACAAAATAGATAAAGGGGGTAGAAAAAAAAAAAAAAAAAACACTAAACGCGGCGAACTATGAAAAGGCTCACTCCACTTTATATTTACGGAGGTGGCCTCGGCCCAATAATCTGCCGCCTAGCGCCCGCAGTAGAAGACCCAGCCCTAGCTGCTGCCTCCTGTGTCTGAAGCTGATTCTCCTCCCACTCGCGCTGACGTTCCCGTTCGCGCTCCATCTCGCGCTCCAGGAGGGACTTGGAGGCCCAGCCGCCGGCCTTGGTCTTCTCTTGGGCGGCGGCGCGACGGCTATTTTCGGCGTCTACTTCCGCAGTGGTGGTGTAGTCTTGGGGCCGGTGGGCAACGGGCTTCGGGGCAACAGGGGGCCGGTTGGATGCGAGGAATCGGTCGACACGGCTCTCTTGTGTGTAGGGGCTTTGGGGTGGAGAGGTGTAGCTTGTGGGATCGGGGAGGGGCCGTGGAGGCATAGGGGGCTTCGCTTCGGTGGGGTCGGGCAAGGGGCGAGGGGGCGTAGGTGGTTTGTCCCCGGCGGAGATGACGGGCTCAGGGAGGGGTCGGGGAGGCATGCTTGGGGGAATGTCTGATTCTGCGAGTGGCTCGTCGTGGTGTTTTTGCCATTCGGTCCGGAGCATGCGACGTTCTTGCTCGAGGGAGGACAGGTCGTAGCTGGGCTGGGCTGGCCGGGGGCTGCGAGGCGGCGATTTGGTGGCCCGTTCTTGGATGTCTTGACGTTCGCGCTCGTATTGGCGTTCTCTCTCCTTGGCGCGTTCTAGCTCGCGTTCGAGTTCGCGGATGCGTTGTCTCTCGCGGTTTTCGCTGGAGACTGGGGGAACGGGAGATGCTGTTGGTAGACTGGCTTGGTATTGGCTGAGGAACTGTCCGTTGAGACGGCTGTCTTGCGCCTCTCGCCGTTGCAGTCGCTCGCGCTCTAGCCTATCCTCCGTTTCTCTTTCTTCACGCTGGCGTTGCCGCTCCTCTTCTTCCCATTTGCGCTGTTGCGCGTCCCAGCGCTTGCGCTCCTCTTCGACTTGACGCCGTTCTTTCTCCCTCAAACGGTTCGTTTCCTCCTCCCAGCGGCGCTCTTCCTCGATGCGTGCACGTTCCTCTTCCGCTTCGCGCTCCTGCTGGCGCTGGCGCTCCGCTTCCTGCTTCTCCAGAAGCTGCCGTTCTTCTTCCTCCTTTCTCCGCTTTTCTTTCTCCGCCAGGCTGGGAACACGCGGGGCAGCGGTAGTGATCTGCCGACGAGCACCAAAGGCAACGCCCTGGTTGCCCTGGTTGGCACCGCCCATGTAGCCGTACTGGTGAATGTTCCAGGCCGGGGCCGTGGCAAACTCATCCGATTTCTTGCTCCAGCTGCTGACTGGCTTCGGGGATCGTGCCGGGCTGGAGTGTCCGGATACACTCGATTTGGTGGGGGTGTAAGCGCCTTGGCTGGAACCGGTGGCATGCGGGCTCAGAGTGGCTGCCTTGCTTTGAGGGCCGAGTGCGCGAGGGAACTTGTTAGGCTGGAGAGCATTGGCCCGGCGGCTGAAAGATGTGAGACATTGTAGGACCTGTGCGGGGTCCTTGGCTTCGTAGAGATCGACGGTCAGGAAAACATCGTGCGGAGGGAGGCTGATGGGCTGCATTTGGCATGCGCGAAGGAAGTGAGAGATGTTCTCCATCTGCACGAAGGGCATCGAGGACTGCTTGTACTTGACGCCGGGGGAGACGGCCAAGTTGACTAGCCTGCAACATTGTTAGTGTCCATGAACGCCCCCAGATCGACACAGAATAGTCCTCATCTCACCTGCAGAGTGCAACGCCATCTTTCAAAGCATCCAGGAGATCTCCTGGCTGGAGTTTTTCGTGTAACACTTCTTCAATCCAGTCGCGGACTTCCGCAGCTGCCTGCGGGGTATAGCGGGACAAGCGCAGACTGCGCAAGTCTTTGTCAAGCGAAGTGACGGAGGCCATATTGAAGTTCGAGCCGTCTCAATCAGAGCGTCTGGGACATGCAGACGAATTTATAGGACTGTTAGGTAGCTTGGGCGCAAAAAAATACGAAATAAATAGGGGGAGTGGGTGTTTATAGTGGCTTCCGGTGGGACGAACCGGCAGTACGTCACAGGGGTTCAGGAGGGGGAGGAGGCTTATGTGAGGGCGGATGAACCGGAAGATCAATCAGGGTCTGGATGAACTGGAAGGGGAGGAGATGAGAAGACAGATCACCGGGGATTATGAGGGATCAATGCTGAGAATTAACCGAAGAGGCAGAGACAAAAACAAAAGCAACGAAGCCAAAGTTGGAGGGCGCAAGGAATGCGGCGTGGAATGGAAATCGAACTCGAGGCCCGAAATAGAAAAGAAACGCCCAGAACAATACCGTATTGACGCCCCGTGACCGCCCAATCTTACCGATGACGTCCCGTCTGCCTGATGCTTGAGGTGTCGATCACCGCCCAATCATCGCCGCTTCAATTCATCTCGGCTTCATCATTTCGATGATCGGAACATCTTCCTCTCCCTCTGCGCCACTTCACCACCACTGCACTGCCTCAATTTAGATCGCATAGCCTTCGATCGACCACCATCCTCACTTCAATCCCTCAATGAGTCCGATCAACAGTCTCTGGTTCAAGTGGAAGAGCCTTCGCCTACCCTGGCGCAGGTCCTTCCTCGTCGGTAAGCCCATCTGCCATCTTCCATCTATAGCTCTCTAGGAACCCTCCTAACACAACCCCCCTACCCCAGGCACCGACCTACGCGGAAACACCTTCTGGGAATTCAAAGACCAACTCAACGCTGGCCGCTTCCGCCGTATCGTTAAAACCGATCCGAAAACCCACCTCGCCGATGTCCAAGTGAGCCGTAAGTGTTACCTATGCTTCTCATAGTACAACAACAGCTGACAACGCACCCCCGGAAAACTACAGCCCAATGGCACCAATGGCTTCGCTACGTCCGCGCAGACCCCCCGTCCATCCAAGAACAACAACAAGACATCATCCGACAAATGCAAATCAAGGAATTAGCCCGTCTGGCCGATGAACGCTGGGCCAGCAAAGCATCGTATCTGGATATGCCCAAAACCCAACAACAACCGCTCCCCGCCACCAACACGAGTGATGCGACGGTAGCCCAAGCAAACAAAAGCTCTTCGGAGGATACACAGACGGCAACGGCGGAGGCTGCGAAGAAGGATGACCCCTGGGCGAAGGCGGCGGCAGGCGCTCCGGGTCAGAAGTGGCAGCCTGATTCGTGGAGTCCGACTGCGTCGAAGAGATGAGTAAGTGAGGTGTCTGAAGTGAGTGAGGTGGAGAAATGCAGCAGCTCGGCTTGATTACTCCGTATCTGGGCCCTCCGTTCTCTCGCTTCTAATCTGAAACGCGTACTGTGCATGTCAGACTCGTCACCTCTGAACTAGGCACATCTGGGGTTGCCTTGCCAGGTTGCCGTCCGTTCCCGAAATGCGGAACACGCCAGAAATAGGGAGAAAGGTGATTGGCCGTGTTTCGTTGTTGTCGTCGGAGCAACATCACAGACAGTTGCGAAACAAAGTATCTGTCGATGAGAGACATCACATTTTTTGGTGATCAGTGACGGGATAGGATGTTTCCCATGATTCTCGGCCATCTAGAGCTCTGGCTTAGAAAACTCCCATCTCTTGTATATTACGAACTATTACTGTAATATGAATGAACCTATGTACATTATTGTAACTGAAATTATCTACCAGGTCATTGTTAGGCGAACATTAATAAGCCCTCTTGTGGACGGGGAGGTATGTCGAAAGCAAAGGTGCTTGATTTCTTCGGTGTCGCCACCTAGCTGCATGTATACAAAATCACTCGCTTCCGTGCCAACATATGTTTCAAGAATGCAGTATTAGTGGTATAGATTATATCCAACTAGTATGAGGTTGATAGAACCCGTATGCCCGCCAATCTAACGCTTTTAGTGAAATACAACTCCAAGTCCTTTTCGGCTCAAAAAGCAAAACTGACAGACGAACACCCAAACGACCGTTGCCTTGTATCGGGAAATGAAACAAACAGACAATAAGATAAAGTAATAAAAACAAACTCTCGAATGGTATAACGAACTTTCAAAAACTGGCTAGCCGCAGAACACAAATGACGAACAAACGGATACTGGCAAACGAGCGATGCACTGGATGGACATGTGAGTATTACTATTACATATGATATCAGCATAGAATGGCCTCCAGAGCTTCAACATCTCCTCCGGCACTCCGGACGGCTTGCAAGGCAGCCTCGCTGATCTCGCGGCGTCGAGCGCGGGCTTCTTGCTCGCGTCGTGCCTTGGTCTTGGAGCTGCCACTGGGTGCGACACCAGTGAGAATCCTCTTGGAGTCATTCTGGGTGAAATTCACGAAAGATACGGTGACGGACTTGTTGCCTCCCTTTGGACTGCCCGATGAACTATGGAGGCCCTTGACTGGCTTTGGTGCGCTCATTGAATTGGAGGAAAGCTTTCGGCTCATACTCTGGCGCTGGAATGACCTCCGGTGACCGTTGTGCATCATGCTTCCACTCTTTGGTGAGCCCGATCCAGGAGACAGCGACGGGGAGCGTGAGTGGGTGGGAGGAATTTGCGGGGTGACGAAAGACGATGAATCCACTGACGATGCAGTGGGCTGCATGTAGGCGCGGCTCTCATGACCATTTGGAGCGGAAGGCAGGCCGGACGAGGGGAATGACGAATGTGTGTTTGAAAGGTCGTATGACGAGGGGTCCAGTTGAATCATAAGGCCCCCTTGCAGCATGTCACTCTGACTTGCAGAGTTCTGGATCGGTCTCTGTGCAGCTGGGGACGCCACCATCTGCTGATATGAAGGCTGTCGCTGTGGGACTCTTGAAGCCATTGGCGACCACCATGCTTGGCCATCCTGTCCACTCAGATCTGGGGTGCTGTACGGAATCCCAGAAGAGCCAAGAGAGTCGGAATGCCAGGAAGACATGGACTGAGGCCCTGAAGAATGTGGGGAGGAGAAGATGTCGTCAGCCGAAGGGGGACTCGAGGTGGGCAACCCCGAGCCGCTGGACTGGCTTAAATATCTCGGGGGCTGCCCCGCTAGCGCAGCTGTCGACGGAGAAGGCATGGAGATAGCGGGCGACTGGTTGAAGATGCTGGTGTCATATTGAGGAGGCATTTCAGCTGATGCCTTGGGTAGTGTTTCGGTGCGGTTTAGGTGGACAGCAGAATTGTCTGCAGCCATATTCTCCTGTTGAACGAGAATGTCGGAAGGTGGTGGTGACAGTGGCAAGCGTTCATCCGAGCTGCGAAAGCTGAAGTTGTTGAATCGCTGCGCCCAGGCTTCAGGATACGCCATTCTATTCCGTTGGGGTTGAGAGGAGCGTGTTATGCCAGGGGAGAAGCTCTGCTTGTGCAGCGGACCACGACGATCATTAGGTTCGCGATGACGACGTATCACCTTGGGCGTAGTCACAGCACTTTTGGTGGTCTTACGACTAGGGGTTGCTGGAGGAGTCGATGGAGAAGGGCGGGTTTCCGGAGCGCACGCTGTCGGCGGAGCTTCGTAGTTGACACCCAGCTCAGAAACGGCAGATGGATGAACGGTATCCTGTAGAGAGAAATTCTGGCCTTGGCCGGTAGAAGAGTCCGCGTTCTGGGGCAGACACCAAAAGTCTTTACTCCAGTTTTGGGCTGGTTGCTGATGGGGTTGCGCTGTTGACGTGGAGATGGCCGGAGAGTGCTCGCCACAGTCGCTGGACAATGACTCAAGCTGAAATATTTGGTCAAGATCGCCAGGGAATGAAACATCTTTGTTGCCATCCACACTGGAGCTGTCCATATTGACGTACTGATTAAATAAATCTAAATCATTCAAGGAATGGTCGAACTGCTGGGCGAACATTGTGCCAGACGGGGTGCCGCTTTCCGTTTGCGGCGACGACCAGAGTAGCTGTCAAAGGTCGACCCAACGAACACTTGGGCCGAGTAGATATGACTGGCGACGAAGGCCGCGGAAGCACAGAAGCTTGACGCAGAGGAAAGCTTGACGCAAAGTAAGGGACGGCTAAGCTAGCCGAGTATCCGTCCAAAATGGCCGTGGTGATGACGATGGCTTGAAGTGATGATGGAATGCACTGGCAGTGTTGGAACAGTTTGACGAGTTGACAATCGAAGAAAACAGTGCACAAAATGCAAAGTAGACAAAGCAAACAAACAACAGACAGAGGGCTCCTATTTGAATTGCTACGATGGGCCCCAGCCTCTGGATTCTCCGCTGGATTCTGTGCACATTCCAAGAGCTCTCAACAAGGGCAAGATAGGCAGGGAATGTGCCATCAAGGAATACGCAGCCCCTCGATATGGCCCACCCCATCCCAATTGCCCGAGCAGAACGGCCCATGCCTTTCCCACAAGCCATTGTCGCCAATCAGGAGGAGTGCAAAGTCGGTGGCTGATTCGTGCCATCCACTGCCAGACACCCTCCACCCAGTGGGCTCGGAGCACTGATGGCCACCCGCGGGAATGCAACCTTTACTATGCCAGAAACAGGGTGCAGAGGTATCAGCAGGGCGGATATGGGCGGGTCTCAGAGGAACCAGCGAGCACTGAGCCAATGACACCGACCTCGCCATTGTTTGATAATCGATGTCGAGGCTGGATCGAACTATGAGTGTCACAATGGAGGTCGACCGGCTTCGACGGCTCGACGCGTCAAGGGACGACGTGGAGAGGGGGCTCAACGGGCTGACTGACACCTGAGTGTAAGCGTCATTGGGTTGCTTTGGCTCATCCTGAGTCGTATACGTAGGATAGCAGCCTCAAATGATTTGCACTAAATTTCCCCGACCGAACCTTTGCTCCACGCTCTTCCCGCATGGTGGAGCTAATGATCTTCGGGTACTCAATGAGCTACCGTTGGTGAGCTGGGTGGCCTGAACATTGGAATGCTGGGCCTAGCAAGAATGCACACCCCCCGTAACAATGCGTGGAAAGAAGGATTTGGCATCCCGGATTGAAGCCCCTCCTGTATGCTTTTTGCATTAAGCATTAGCTCTAAAAAAAAGAAAGAAAATTCCTCTTCTTAGATCTGTAGATTAACTCGTCGTTTAACACAAGTTTCTATAATTATCCCCCTTCACGGGTGAAGTCCTGGCGAAGGAGGGAGGACATAGCTATTCGCATTCAGCTCTGGCCTACACGTTCAGTGAGTGTGCTGAGCTCTGTACCCATTGGCCTTGGATTACGCTGAAGAATAGGCGGTCCGTATCGTAGATTCGGCTTTGCGAGGGCTCGGAACTCTAAGTGTGATGTTTCATCGCGATTTCTTTGTTTCTTGTCTCAAGATAGATAATATGATTCGCCAGTCTAGTGAGAGTTTAGTACAGCATAAGTTCGTCTCAGAAGCGAGGCCGTCTCATTTCCCTGGCCAAGTTGCCCTTTCTTTGTCCCGAATCCTCAGCATCTGGTGGAGCTGGGGTTCGTAATACTTAGGCTTACGAACGACAGGCGATCGGGGCAAGGCCACGCACTTCCGAGAGACGTTGAAGGCAAGTGGTGGTTTGGAAGATGTCTTATCAGGGGTTCGCCGAAACCGTCGTTCTGGCAGGTACAGTAAGTCGAGAAAGCCACCCAGAAGAATTTCTAGGGCCAGCTTCTTTTAGTGCGTTAAGCATACCAACACCTAAACATAGACAACCGAGCATGGAGTGTTGCTAAGTGTGGAGTATAGATTCTCTGCATCAATTGTAAGTCATTCTCGACTATGAAAGTCGGACGAAGATGGTGGGCATTGTAGCAAAGGCAAGCGGTAGTGCCGCTTATTTCCTTTTCGGGAAGTCACTGTGCCGCTGTCCCCTCGACAAGGACTGACTCTCTTTCAAAAAAAAAAGTAAACCATTAGCCTTGGATTGGGGTGGAGAAAGAAGCCAGATATGGATTAGAGCCCAGGAACATGGATGGAGAGGATATCTAAGCGAAGAGGCCAGCTCCAGCAGTGAAATGTCGACAATCAATGTTACCTCAAGTGTACACAGCATCCCACCCATGATGAGAAACACTCACCGGCGGCATGTAGAGACTCCGGCACGGAATTACTCGCAGCTCCGAGCCGAGTAGTGGCGAGCGCTGATTGGAGGAAATAGCGAGACTCAGCCGCAACAGCTAGACCTAAAGGAGCATTCCGCGATCGGCCCGATGGCAGCGCCGGAAAGGAAAGGAAAGGAAAGGGAGGCAACAAGGCCAAGGTCATGTGGTGATGACGGAAATCTGACTGACACCCGCGAGGTTCGCCTTGTTCCCATCCCTTTCTTCCACCCCAGCACTGGTTACTGTGCTATTTCTCATCCATTCTAGACACTTCTCGGCGTACAGTTCGTCGAGACTTATCATACCTGAACTTCCTTTGAGGGACTGTCTCTCAACGAATTTTTGTTCTTTACCCCTCGTTCCCTCCCGTTGCACCACTCGTATCCCCACGAAAAGTGGGCATGACATTATAGCGCCAGGGCATCGGCCATCGGTTATTGCCCCTCTTTACGAACAAAGCACCCAGCCAAGTTCCGAACGGAGCCCATAACGCCGTCATCCTCACGCAGAGTTGACGGATACTACCCAAGCACTATTCAACGCGTCGCGGTATTTGCATAGCATCAAATATTGCGCCTTCTCATTCAACTCAACAACCGAGTTCACAGACGACCCAGCAGTCTATATGTATCACGTCAGACACTCCATCGAAATCGAACGTGTTTTCAAGGGCAAGAAAGGGCTTAAACCGTATATCTCGGCCAAGAACCTTTCCAACAACCAAACGCGCATGCGTCTTGACTCAAAACTATCCCCCAACTTGAAGTGAATTTACAGATATCCATAATGTTTTGCGAGGTTATTCTGGTCAAGGGCCTTCTCGGCTCTCACTAGGCGGCTACTACCTTTGCGCCTGTGCTTCACCATGGATTCCTTCAAACCATTTGGAGGCCTTCGAAGCCACTATTTGAAATCCAAAAATCTCCTCTCTGCATTTTTCGCCCAAGGCAATTGACTTTTCTTCATCCCAGTCGCTACGAGTGCGAGTGGGAATCTCTTTGTCAAATTTGCTTTGGATCTTCTTGGTTATTGCCGCTGTTGGCAATTTTCTTTGACCAGATTATTCTGCAAAAGGCCTCTACCAAAATGAGCCCTCAAAACATGAACAAAAAGTCATGGGAGTCTCTCTCTTCAACGTTTTCTCAACTTGAAGTATCGATCTCTCATGACAGTTGCTATGCCTCGGACGAAGTCTCTGTCGTGTCGACCAAGCAAACCACCTCGAACACCTCTGGTGTCTCAGGCCCGGTGACTGCAACCGAACCGTCTCTTGGTTCCTTTTTGAAGCCCATATTGAAAAGACCGTATTCCGAAATCGAAGAAGATGAGGAATCAGAGTCGGGCTATGCATCGGAAAACTCGGAATACGACTACGATGCGATTTTCGAAGACAGTGATGACGACGACGATGATGATATGTACCATGTCTCGGGGTGGGACGACGCATCCGATATAATGTCTGAATCATGTGACGAAGACGATGCCGAATCCTTGGATGGATCTTTCATCTCTTTTGGACCTATGGTCCGATTTGACACAAACATACGCTATATCGATGCTCCAGTGTCGCTGGACGATGATGAAGACTGTGATGCAGAGCTGACTGGCCACGAGCTCATGGAACGTGCACTGGCATCTGGCACACTCCGGTTCAAGGAGTCAGTCGACGACCTGGACGTCGACGATATTGAGGATGACGAACTCAGCAGTACGCTCGAGTCGATCAAACAGCTGCCTGAAGAGCATACCAGTGACGTCGTCGACCTGGACAAGAGGCTGTTCCTCGCCTACATGAATGGCATAAATGGGATCCCTGATCTTGAATACAAAGCCCGCCTCCGCAAACAAGCCAATGACTTCTACATCGGTCGCCTGGATTCGCCGTATTTGGACTTGGATAGTGCCAGCGGGACCTATTTTGACAATGTGCTGAATCACGTCATTGGGCTTTTCCGCAACATAGTTGCCAAAGAGGACTTTGGAGAACTTGCCAGCCTCGTCAATGGAGAAGGCGCCTCAGAGCGTTCCTCGGGAGCCGGTAGAAGTCATAATAAGGACTTACTGGCCAAGATCGAGAATCTACTCTCCGAAAGACTAGCGTGTGACACCGATGTAGGGCCAGACGAGCTTAGCTTCTTCACCAGTGGTGTTGCGTATGCACTGGAAAACTGGAATGGCTTTTTGGTCCACTAGAGTCAGATCATACAAAAAATGATGACATGACGGATGAAAAGAATTTGAAAACTGGAACTGGCCCAGATATTGATTTTTGCTTGTCATTTTTCTTTCTACGGTGTGCCATTGCACGGCACGACCGATTCCTACCAAAAGCTCATGAGCGGGGTTCAATAGTCCTGATGATTTTTATCAATAGTATGACATTGAAATAAAAAGTGCCTATTACTGAAAGTGCCTCTCCCCATACCAAAGGTTATAGGTCGTGAATTTTACCAGCCAAAGAAGGCAATAGACACGACCCGGGCCGTCCAGAAGAATACTGTCTCATCATCGGAACAGTACCTGAAACATAGAAGTGTCAATCATATGCCATACGATGCTATTGAACAAAATTTCCCTGTCAGTCTTGAAACAACGTTTTGTCCATCAAGCAAGGCACAGCCCGTCCAGCTGTAACACACATTGTCATACTACAGGCATAGTAAGTAACTTAAGATGGGGGAGGTGGATATTCACCTGACCTGAAACACGAGGCTTGGGGAGTGATACCCGGACCTGCCGTGAAACCGGTCGCTTGGGGGCCAAACAATACTACCGGCAAGTAGTCTAGGTTAGAGTACTCGGTATGACATGGGCCATTAACCTCCGAGTTTGAGTCCCGTTCTACATAGCGCAAAGTAGTGAGTGCATGTCAGCAGATCCTTGCTTGCTTACTTTAGTAGTTACTCCCTTACACTGACCACAGCCTAGTCACCAGTTATTTTCATTGGAAGAAACAACTACTGACTTCCAACTGGCAGATCAGAGCTGATGTCAGATCGGATCACATCAGTGGGCCGCAGCAAGCAAATGACTCAATGTATCAGCCATGCCACAGTCAAACCAAACAGGCTGCAACTAACCCATTAAATTAGGTAAATAAAGGAGCCTGGAGATGGGATTAATTAGTTAATCTAAACTGCCTTATGAACGGAAAGCGGAATTCGCCTATAGCCAGTCAAGTATTGACTAGACTACTTGTGTTAGTATGCATGCAACTAACTTCGTACTAACATCTTAGTTACCGAAGCCACATCGCCTCCACCGAGCCAGTTAGATCGTATGATTTTAATGAAAGTGTGACGAGTTGGTTGGAATGCTGTGTTGTTCTATGCTAAATACACTCTAGTGTGCTTCTTTTGTTTCTATTGTTGATTGCTATTTGTATTACCTACAGCATAGCCAGTGTGGAGCACAGCACATACAGTAACATGTCAATTTGGCTAGCATGAGATGGGGGCCATATGCAAGTCATCATAGATTCCATCGACTGTGCTTGGTCTGATCGGTCGGGGTTCGGACTTTGAGTCCATTTCCTTTGTACTTGTGTATACCCGGCTTGGTTCTCCTTACTTACTGTGGTGTGTCCATGCAAGCTGTGCCAGGATGTGGCACACACGCACACGCACATGCGATCGATCGAACGATCGAACGATCGTCCCTCTAATCCCTGCAATGGATGATGCTGCTGGAATCCCTTGCCTATCGCGGCGAATGGACCGGGCTGGGCTGTGTGACAGTGCCCAACACACGGGTATCTATCGGGATGGATGGTTCACATGCTGTAGATACTGCGTACAGGGGGACATACTTGATTAAACTGGTGGGTACGTAATACTGAGTAGGTTCAATGGGTAGCAGCCAGTCCACTGTATCGGAGTATATCTCGTTGTTTGTAGAACCAGAACCTCAACTCTAGTACTTGATCAGTTACTTCAACATAACACAAAGCACGACAATCCTTGCACGCTACACAGGAACATGTGCGGGCTAGGGAGTGAGTGATTGCGGGGTTAGTTTGGACTCAAGGCCAACTGCATAGTACTACATGGGAATGTGATTTGTGGTACAGAGCAGCCAGTTATGGTTATCTAGAGGTCTAGATCGTGGCGATCTTGGGTAGATATTAGTGGAGATCTCATCAGCTGGAGACGTCTGTCGATGTCACTGCTTGGGTGTGCATTCGAGATCTTCGGGGTAGGTATGGTTGGGCAGCAAGAAGTATCGATCTCATCCCGTTATTATGGGCCACGGGGGTAGTCTAACTGGATAATAGTCTTTTGACTATTGAACAGCCACTCCCGCGGCGCTAGGATGCATGGCATAGGACGAGGTGATGCTGTGATGTGGTTGGTGTGATTGAGATGCAGTTGCTGTTGTTGCTACCAGGTTGAAGGTGCCAGGATCGGAGGTCTCCCGTGGGGATTGTATTCTGTCTAGACTCAGGTTGATTGTCGACTGTTTGATAGATAAAGGATCTAGACGCAGCTGAAAAGAAGAAAGCCAAGTCAATAGCTGAATCACTCATTGATCAATCCATGTTCTAGAACTCTTCTCGTATCGCATCGTCTCAGTTTGTTCCAAGTCCTTGGCACCAATTTGACAGCTTAACCCCCGCTACTTTAGACTACTAGTCTCTTTTGATTGATGGTCCTTAGGAGAATATGTGTGGTAACTAGCATATTCTTAATAGATGAGTCGATATAGAGTATGTACCTACCGTATATTTCCAGCCTATTGGGACTTCCCATTTACCATCGCCCCCCCATCGCTTAATATAGCCTCTGATTGAGTCATGCAGTGTGGTCTCAGCTGGAGTTTTACGTGGATATTTCCCCATTCAACTAGACCCGACTGGGCTGAGCTGAACCTGGGACCTGAACGGATTCAGCTGAGACTGAGAGAAAGACAAAGTGGGTATAGCGACCATATCCGAGATAGATTAAAATCTGTAGTCGGAAACCAATCATAGACCAGCGTCCCCTGGTGTACCCGATTAACTATCCGAGGACTTACCCGGAACGGCTATATCGAGGGCCGTCCGAACCACGGAATGTGTGAACCACGGAGGCCACTGTCTACCAATGGTCATGACTGAGCATGCCTGGGTACTGGGATCGGTCCACTAGGATGGCACGGAGAGGAGATTTTTTGGATGTTTCCTGTGATGCTGTATGTATGGTTATTCGATCGCGTGATGGTGGGGTATGGTGTTGGTGGGTGTCCCTGAAATGGTATTTCAAATCTTTGGCTTTTTACCTAATTCGTATCTAGTAACTACTTACCCGGATTGCAGGGATCAGGAATAAATAGCAAGAAGATAGACATACTTACTCCATAGTGACTTCGGGGACGGCACATCCAACAGGGATATGCCCTGTGCTTCCCAGCAGCTTAATACTGAGAAGGAAGGTCGGAGGATTTTTGTGGTCCCGAATAGTCATATAAGATTTGTCAGGGCGTCCTTTAGCCTCATATGGCAATTCAGTAGCGTATGGGGTAGATATGGAGAACTTGTGTGCGTGTGCTGGAGAGTCATGCAGTACGCTCATGCATTATTGTCGTTACTACCCACCGATGATCTACCTTGTCAGTTCCGTTCAAAAGATCGCCATTCTGATGTTTGCGACCTCGTCTCGGTTGTCATCCCTTTTGCTTGTAAGAAGTCCGTGACGGCTACACGGTGGGTTGACAGGAATGCCTAGCATTTCTGGAAGGAAACGGGACCCTTGTTTTCGAGCCTCATTGCGTAATTTCTCGAAAGAAGTACCATTTCATCTCATCTCTAATTCTTCAGAGTCTCAAAAGGTGAAAGAAAGAGGAAGAGGGGGGAGGGGATGCCCGTGGTTATGGGGGGTGGATCCCATGTCCATTGGCCCTGGCACGGCTGCCTTCCGCTTCGGCCCAGGGGTATTGATTGGATTTAATAGTCGGAAATCAGAGTTTGACCTTGTGTTGGATGGGTCTGGATAAGTATTTTCGGGAAGGATATGAGGAGCCGAAATCTGGTACGGCCAATAGACGGGCTCAACCGTGGCATGTCTCTTTGTTACTATTCTTTAGGCAGAGGGAGGAGAGAGAAGAAGAGGGGGAATCCAGGAAATTCGTTCAGGAACATCACGGATAATTTTACTCTCAGAGACCTTCCATTTTCATTCAAGTCCAGAGAATTACTAGTGACATCCAACCTCGCCTAAGACGAGAGTAACCTGGAGGCGGCGTGGCCAAGCAGGCCAACACGGGTCGGTTAAGCGGTTACAGACGTACAGTAGCGCCCCTTTCCTGCAGTCGGACGGTTTTAGGGTTTTGTTTCGAAGGCTGAGTGGGGCGCATTTGTTAGTCGGTTTGGCTTCTGGAGATCGTTGTCTTTCTTGGGGGCTTCGCTGCCTTTTCCTTCGTTGCTTCTCTGGAAAGAAGTGGGAAAAAAAGGAAAAATAGCTCATGGGCTTCTTCCAACGGTCTTTAAGCCACGGTTGTTACTATTGCTCATCCAACCAAGGTATTACTCCATCAATAAATCAAGACTTGGTCACCTAAGGCAGTTGAGCTGCTTCTTAGAGCAACAATCCCTGTGCTGCTGAAAGGACATCCATGGTTCATGGCGGCCGAAAGATCCCAATAGTACCACGTTGTTGTTGTTGTATGACACACACGCACTGCATTCACCGTCCGAGTGGCAAGATCGGCAACCCGCTCGTGCCTGGAGACATCCGACTCGTGGTGAGTCTAATGCTCTCCAAAGTCAAATCAAATCATTTCCATTTGGTCTGGTAGATGATACTTTGTAGATAACACCTCCAATATACTTTTGTACTAAATGCAACTGGTACAACTGGTACAACTTTCAAGAATCCGGAGATGATTGCCAGCCCATCCCCTTCAAAGTACGGATAAGACTTTCCACCGCGAGATTTGATAATCCCAAGTTAGTCTTCACCGTTCATAGCGACCGTCGCCTCCCATCAATCTCCCCCTGCTCCACTTCCCCCTCGACCCTCATTTGCCTCTGCTTTCTCTTCTTCCTCCGGGAGGGAAAAAGGGCGGGATCCACCTCTCCTGATTTTGCTTCGAGTAAAAAGAGACTAAAGTGGTACTAACTCGCCCAGTTAGTCTGTAATTGTAATAGTCAGTAATACTAGACAATCCTAACTCACTAAACATTTCATTTCTCGGGTCTGAATGGGGAGCTAGAGACTAGTAGTAGTAAAGAGAGACAGACAAGAGACAGTGAGAAAGCAAAGCAACTCTCATTGCAACGGGATCTTCTGGCTGGCTGTTACTCCTGAAATCCATCTCCCCCAGCTACCAACATCTACTCCAAATCTTTCTTTCTTCCTTCTTCCTTTCTTCCTTTCACTTACTCTCTTTCTTTCTTACACACATACTACACACACACTCTCTCTCTCTCCCTCTCTCCTTTTCTCCTCCTCTCTTCTATAGAACTCTTCAATGAGTTTTCACTTCCGTTCAGTTCTTTATTGATCTCTCGGAATCGATTTCCTTCAGATCCCTTTCCGCGTCTTATCGACATGACCCCGACGTACTGTTAATTGGTTCCTTTCTCCGGGTACGTTCTACTTAGTCGCGACACTATTTTGCCCTGCATCCACCCCGTTGGTACTCTGTACTTCTTATTTTTCTTTTTCTTTTCCCCTTCCTCGCTTTGCTTCGGTCATCCTTTGTTTTTTTCCTTCGCGCCTTCGCTGCTCATTGCACCCTCCCCCCCAATCATCTTTCTGTATTTGCTTTTGATAGTCTGGGATGATCCGACGCCATCTTACGGCATCCGTTCAGAAGGCAGACTGCGCAAAGGCGAATCAAGCAAAAGGCCCCCAAACTAGGCTGTGCATCGGAGGTCGTATTGTTGGAAAAGCTGACGAAGATATGCTTATGCCTTATGACTTCTAGGATGATCTAGCGTGCTATTTCCCTAATCTTTCTGGCCATTCTCTTTGACCTCCGAGACTATACCCCGAGTCGTTCACTTTCTATCCTACTTCTTTAATACCTACTACCCTGTGCGCGCTATCGGGGTCGATATATGACCCTGTGGTTCAATCATGCAGCACAACAAGGGACTCGAATCCCACGAGCTGGGACGGACGCTTTCGCGTTCGCGCAGCACCAGCATGTCCAGTGACTCGCAGCTCTCCCGTTCCCATTTTCTCGCTCCCCCAACAGTGATCCCCGCGCCCTCGTATATCGCCTCATCTGCGGCCGCTCAAATCATTACTGCCGACCAAGAGTTCAACGCCGCCGACTTTGTAGCCGACGATGAAGGCCATGACTCCAGTGCGAGTGCGCTTGTCACCCCTGAAGCTCTTTCTTCTCTCAATGCATTCCTCGACAACATTCTCTTCAACATCCTGGCTGCCGCCAAGTCCACCCAATTGGTCAAGATTCGTCCCGCCGTCGTCGAAGTATTAAAGCCTCGACTTGCCAAGGAGATGGTTTCGGCAGCTGACGACGAGTTAAGTGAATACCTAGGCGGACCGGAAGACGAGCAGCTGGAGTTCCGTAGCGGCCAAACCTCGATTGGGGAATTCGACCTTGTGCGTTCCTGGAAGCTGACCCGTCTGCGGTGCATGGTCTACACGCGGCTGGGAGATATGGAAGAAGACGACGAAGAGGAATATATCAACCAGGAAATCATAGGCGAAGATGGAGGCGGCCTCCGCAGGCTCGCCAGCCATGTCGGTCACATCACGCCTGCTGCCTCAATCTTTCTTACCTCCATCATTGAGCACATGGGTGAGCAAGCTCTTATCATCGCGGGTGAGATAGCTCGATCTAGGCTATCAGCAAACCTTGAGGATGAAGATGATTTGGCAGGGACGGGTGCGAATCGGGCAAGCATGGACCGACTTGTTGTGGAAGACCACGACATGGAGAGGCTGGCGTTGAACCCCACCCTGGGCAGACTTTGGCGGACTTGGAGGAAGCGTGTGCGAGGAAGCAACTTGTCGCGAGCGGTGTCAAGGGAATCTCTACGGAATCGCCAGAGCTTAGTTTTCGGGCCCGGCAGTAGAAAGAGCAGTGCTATCACAATCGACGAGATCTCGCCGCGTACAGCATCATCGCGATCTGTGAACGAGCCGCTCCCGGAGACTGAGGATGAAGTTGACCCGGCCTCCGTCCCGCTGCCGATGAGTGAGCATGATATCCAGGAGATTGAGACCCCATGCTTCCTTCCGGAGCTCGACACTGGCGACATCCAGACGATGCAGGCTGTAGTAGCTCATAAGGTTCGACCCCATAGCCTTATGGTGCTGACACTACCCTCACCACGATCGCCCTCATCGAATGGGAACTCTCCTATCACGCCAAGATTAGTTAACATCAAATCTCCGCGCCATGTTCGGTCAAGGTCTTTGCCCAATGCTGCTCCCGCGGATGAACAACCCTCCGAAGTTGAGCAGCCCGCCGAGCGCACGTCGCCTACTCCATCGGAGGAGCGAAGACGCCTGGAGACGATGTACGAGCATGACGAGGACGACGAGCGGCACGGTGAAGCGGCAACTAAGCCAGAGGCCGTTGGACAAGATGAACCGGTGGTTCCTAGCGCTGGACAGGGGGCCGCCGCGACTCCGTCCACTTCGGTCGCATCGGTCGAGGTAGCAACGAGTGACGCTAGTAGTACCCCAGTGTCGTCACCTTCTCTGAGCGACCGTGATTACCCAGAAACCGACGAGGTTGAGAAACATGAGAGAGTTGAGAAAGCTCAACTGGCCCCTGGGGTAGAAACTGCCCCTGGCCCTCTCGCGCCCCGGACGCAGGGGGTTGTGGACTCCACCCCGGCACAACCCACCGCCGCCGCCGATCAGGATGCGTCCAAGGCTGCTGATTGTGACCAGTCTAGTCCCGAGGACTCTACCCCTCCAACTGTTCCATCTTCTGCAGAGGACACCGCTGTAGAGAAAGCATCCCGGCCTGTTTCAACTTCTGGAGAGAGCGCGATTTCGGATTCTTCACGGTCATTGCCTGGCAAACGCGGCTCGTCCGTACCCGGGGTTCAGCATCAGTACGGGCGCTCGAGCCCAGGGATAGCCTCCGTCAGCTCCGGCGTCGAACGCGCCGCAGTCCAGCGATTGCCGGCACGGCCGTCCACCTCAGTGGCGTCTTCTGTTTATTCCAAGTCTCGTCGCTCGGGCAGCTTCAGCAGCAGCCGTGAGAAGCGTCCTGTCACAGCGGGTTCTACTACTTCTCAGGTATCGAGCAAGTTGAAAGGTCTTATCGGTCGGCCTGCAGATACCGGCTCGCTTCGTCTCCGCACCTCGTCTGAGGTGAGCAGGGTCTCGACACGCGAGTCGGCTTACGACGACACGTCCGGCTTGGACGAGTTGATCCGGAGCGAGGAAACTATCCATTTCACCTTGACCCCCAGGAGCATGAGGGAAATGGAGGTGAGTCAGCAATTTTTCTCCCTTTTCCCCCATTTGCTATTGCTAATACCTTGAACTAGTTGCCGGATTCACCTAGATGGCGTGCTCAGCAAGCAAGTACTGATCCGACCGACCTGCCAAAGAGCGTTGAGCCGATTCCAGATGACATGTCTCGGTCGAGGCACTCAACTACATCGTCGAAAAGCACGGTGGACCTTCCACCAGTACCCAAGTACATCCAGTCGAAACCCAAGTCCATCGAAATTCCCACTACGGGCCTACAGCAGAAACCGGCTGTCGGACAGGCTCGGGACGCAAAGCACAGCATGGAATCGACCCGTGATTTTGCAAACTTCTTGAAGTCTACCGGGCCGAATACTCCAACCACTCCAGCAACGGTTGATGGTAGCCCTGCCAAGTCGTCGCGCTTGCGCCGGTTGTCTGACGCCACTGAGATTTCGAAGAAGCTTTCCCGACCTGCGAGTAGCACTGTTTCTGTTGCCAACTCTGCCCGTAGCGGTCCTCGCCTGGAAGCCCGTTCTGCTGTGGCTCCCCGGGGCGATCAGACGTCCGACTTGATTGATTTTATTCGGGAAGGCCCACCAACGGCTGGGGCTCATCGTATCCCGCGGACAGTGGCGCCTTTCAGGGATACCATGGACTCGGACGAGCTACAGGCTATTGAGCCAGGCCGCACTGCAAAGGGCGCCCCCTCAGTGGCCAGCACGCAGTCAGTGGCTGAGACATCTCTGGTTTCCGTGGGCTCTCGCACAGGGCTTCTGGAATCTACTAGCCGGACGAGCACTCCGACTGCCTTGGCCAAGGAAACGAAGACGACATTTGCTGCTCCTGTGAGCGTTTCTGATGACCACCGTCCGCCACGGACACGACGTCGTGTGCCGGACCCTTACGCTATCGACTTGGACGATGACGACGAGCTCGACGAACTTCTTGAAGAGCCAAAGCCCAAACGCGATGAGGAGAGTCTGATCGACTTCCTGCGCAATGTCCCTCCGCCAGAGCCCACTCCGCCACAGCAGCCTTTGGCGGCCAGCGCGAACTCTCGGCGAGGCTCAGCATCAGTGAAGGCTCGGCTGCGTCGCAACACCGCATCCGAAAAGACACTTATGGCGAAACCCTCCAAGACCTCGCTGCATCAACAGCCCGATAACTACATGGGAGGAGCGTCGAATTATACCGTCAAAGTGGGCATGGAGCGCAATGCGGGAGCCATGAATGGCGCCTATGACCTCAAGACTCCCTCAGTGCGACAGACCGAGACCAGCGCACTGGCTGATTTCCTCAAGAACACTGGACCTCCTGAGCCTCCCGTCACCAAGGCTCCTGCTGCTACCAAGTCCAAGGACTCGGGGTTCTCGCGACTCTTTATGCGCCGCAAGAAGGTCGAGGCATAATGTGCCTCACTGATTAATGGGTCTTATTTTTATTCCCCTCCTGTGTCCCATTTCTTTACATTGTCACTCTCTAATCATTGCTTTGAACACGATATCATAATGTGTTAGGCAAACGACATGCCCTGTTCGCCGTGGCGAACTCTGATGAACGATACTGTCTTTTATTTCCTTGCCCTTTTCCTGTCCATATTGGAGCTTTATTCTTTCGCTCATATCTTCTTTTTCTTCATTTCCCTTTTGGATTGCGGTCTGTCTTTGCACCTCTTGGATGTATCACTCTTTCCAGCGGTATTTCTTTTTCACGCTTGATTCCCCCTCTACATTTCTTCTTTTATCTATCCACTAGTGTGGGCCTTTTACCTTTTACTCAGTATCCTCAGGAAGAGAGTTCCACTTTATGGCCTGTGAATGAGATTACTCGACTTTTCAAATCGCCTACGTTGTGATAGAAACAATTTCAACGATTTCATCAAATAGTAAATTTCCTTGCTGTAATGATTCGAGTAGTAATGCCATCTCCAATGACTGTAATTTGTATAGTTCCGGCGTGTGGGCCGATATCCGGAGAAACGTTCGACCGGCCGATCGGGATCCCCTGGTCTCCAGAGCGCGGCGTGGCATCAATAGCAGCAGCACAGCAGCTTCCGAGCCTCGTTGTCAATTTATAGTCTCCTCCCCCTCGGCCACTGCCACAACTGCCATTGACAATGGCGGCCACCCGTCTCACAATGAGGTCTTTCCTCGGTCTTCTCTTCCTCCTGTTCGTCCAACTCACCTCCGCCCTGAAGTTCGACCTCTCTGCTGTGAGCGGGAAGAACGAGCGATGTATACGCAACTTCGTTTTCAAGGACCAGCTTGTGGTCGTCACCGCCATTGTGAGCGGAAACAAGGGTGATGGCCAGGTTGTTAACATGCATGTATGTGGGAACTCACTCCATCGTCTTTTATGGTGATTGCGGGAGGCACGCTGGTCGGGCCAGCTGTTGTGTTGTCCTCCGGTGTTCGATTCTACCTTGAGCTTCTGTCGCTCGCGAAGAAAAAGGATGTACTTGGGCTAACTAGCTTTCTTTCTGAAATAGATCAAGGATGCGCTGGGCAATGACCACGGTCGTCCTAAGGACATTGCCGGAGAGACTCGTCAGGCCTTCACTTCTCCCGCCGATACTGCTTTCGACGTTTGCTTTGACAACCAACTCACCACTCGTCGTATGTTTATCTACCTTGGTCATGTTGTATCTTGATATACCAGGGATATCAGGTGCTGTGTGATGTGCGTGTGTGTATGTGGTACTAACCAGACGACAAATAGACGCCGTTGCCAACCCCTACAAGTCCATCGAGCTCGATGTCGACATTGGTGCCGATGCCCGTGACTGGTCTAGCATTCAGGTTCAGGAGAAGCTCAAGCCTGTTGAGACCGACCTCCGCCGTATCGAAGAGATGGTGGCCGAGATTGTCAGCGAGATGGAGTACCTGCGCGCTCGTGAGCAGAAGCTGCGTGATACCAACGAGAGCACGAACGAGCGTGTGAAGTGGTTCGCTTTCGGTACTATGGGTATGCTGGTTGGACTGGGTGCTTGGCAGGTCGTGTATCTGAGGGCTTACTTCAGGTATGTTCTTTTCTATCGCTTCTTCCGTTGGGTCTGGTATTCGGGTAATGTGGCTAACAGCTTTGGATTTGTAGATCCAAGCACCTTATCTAGACCATGTCGGTTTAAAACTAGAATCGTGAGAAAGAGAAGGTTCCAGGTTGATGCTTTCTCTCTTGTCATGACAAAATATGGACTATTTCTTTTCAATGCATTTCATTATCGTCTTGACCCTATGTAGTTCCGGGATTTGCTTCACGGTACACTGATTGAATATTGACGAGGAGTATGACAACTGTGCATGTACATTGGTGCTGGTGATCGGTATTGTTTCCTTTATTTTTAGCCGTCTTTAGACACATAAGAGGAGGCCATTTTCCCAAGCTTGAAAGACCGTCAATACTGTAGATGCTGTAGTACGTCACGCAAGGCATGCAAACATGCTAGCAAAATGACAGCTAGCGCGATCCTGTGTAACTCTAGATCGAAATCGAAATCCCTAATAGTCAATAGGAGACAATACCATGAGAACCAATTGCAGCCCGCACACTGTGCCACATGCTGCAGTCATAGCAACATCAGCGAGGCAAGGGGAGCAAACAAACCGCCGTTGGAAATGCGCCGGAGACGGTTGGCGAATAGGCCTGCAAACAATGCAAACGAGGTTTCTCCGGATGATGTCAACCCCGTCATTCTTCGGCTTCGGTTCTTACTTTATCGTCGACCTCCCCCAGGATATCGCGCCCAAACCTCCAATTTCCCATTCATTTCCTCTATAGACCATTGTCAATTACCATAGCGACATCACAATGTCCGCACCCAGACTCATCAACCGCTTCATGCGGCCATCGACCTCGCCGATCTCTCTGACGACAACTTTTGCCCGTCGCTCCTTCGGCAGCTCGGTTGTTCGTCAAAACAGCGTGAACAACAATGATCGCGCACCATCCACGGCCCCTGAGCATCGCAAGAACCAGACAAACAAGCCCCCTAACCCCCATGTGCCCAATACGACCTCCACCATGACCAAGGACTTCCCCAAGGTCGGCGAGAAGCCGGCTCCCCCCGAGATGTTGAACTCGGTCGACCCCAACTACCGGCCGGCGGATCCTTACCCCGGGAGAGTCGAGCATTTCACCGGAGGTCGCCAGGAGACGGGGGCTCAGAAGCCTGAACTTGGTGTTGGAGAGATGGAGGGAATTACTTTCAAGGTTGAGCCACTGCGCCGGGAGGGTGAAGATGTCACTACTATGAGGGCTCGGCTGTTGTGTTCGTGATCCCCGGTTCACGTCTTCCTGGTTGAATGAATAGCTAATGCAGTTGGGGAATTGTATAGATCAAAGCCGCAAGCGCGGAATCCTCGAGTCTGATCTCCTGTTGTCTACGTTCGCCGATGTATATCTGGCCGATATGAACAAGGAGCAGTTGCAGGAGTATGACCGGTTCTTGGATGAGAATGACTGGGATATTTACTACTGGGCCACGCAGGACCCTCCAGCTGAGGGCAATGAAGCTGCTGTGTCCACTGAGGCAGGTGCCCAGGATACTCCCACGGAGACGTGGAAGCGTACTGGAGCCAAGAGCGGCGAGTGGGCGCAGACGGTTGGTGCTTTCAAGGCTGCATACCGGCCCGTTCCGTCACGATGGGCCGACTCCGATGTGCTGCGACTCCTGCGTCAACATGTTCGGGATAACAGTGCCACGGGATTCCATGCTGCGAAGACTAAGAAGACTGGTGGGCCTGGACTGGGACGTATGCCCAATGTGCAGGTGTTCAACAACTGAGCATTGCTAGTCTGCTGCCATAGGCATGGTGGGTTGTGTAAGTGACGCGAGATTGTATAGTTGGCTTGTATGATATGTGGGCGAGATTGTACAGATTATACACTGGAATGGCTTTACTGGGATATAATGGGAGGGTTATAAAAAGCATTGCTGTGCGATAATGAGGGTTCATTCACATTTCCACTGGATATCTAGTGATATAGATGGCGGTAGGCGGTCAGCGGCCGAGGCAGGCGGTGAAAATACACGTGACTCGCTTATACGAGTTAGGGTTGGCGGTACCGCACAACGGCGAGAAGGGCTGGGCGCGCTAGTTAGGGCTCAGGCGGGCACGCTGAGTGTCTGCCACTCCATCCTCAATGCTGTGATTTTTATCTCCAGCCTAGAGTCAACGACAATTGCTCCGCCCGCGTTCATCCCTCTCTCCTCCCAGACTCCCAACATGGCTGAGCAGCTCGTCCTTCGCGGTACCCTTGAGGGTCACAATGGCTGGGTTACCTGCCTGGCTACCTCTCTGGAGAAGTAAGGCAACACTACACTACACCGAATTGAAGACATGAAACAAATGCGTTTTGTTGCGAAAATCGAACAAGGTGTGCATGTGCTACCGAACAAGTGGTATATGGATGCATTGTTGCGAGAAAAGAAAATGATCGCATTGGTTGAAACATGAAATATTCATATATCAAATGGACAAAACTGGGTTCTGACTTTATGTTTTTCTTCCTCGATTATAGCCCCAACATGCTGCTCTCTGGCAGTCGCGACAAGACCCTGATCATCTGGAACCTGACCCGCGACGAGCAGGCCTACGGTTACCCCAAGCGCAGCCTTGAGGGTCACTCTCACATCGTCTCTGACTGTGTATGCCCTCCGAATTACTCCGTCCCCACCATGTCCCAGTCCAAACAAGAAAAGACTTTCCCCACAGACGAAGGACGAAGCCCGATCGAAACCTACGAGAAGGCGGGACTGGGCAAAGAATAAAAAGGAAGATGATTTGGCTGACCGTGCATGGGGATTTATAGGTGATCTCCTCCGACGGTGCCTACGCTCTGTCCTCCTCCTGGGACAAGTCCCTCCGCCTGTGGGAGCTCTCCACTGGTGAGACCACCCGGACCTTCGTCGGCCACACCAACGACGTCCTCTCCGTTTCTTTCTCCGCCGACAACCGCCAGATTGTCTCCGCTTCCCGTGACCGCTCCATCAAGCTCTGGAACACCCTTGGTGACTGCAAGTTCACCATCACCGACAAGGGCCACACCGAGTGGGTTTCCTGCGTTCGCTTCAGCCCCAACCCCCAGAACCCCGTCATCGTCTCCGCTGGTTGGGACAAGCTCGTCAAGGTACGTTATGACTCGACTCCCGCATACCCAAGTTTATATCATTCGCAATCTCGACACGTCCAGAAGATGTTTTTGCATAAACGTATTTGCTACTTCAGAGCCTTTCACGGCCATGAGACAAACATTCACCAATGCCCTGATGGACAATCGATAAACATATCTTGTTTATGTTGTTATTGCTTTTATTGCTTTTCCACCGAGAACTTCAACTTGAAGAATCTTATTTCTGTGGAGTCATGAAGCTAACATGCAAAACAACTAGGTTTGGGAGCTTGCTTCCTGCCGTCTCCAGACCGACCACATCGGTCACACCGGCTACATCAACGCCGTCACCATCTCCCCCGATGGATCCCTCTGCGCCTCCGGTGGCAAGGACGGCACCACCATGCTCTGGGACCTTAACGAGTCCAAGCACCTCTACTCCCTCCACGCCGGTGACGAGATCCACGCCCTCGTCTTCTCCCCCAACCGTTACTGGCTCTGCGCTGCCACCTCCAGCAGCATCACCATCTTCGACCTCGAGAAGAAGAGCAAGGTTGACGAGCTCAAGCCCGAGTACATCGAGAAGGGCAAGAAGAGCCGCGAGCCCGAGTGTGTCAGCTTGGCCTGGAGCGCTGACGGCCAGACTCTGTTCGCTGGTTACACCGACAACAAGATCCGCGCTTGGGGTGTCATGTCGAGGGCATAGATTGATACCCATCAAGTAATCACGGGACGGTGTTGAGTTTTAGCGGAGGAGAGAAATCAAATAACAAAGATATCTGTTTTTTATTTTTTCCTTTTCCAAACAACAAAAAGGGCAGGCATTGGTTGGGATGTATGAGCCATGAGCAATGAAAGCACCTCGGAGGGAGGGGCATATCTCCCCATTCCTCCCGGGTTTTCACCTTGAACATGTCTAGCTTACTCGAGATTTCGTTTCATAAAATCCGAATTGTCTGGAATCTTGTGAAAGGGATGACATGCAAAATGTTCTAATACCATTTTAAAAGACTGTTAAAAAGTTACCCTATCACCGTCGGAGACATCGTAGACATACCGTACTACTACTATCTTTGGTAGCTCCGATGCAGGGGGGGGGGATCATAGTATTAGTATCTATCAACTACTGGATAGTACTATGGAAACAGTCTGTGGGGTCAACGTATCGTTCTGGATTATTCGATCCATCGGTCGATGGAAGTTAATCCATAGTACCTTATATCCCCGTAGATGGATGCTTCCGTTTGAGGCTCTTCTCGGGTCCGTCCCTGAGATTGATCTACATCACTAAGATCTTGTACCTTGCATCCCGTCAGGATATGGTGTTGATTCTGTTAGTATGACCGTCGCCATGTATTATATATAGTATTTCTCGCATTCACATCAATCTGTTTCTCTGATACTACCCATTTCACGTAGATAAGTACTTTACATTGAATAGCGGGTATCACCGAGAGCAATGACATTATTTGCGCAACTGCGAGTAAACTATAGTCAAAGTTCATTCTGCTTATTTTATCATTTCTTCATGACTTAAATATATCTATTCAAATAAAGAACTGAATTTTACAACATTTTATCAATGTCTCTTTTTGGGTTATTATGAAGCGCTACTATCAACTAGTTCAATATACATTGTTCTCTAGGACAACTTAGATCATAACCTGAGTACGCTATTACTTATAATTCACCTTGACACTACGATCCTGTATAACTAGCCTAATCTTACCGTAAACCAGCCGTCTTACTGCTAGTATCTGATTAAAGCTAGATACGTTACACTTCCGGATATAGTAATAGCGTGCGTGCCTGAATGCGGTACTGAACATATTTACAAGGAGTCCAGCTAAATGTACAACACATAACACCAAGACACAACCATAGACAAAGAGACTCGTGACGCTAAAGCAAGGTAAATGTGAGAAAAGTCCCGTTCTCTCTATACTTGCCATACAGTGAAGAAGTTGGCCGGAAGTTCCAGACCTCTTTCACTGCTTAAGTTACAGTTGGAGATTCCCGCCGATCGATCGTAGTTTAGCTTCCTTCTCCGCCCTGCCGCATGACGTCGCAACCTATTCTTCCTTTCTCTCTCTTCAGTCGCATTCCACACCAGCTAATCTTTCTTTTGCTTCAGCGCTTCCAATAATCTCTCATCGATATTTTAAATCACCCCACCATGTGTGGACGATACGCTTTAGGCGTGGTACGTGCCTAATCCCCCGGCCTATGTACTACTCCTGTGGTACTATATATCACGACCAACACCCCACACAACCAGTATGAACTGAAGTGGTACTAACACTGGAACAAACAAAAAGCGCATGAGCTTCATCCGCCGCCGTCTCCAAGACCAAGGCCTCCAAGTCGACGACGCACCCCCCGATGAAGACGTCCGCGAAACCTACAACTTCGCTCCAGGGAACAGCGGCGCTGTTTACCTTGCTGATACGCATATGTACCCGTCTTCTCATCAGCATGATGAGCCAGCTAGTCAACCTGACACCGAAAAAGAGACAACAGAAGGAGAAAAAGGAACAGCAGAAGTAGAGGAAACAGGGGGAGAAAAGAAGAGCAATGCCACCAAATACAAGCTCCACAGCATGCGCTGGGGTCTAATTCCCTTCTGGACGAAACGCAATCCCGATTACGGAAGTATTATGCGCACAATCAACTGCCGAGATGACTCACTAATCGAGGACCGGGGCCTATGGACGTCCATGAAGCGGAGGAAGCGGTGCGTGGTGGTGTGCCAGGGGTTCTATGAGTGGTTGAAGAAAGGACCAGGAGGGAAAGAGAAGGTTCCGCATTTCGTGAAGAGGAAGGATGGGGATTTGATGTATTTTGCGGGGTTGTGGGATAGTGTTAAGTATGAAGGTGGGCTTATACATTCTTTATACTTCTGAGGGAATGTTTGGGGCTGGGAGCTAATTGCAGTATCAGATTCGGATGATTATCTCTACACATATACGATCATCACGACATCTTCGAATTCCTACTTGAAGTTCCTGCATGATCGGATGCCCGTGATTCTGGACCCGAATAGCGAGCAGATGAAGACTTGGCTGGACCCCTCTAGGACGGAGTGGTCGAAAGAGCTGCAGTCGATCCTCAAGCCGTATGAGGGCGAGCTGGAGTGTTATCCTGTGCCGAAGGAGGTGGGGAAGGTGGGAAATAATTCTCCTGACTTTATAGTCCCTGTCAGTAGTAAGGAGAATAAGAGCAATATTGCGAACTTCTTTGCCAATGCGAAGAAGGGTGCTGCGGTGAAGGTGGAAGAAGGAGTGAAGGATGAGAGGCCCACGAAAGATGCTGAATGGAGCGAGGATAATGCCCCCAAACCGGTCTCGGGGGTCAAGAGGGAACATTCGCCTGATGCCGAGACGGAGGATACTAAGTTGCAGAAAATGGAGTCGAGTATAGCTTCATCGCCGAAGAAAAGCCCGGAGAAGAGTTTACCATCTAAGCCTGTGACGCCGGCAGGGAAGAAGATGCGCAGTGCCACGCATAATAAGCCGATGAAGAAGAGTCCGCAGAAGCAGCCCCCTGCAGGGACTCAGCGAATTACGAGCTTTTTCGGGAAGTAAAAAGAGAGGGTTGCATGATGGAAGAAAAGACATGATCTAAGCTCCGGGCTGGACCCGAGAGTTGATCGTCTGTAATCTAGGCATGAACCAACGTGTGTCAACTGCCAGCAGTTTGAATGGAGATACTATCCCACAAAGCCCAATAAATAATACATCCATGAACTATTGTACAAGGCTCCTAATGAAATAGCCTATTGAGACTCTTGCTGGCGCAGTCTCTGGACCAACTTTTCCCGTAGAAACGGACTCAGACCGAAACTGATCTCAAATTAGCACAACCCACGCAGTTATATCAGGAATAGATAGAACTTACATTCCATCACGAGTCACAATCCGATAAGTCCCTAACCAAGTCAGTCACATCATCCAATATAACAACCAACCATCAATCAAGCACATAACATACCACTCGCCTGATAATTACCATTACCTCCAACAAACTTCCCATCAGCATCCACCTCCAGACTCCCAAAGATATCTTCAGGCCTATCCATCACACCTCGTCAGCCACACCCCAAACACAAAGTCACAAGAACCATACCAAGCAATCCGTCCATACTCCGGCGGCCGTCTACCATCCGACAGATGAATCCAGCCTCCCCTCCCTGCCGAACCAGCACCACCTTGACCACTAGCTCCGCCACTGGAGTCCCCGGCTTCGCCGCGGCGTCTCCTCGTACGCCCGCCACCCATCAGCACTCCCCCAGACATTAGGTTAGCGCCTGCTGTTGAGACCATCACCTGGGCTTGCGAAACAGCTTCGGGGTCTTTGTAACCATGCTCCGCGATCACTTCTTGCAGGATGTTGAGAAATTTCGGGTTCTCTCTGAAGGAGTCGGGTGTTGGTGGGAGCTTGGAGGATACGCCGAGGGCGAGGTCCGGGTTGGTGGGTTCGGTGGGTAGGAGGGAGAGGATGTTGGTTCCGTTCTTGGGGAATACGTACTGGGCTGAAGTGTTAGTAGGGTTGATTTGTAGATGGTTCGTAGATCGGCGAATTGCTGCGTTTAGCTACTTACAATGTGAGAATGACCCTCTAGCGTGGACACAGCTCGGAGCTGCGTCCATCTAGGCGTCTGGCGAACAAATGAGCGAAGGCCCAACATTTTGGCAAATATGCTGATTAAGAGAACGGAGTTCAATTGAACTTAGTAAATAGACGCTGGTTAGGGAAATCCGAAGACCTGGAGAAACTATGACGCTGCGCAGACAAACAGGCCAAACTCATGTGACTGCGCGTTTGCGGCCGCGACCAGTTGGTGATCGGGATGCACTACCGGCCATCTCCCCGGCTATCCTCCCCTCCACTTGCGATTTGCTCCATGGGTTGGTGTTCTTGATTGTGCGTGTTATGGAGGCTCATATCTTACATTCTTAAATAGACAGTGGCGCTTGCGCAATCTTTCTCTTTCAATTCGTCTGTCAAGTCGTGTGTTTTGCTCTCGCCAGACATATGGAGCATCCATGATTTCATCGGCTGCTTGATTTCTTCTCCATTATCTCTCTTTTCTGCGTGATACCCAGCCTTTGTTTGCTACTTCATACACTTTGTATATTTCCTAGTCGAGGTGGATAGATCTACTTTTTCTCTGTGGCTCTTATACAGCCTTCAATAACCATTATGGCGACCCCATCGTCCAAGCCAAACCCAGGAGCGACTCCGACGCATCTGACCTCGTCGCCTCGTCCGTCTGGTGCTCATATGGCCCGCCCGATTTCTCACAAATCGCCGTCAACGAGGACGCCTTCAGCTTCCGGTCATGGACACAACCAACCCCCCACTTCGATGCACCAATATTCTACCCCTCTCGCTGTGACTACCGGAGCGGAGGACCCCGTTACGTTCAGTTCCCCGTCCGCTCTCCTCGCGCTTGGTGGCTACAGCGGAATCAGTCCGTCCCCCGCCGGGCACGATGGGCTTGTCGGCGCAGGCATGAACGAGAATGATATCCAGGCATTGGGCATGCCGGGTCTGAAGCTCGGGGGTGCTCGCGACAGCGAGGAGGAGCGCAGAAGACATATCGACGATGTGGTCCAGCTTCTACGAGCCCGAGTCTCGGGGCGGGGCGTGTGCAGAGAGGGTATTGAGCGGCTGAGTGATCTCGAAGGGTTCGAGTCGATCTGGCAGGAGGACAGTCTCAGCATTGCGGGGAACTTTGTCGACCTGGAGATCGACTTCCATCGGGGGTATAATGTGGTGAAGGACGTTAGCTTAAAGTATGCGACGCCCGATGCGCAGGATGGGGAACAGCGCGACGAGGCTACGGCGGTGCTTAAGCGCGACCTGATCCAGTCGCCGGAGGAAGGAGACCGGGGTGCTTGGAAGTCGTTGCGGGGGTTCCATGAGAATCTAGAGTGGCTTGCCAAACATGATCGGCTTAGTCAGGAGGTCAATTGTTTCGAGGCCATCGAAGGTCTTTACGAGAGCTTGAAGCGCGTGTGGGAGGCGGAGTGGAACCATCGCAAGTTCGCGGGGGTGTACGACCATCTTTGCAGTGGCTGGGTTGGCCAGCCGTGTATGCACAAGGGGAGTCGCATTGGTCTCAGCTTGGATTACTGGGTGCAGCAAGCACGGGTTCTGGATGCGAAGGAGAAGCAGAAGACGTCGTCTGATGCGATGGTGGTTGATGCACCGAATGGACAACCGTCGGATGATGATTCGAGCAGCTTGGAAGGGAAATGGAGCATTGTGGTGGAGTGCGAAGAGGGTTACCCATCCCTCCGTGTGTCGAAGGACTGGGTTGGATCCGAAGTGTTAACTGGGGTCAATAACAATGACAATGGGCCGTCGTCGAGTGAGGCGCATGGGTCTGAAGCTGCAGTTGTCAACTGGGTTGATCCTCCGGCGACGTTGACCAACAACCAAGGTCACCCGGACGCCATGGCACTTGACTCGAATATGCTGGGTTCTTCTGCTCCTAATCGTCGCTTCGTTGCTAAGTTGGAGCCGGCCTTGGATCTACCTATTTTGGCAGCATCTGATATCTACCGGCACCTTGGAATGCAACTGCCGCAGGAGTTCAAAATGGTTACCTACGATGGACTCCTGGCCCCAGGCTGGTCGCCTTTGTCGGCAGCAGGGGCTATGGGACTGGGGCCAGAGGAGGCCTCTCAGCTTGAGCGGAGGAGACGCAGAATGTCGGTGCAATCGGTTGACAGTACGGGCAAACCGTGTACGAAGCATCACAGCTACACGTTCCAGCCGTTTGAGTCTGTAGCTGGCCGAACAATGAGAGATATCCCATTCGCACATCCCCGGCAACTCGCAGATATCCTTCCGGTATGATTCGGAGACTCATGTTGTGTGTCGAGGTTACTGACATATTCTTCTAGATCCTTCGCCAGTATGCCTTTCTGGCCAACCTGATCCGCAGCATTTTCAGCTCTTCATACAAGCCCGATGAGGACAAATCCGCCACGCCGGCTGATTCTTCAAATATCTCATTTAGCCCACCCAAATTTACTGATGGGAAGACGAAGAAAGATGTCATCATTCTGAGCAATGCCGACCCGAATGAGAAGAGACTCGATGCATTGTTGGGAGGCTTCGAGAAATCAGCAACTTCGCCGGGTGCTAAGGGTAAAGGCCCTGTGGGGGTAGGAAACGAGAATTCGGGCCCCAATTCTACTGTTGACAACGATGTCAAGGTAGACGTAACGTTGCGGACGCAACTGGGACAAGCACCAGTGATCATGCTACTTTTCGCAGTGGATCAACCAGACGAAGCGTCGGAATCCGCCAACGCGGAGGCGGCACTGACGAAGGTGTCCATTAGTCTGGAAGTTGGACTAAACGGTCGGGTCTCCGTTGTGGACATGACCGGTCTGCTAGATGACAACAACACTACCACCACGGACAGCATGGAAGACACCCCAGAGAAGAAGGCTCTCGAGTTGCAAAGCAAAATAGCAAATGTGCTGGAATTGTCACAGGATATTGGGATCTTGGTGGAATGGATTTTACGATGGGCGCGGCAGCGGAAGGGCCGCTGAGACTTGCCGCTGATTCTATGACAATGAGGGGAAGGGATACGCATCATCCACTGCGTCGGAAGTGGAGAGCGATCGATCTCGTCCATCGGTCTAAGCGGTGACGCAAGCTGGGATATCCTCGACCAGGAGTCGCACTAATTCAGACGTGGGGACTTGCCGAAGATTCGACCGATGTTCTGGAAGCAGACTCGGCCCATTTTTTCTTGGATCACGGTCTGTGCAGTATCTGCATAGGAAGAATGCTAGAGGCTGTCATACACCAGTTGATCCTAAACCAGCCCGACCTGTAACACCCGATTCTAAACCAGCTGATATGGACTGGGGCATGTGAAAGGAATCTTAAGCTTAATAGGATACAGTCCTGTGCAACTACTGGGAAAGGGCCATGTGTTTGACCGAGGTGACCCTGTGGGTGTGGAGCTAGAGCCGAGGGAACTTGACTAGCAGTGGAATGACAGTCAAAAACAAACAATAACAACAAGCAGCTCACGGAAAAATAGTACTAGTAAGACAGCAGGAGAAATGAAATGTACAGTATGCCAGACCATAGGCACAAAAATACAAACACCTAACTGTCAGAACTTCCAGAGCGAGTGAACTTACGTGGGTGTCCCATCGGCCCATCTGCAGGGGCAAACACAAAAACGAGGAGCCCCGGGAATCTAGACCAGTCTTGATGACAACTGTCCTAGGATTTGCATACATAGTAGCCAACTAGTTTAAACCAGCCCATGGGCTTGTAACTCGCAAGTCTATAATATACGAATCCACAATTACTTATAGCAGATTTATACCCAGTTAGTACATAGATAATCATCGGCAAATGCCCAACAAATACTGTAGAGGCGGTATAGACAGATCCATCCGATCCTCTGAAACCGATCAGCTGAGTCACAAGCCAATTGAACCAACCGACCGCCACATTTCACTCCTCAAGAATCAGTAAGTATGAGGGATTAAATCTAAAGCTCGAACCCCCAACAACATGCAAGGAGGAGGTTTTTTTTTTATTTGTCTACATGTGCATTCCCCATGTATGTATGCGGAAATAAATACCTACTTTAAAATAAATAGTAAGGAGTGAAGTTTGAAAATAATTCAATTGAAACATGCAATGAAAAAGAAACACGCAGGGAAGTTATGTAAGAACCATAGAACAAGTGGTTGAAAATTCAGATATTGTTTGAGTCAATATGCACCTTTGCATCCATTTCCATGTCTTTCTGTTCTAATTCTTTTTCCCCCTTGAAATTCAAGGAAAGAGGAGTGAAGTTGAAGCTTGGACGTTATTAGTTCTATAATAGTATGCACTAGCAAATAAAATTTTTATTCGGCGGCCCTTTGATCAACTGCGCGAATTACTCTCCCTGACTGGCTAAAACTGGATGCCTAACTATGGGGAATTTGGGAAATGTCAGGTAGTTAGTTAGCTTAGCTTAGCTTTTGGGAAATTTTTACACTTTCTTTTTCAATGTTTGAGGTATTTTCTGTCTTTGTTTCATACATTCAATTCTTTTTCTATTTTTGTTTGTTTCTCTCTCTTTTTTATTCTTGCTGTTGATATTGAATTTATATTACATGTTATGTATGTATGTATGTATGCTTCTTTGTTTTTGTTTTCACGGTTATATGGTTAGTTTCTCCCGGTTACTTCGATTAGAAAATCCCCTGAGCACGTAGTAGGTATTAGGTTCCGGTATGGAATCAATCCTAGACTAGCCCAAGATTAATACTTCACCTTAGATGCCTATTACCCCATATTCAGGCACCGCATGATACATACATACATACATACATGCCTGCAACAAAGCACTCCGCGGCCGAGATCGCTGTGGCTGGTGCTGGCCCTGGCCCTGTCCCCTCAAGGACTAATCGGAACCACCGGGCTTGATAGCTGAAGATCTTTTTGCTGTGTCGAACAGCTCCTACTTACTTCCCTCATCTGCAACGAACTTAAGGTTTATACTATTCATGCAAAAGAAGTCTCAGGACCCTGGGTTTGTTGTTGTAAACTAGGCATATCCATTAGACCTGTCATTATCGAAGTGATATTGGATGTGTCGTGCAGATGGGGTTAGTCTATTGTATGGTTGATGACTTGATATGGTGAAAGTATACTTAGGTAATGTTGTATGTAAGTATACGATTTTGGTAGTCGCGGAGTTTTGAGTGATTTGTATGAGGAATGGATGGATGATGAAGATCATCATCATGATCTATGGAGGAATGTGATGGCCTGCGAAAATGGTTCGGGAATGGGAGGCATTCGAACGTGTCGATTGATCGGCTTCATTTCGTATATGGTTGGGTTTTTCGGAACTCTGAAGTGAGCATGTGCATGTGCATTTACTTCATATGATGAGGATTATGTTCCGAATAATTGTTAATGGTTATTACTACTACTTCTGTAGTAGAAGCAATACCTGGATGAAGTCTTAGTAGTAGTAGTAGTAGTAGTGAAGATGTGAGTGCTTGGTGAAGATATATAGTACTACTCGACAATATCACGATAAGAAAGCTCTGCGATATAATCTAGTAGGCCACTTACTATCAATACCCTTTCAAAATAAAGCTCAGAATCGAAACAGCCTGAATTGCAGTTACACAAGATGTAAGTGGCATCTGACCTAATCGCTCTGGTCGGCCCGAAACCAGTCAGCGTCGTTTGTCATGACCACCCCCCATCAACCAATGAGCAGGCCACGATAAGCATCGCGAACTGGAAGGGCGTGATCTACAGACAGAACCATGTTCTGATTAGTTTTATCGTCCGTTTCATTGAGGGGTTAATTCGGAAATGGGGGCTTTGAATTCTTTTTCTGCTTGGCCGGTGAGGGATATATTGACTCTTGAAATGCTGAGAGGCTTGCATCGTGGTCCGCCAGTCCACTGCTGTGACGCCCGAACCCATCCTTGGTCTGCTAGTTTTTCACCAGGTGCTGCAGCTGTTGGTCAGTCTGGTGGTGGTGAGTAAGTTGGTCCACTCATACTCCGTATTACCGTCCGTGTATATGCGGTTGCCAATTTTTTTCTATTTTGTGTATCATTTTCATTCAGGGGGGGATCGGACTACTGTATCAGGATGGATGTGAAACTCGCATCACGATCAGATACGATTCAGGAAGGGTGGTGATGGGTGGTGGTCACTTGGATTGTGTACTGTGTCGTCGGCTGGACGGCACTAGACCCATATCGGCTAGTCATTGAGCAGCGCCACAATCATTGATGGCTCAGTTACTATTCTGGGGCGCGGCAACACAGCCCGGCTTCCAGATTCGCACAGTAACAGGGAGTACTAAAGGTGTTGAAGGAGGATGACGCTTTTATGGCGCACGGTTTAAGACACTGAGGCCTGATGTCTCTCAAGTGGATTCCAAGCTATCCTGCCCAGTTCTCCAGCAATGACATCTGATACCTCATTGTAGCATCACAGTGTGGAGGCCAGCCATGACGTCCACAGGGCTGATCGGAAACGCAGCCACTTTCTCCCTCGCGGATTCCTGAAACTCCCGACTTGGCCTCTCTGTCATTTGCTGCAGCACCCATTCACCCACCCCCGGAGCAGACAAAGACTCGCGGAGAAAGGGGAGTGACCAAACCCACGATCGGACACTAACAGACGAATGGGTCACCGCAGAGCATGCGGATGGGAAATCCTGGGGTCGAACAAGGATGCTCTAAACTCAGGAGTAACCTGTGTAGCTCAACTCTCTTTTTTTCCCTTCTTCCCTTCCCCCCTCATCCATTCACCCGCCGTTCATTTGACTTTTTCCCTCTGGAACCGTTTTTCCCTCCAGGCTCGGCTGGAGAGGCGGTGCGCCCACGAGTAACACACTGTACTCACATGATATTAGTCACAAAACCTAATTATAACTCCAGTTAACATGGAAACAGTGGCCGGTCTCGGGGCTGGCGGGCGGCTCTCTTGCCATTCTCCCTTCAAGGAATGTTTTGCCACGCCCCACTCCCGGCAAATCAGCCAGTCGACTTGCGTTGCGAGGCAAGGCATCCGGACATGGGCTCTCTTGGGTTTACCCGCTTGTGTGTAACTGTATTTCATGGTGGTAAGCTGTCAGACTTTGTATGTGCAATGTACCGCATCCCTGGACGTTGATATGCGTTGATGGGGGAAGGAAATGGGAACGAGATATTCCACCGGGCCGGCAGCTTGGATATGGGACAATAGTTGGATCGTGATACTTCATTTTTGAAAGTACTGTGCGGAAAGGGCAAAGCGCCGACTCAAAGTGTATTGTCCATGCGCGATTAAAAAGAAATGAAAAGGCCGAGAACTGAAAAAAAATCAGTCGGCAGGCGCGCCATGATCCACCCACGCGACTCATGGCGGGGATTGAGGGGCAGCCACTGATAAGGGAAATCCTCCCAATTTAGATAACCGCAGGTACACACTGGAGTCGGGACAGGATTTGCGTATCGTGAAAGAAATTGTGTATTGGCGTTTACACGGAACATCGTGATCGTTTCCTATCAGAAACCCCGGTAATTCATCCGTGATATCTGGTCACATTTAGTAGATACTCCAACGCAGCTTCAAGGTAGTAGTCGTAGTACTAGTAGTATTCGGGCAATGCACTACGGCCATCCACTTCAATATCCCCCAAATTGCACAAAGATAAGACGGGAAAGATAGACACCGGTACCTCGATATGTCTTTCCTATCATTGTTATCCTGAGATGCACCCATCATGTCACGCCTACCAATAGGAAGCCATGTCAATGCGATTAGGCGCAGGCAACGTTCGAGCTATTCGGGTCCTGCAGCTGATATGCATCGGAACCGACCACTGGTTGATAATTCCTCTTAGCAACTAATTGCTGTCGCTATCTCTGGGTAACAGAAGGTTAGAGGGGGAAAAAAGTGAGGGATCAGACAATATCATGATTACTTTTTGAAAGGGAGGGGGGGAAGGACAAGGTCAGCAGACATGGCTTTTCGAGATGCGGTGTATAGAGTACGAGATAGTGGCTTTAATTTCTTATTCCTTTAATTTTTTGATCCCTGCCCTGATAGTAGGTGCACGGTGGGAACTCAAACAGGAGTGGACGCTTCTGAATCCAGATCACCGTCGCGTGGGGTGGGAAGATTATCTGGGGAAGGGGGCAACCGCCTTGCGGGTTCGAATGAAATTGCTGTGATTAATACTCTCAGTCATGGATGAATTCCAATGGAGGAGAGTGCTGCCTATCAAGGTTCAGATAGTCTGTATTACGAATTTGCTATCTAGGAAATTATCCGACTGCAGTAGTGGCCTTCCACGGAAGTTGCCCTCGCAGAACAAAAGAAGAAAAGAAAGACGGGGGAACTTTTTCCAATCGTGCATCCATTTTACCCGTTTGGGTAATATTGTTTCTTTCTGAGCCCGGATAGGCATATCGGTGGACAGGTGTCTCAATTACACGGCATTGACAATCCCATTTAATTTTTTTTTTTCTTCCATGGCTAATGCAATATCCTGCCACTTCACCGTTAATGATGAATCAATTCACTAGCAAGTCTTGCGTGAATTTTAGCAAGCGCGGACATGCCCACGCTGGGAAAAAGACCGGCGTACGTAGACTTGATATCGAAAAAGCCAGTGTTGGGTCTAGTCCTTACAATGGATGGGCGATGGAAATAGTGGCGTAACAAACCCTGGTCTAACCTGCAGCCTTGCCGCATTCATCTGGTGTCAGTAAAATCTGACTTGGGTAATGGGTAGAGTTACATTTCACTCTTGAAGTTGAGCAAAGCAACAAAAGTTGATTCATACATTTGATCACCACATGGAGCAGTGCATCCAATGAAACAGACAGGAAAAGCTGCAAATGCGACATAATGTGAAGGGGATCGCCAGAATGACTCCCTCGCATATTGAATGCGATCGGTGTATCCGGCGAAACGGACGCGGTGGGAAAGAAAAGTGTAATACGAAAGCGGATGCCCAGCAACCGAAACGCAGCCCGAAGCTGTGACGGTAATTTTCAGAGTTATTTTTGTGAATTTCCAGATCCATTTTTGTCTGGGACTTTTTTTGCCCCCCTCCCCAGCAAAAGCCCGCCTTCCTGATTCTCTTAGATTTAAAGGATATCCCTCCCCACCCACTGAACCGCTGACTTACAATCTCCATTCCTCCTCACTCCTCTCTCCGCCATCTTTTATTCCACGCTTCTCTCTCTCTTATATCTCTGGGTCCTTCCCCTCTCTCGCTATCACTTTGCTCTTGACCAATCTTTTGGATTGTCTCGCGTTTATATCGTCATTGGACTTGATCACAAATTCAAAGTCAAACGTCTTTGAACAAGCTTTGCGTTAGCAAGCTCAATAACCACAAAAAAGAATCTTAATTCATTCTACATCACACACACACACTTCACAATGGTATGTTCTGTCAATGCTATACTCCCAAGCTGTTACTTTGGCTTCAGTTGCGTTGTTTGCCTGCCAAGATTTGCTAGAACTTACTCGCTGACTCACACTTTTCGCCACAGTCTTCTGGTGAAGCAACCGTCATCTCCAACACGGAGAATGTGCGTTCATCTTCTCATTAATACCTTGCATAATCTTTCTTCAGCCGCTTTGCGGTTCTGAGGAAAATGCCATACTGACTGGCTGGAAACAGCTCATGAAGTACATGACCCTCGACCAGCGAGGTACCGTCCAGGCTGAGTACATCTGGATTGATGCTGTCGGTGGCTGCCGTAGCAAGACCAAGGTAAGCACTTTTCTTCCATTCACTCGACTTTCTTCATTCATGGCACACGCGTGTGGAGTCGGACGTGTCCTGGATTGCGACGAGGGACCCGTCGTTATCATCGCTCCCTCGAACACCGATAAGCCCTGCGCACGGTGACTCGATCCTGCACGCGCCGGCTGCACCCACCCGTTGCACGTGACATAGCGCGTCTCGGGCTAACCCATCATTGTGCTTTAGACTCTCTCCAAGCCTGTCACATCGGTCGATGAGCTCCCCGAATGGAACTTCGACGGTTCATCAACGGGTCAGGCCCCTGGTGACAACTCCGATGTCTACCTGCGCCCCGTCGCTATCTTCCCCGATCCCTTCCGCCGTGGTGACAACATCCTCGTCCTCTGTGAGACCTGGGACTCCGATGGAACCCCCAACAAGTACAACCACCGCCACGAGGCCAACCGTCTGATGGAAATTCACGCCAAGGAAGAATGGTGGTTCGGTCTGGAACAAGAATACACCCTCCTCGGCACTGATGGCTGGCCTTACGGATGGCCCCGCGGTGGTTTCCCCGGTGCCCAGGGTCCTTACTACTGTGGTGTTGGTACCGGCAAGGTCTACTGCCGTGACATCGTCGAGGCTCACTACCGTGCCTGCTTGTACGCCGGTATCAAGATCTCCGGTATCAACGCTGAGGTCATGCCTTCCCAGTGGGAGTACCAGGTCGGCCCTTGCGACGGCATTGAGAGTGAGTTGGCCCGTGCCAGTTGCTATTTGGAGCGCATTAATACTAACTGTGTTTGCAGTGGGTGACCACCTTTGGATGTCCCGTTTCCTCCTCCACCGTGTCGCTGAAGAGTTCGGTGTCAAGATCTCTTTCGACCCCAAGCCCATCAAGGGTGACTGGAACGGTGCCGGTCTCCACACCAACGTCTCCTCCGCTTCGATGCGTGCTGAGGGCGGTATGAAGGTCATTGAGGCCGCCATGAAGAAGCTTGAGGCCCGCCATGTTGAGCACATTGCTGTCTATGGTGAGGGTAACGAGGAGCGTCTCACTGGCCGTCACGAGACCGGCAACATCGACAAGTTCAGCTATGGTGTTGCCGACCGTGGTGGCTCCATCCGTATTCCCCGCCAGGTCGCCAAGGACGGCAAGGGTTACTTCGAGGACCGTCGTCCCGCTAGTAACGCCTGCCCCTACCAGATCACCGGTATTATTGTTGAGACTGTAAGTTCTTCTGAGTTTTACATTGATCACGCAGATGACTGACTGTTTTTCCAGCTCATGGGTGGCAACTAAATGCGTTACATACCGTTTGAAAATGTGAATACACTTCATATTAGCGCTCGTATACCCTCCGGCGTCGACAGGGAGGTGGACAATAGCGCAGCCTGGCACTCTCGGGAGCAAACATAGAATTTCTTTTTCATTCTTCAGCTGGTAGTTCGGGACTCTTCATTTACTCTCCGCCAGAGCTCGCCTTGCGTTCCTTACCCTCTGCTGGTTTTGCATTTCGTTTTCTTTCATTACTTGGGTTATGTGTTACGTTAAGCATAGAGGACTTCGGAGGAACCGACAGTCACTTGAAAATAAACTGGTGGAATGTGCCTAAGGCATGCACCGGAAGGATCAGAGAATAGATTAATGGCCGACTTATCACAGTAACATAGTGTGTCAATACAATCATTGCCCAACGGGCTGGACATGAAACTTCTCCCCTGCATCTAGACAACTTGCGGTATTGCTGCTGGTACTCTCAACTAATAAAACAACTTTTGACTAGCATTAAGTACATATAGTGATCATTATCGTGTATAGTATATAGATATAAAGGCCACCCTCATCAAAGAGGAATGGATGATCCCCAGACTGACCCCACCCCCCCAAATGCTCACATGCCCCATTTATTCCCCAACTCAACGCGACTTCTTCCAAAACTTAAACATTCCCTGCCCCAACCCATCCAACCCCCTCTGCCTCGCCTCCCTCCTCGCCGCCCCATCCACAATCTTATCCTGCTCCTCCCCATCCTTCTTCTTCCCATCAATCACCCTCACAAGAACCTGCATCAACACCGCCGCCAAAATACTCGCACACAAAATCCCCACCATGACCAGATTACTCTTCCGATACTTGGCCCTGCCCGGCGCCTCGTAATCGCTCTTCCACCCCGAATACAGCGCATACGTCGTCAATATACTTCCCAAATTACCCCACCCGGAGACAACCGCCGACGCAGTGGCCACGCCTACCTCGCCGTGGCGCCCCTGGAATACCTCCGCTGTCCAGGTCATGGTGATGGGAACGGTGGGGCCTAGCCCGAAGCCCACGATTAGGAGGCCTCCGTAGCGCGGCCACGAGTTGGTGTCGGTCCCCGCGTAGGTGGTTAGCAGGAGGCCGAGGATCTGGAGGAGGACGGGGATGGAGAAGAAGAGGGCGCGATGACGGTGGAAGCGGTCCGAGAAGGGGGTTACGAGGACAATGGCTATAAGGTCCATCTGTTTGTTTTCGAAGGTTGGTTAGTGGGTGGGTTTGATATAGGGAGGGGATGCGGAGGGACGTACAATCCAGATCGGAGCGGAGAGAAGACTCAGGTCGATTCCGCTTAGAGAGGGGTTGATTGCTTCGATGATCACCGTGGCGTAGCTTTGGACGCCAATGCCCACGCCCACGACGCCGAAGTACATGATGAGGAGGGGCCAGAGACGCCAGTCCATGAATACGCGGGCGAGGTCCATCCAGGTCCATTGCGCGCGGTGGTATACGCGCTTGAGATCGTGGTAGTGGATTTCGGCGTCTCGGCCTGTGAGGGCTGGGGGGCTGCGCGGGAACCACCAGAGGTATTTGCGGCGTGGGGGTTCAACTCCTGGTGCGAGTGGTCGGTCCGGTAGCCACCAGAGGAGGACTATACCGACGGCAATGGTGATTACGCCGTAGACGAGGAACATCCATTGGAAGCCGACGAGGCCACGCTCGCCGTCCATTTCTTGAAATCCGGCTGATACCAGACCGACTACTGCGGCGGAGACTTGCGCTGCGGTGTAGTATTGGCCGATGCGCTTGCCTGTTCGCGATGGGGGGTAGAATAGGGTTAGGTAGTAGGTCATGCCGGGCCACATGCCTGCAATGACGATGCCTAGAAGGAGACGGAGGAGGCTGGGATTGTTAGTTGCTGTTGCGCGGAGAGACAGGGGATTGGGGGACGAACTATAGACTCCATGCGGCTTTCATAGCGGCCATGCAACTGCCAATGACACCGACGCTGATGACAATGCGACTCATCCACACGTGCGGACTCAGACGGGTCATTATGAGGTTGGACGGAAGGTCAAACACGACGTAGCACACGTAGAACAGCGCCAGACCTGTAGAGATTTGGTGTGGAGAAGCGTTTAGGACGGAGCCAAGATCGTGGCCGGAGTCGGTATTCATGGTCTGCGCAAGACTGACGTTGGAGCGCACTGCTGCGCAAAGGAAGTAGAGGACCCAGAATGCGGGGATGATACGCAAGTCCAATTTCCTATTCAAGGTCAGGTGTGTTTCGCACCTAGGGAAAAGATGAGACGGACCTGTAAATGCGCTCGATTTCCGCAACATCGGGTTCGTTGCTCGGTTCTACGTCGCCGTCATGACTGCTTAATGATCGCTCTTGGATATCCTCTGCGCTCAGGTCCTTTCCCGGCTCATGGGCCTGGGATGGCGCTTCCATCAAGGACATGATGGAGTGTTTGCTGGAACTGCTGCGAAAGAAATTGTTAGCGCAAGATCCGGGGAGACATCGTCGGCGCCACGGCTTGGGACTTACAAGGGTGAGCGAGACAATAGTTCCTCTGAAAGCGAGAAGAATGGTGGGGAGATGGAGGGTATAAAGTGGCTGATAAGGATCGCTCAAGCAATGCAGCTGGACACCCCGCACTGACGAAGCTTCGTGGCCAGTGGTGTCACGGTGGGAGAAATCGGAAATAAACGATCAAGACGGTAGTGATCAGCCCTAGAGGAAATTGCATGTCTGGTTAGTTGGGTGGATGCTGCAGGTATTGAGTCAAGCGTTGAGAAAAGAAAAAAAAAGCGGGGAGAGCTTTGAGCATGTGCATGTGCACGGATCGGAGGACCGACTTTATCTAGTAAGTCTGGATGCTAAAAAAACTTACCTGAACTGAGTCTGCCATGATGAGATGCTGGAAAGGCAAAAATGAAACAATATCAGGTCAATCGCAGCTCACTCAGAGGAAAGAGGGGAAGAAGAAGTGAGAACGCAAGGGACAGTGGGATTGTACTTGGATGAGCTCTGCGCTGAGGCAATTGCCAAGCGATTGATAAAAAGAACCGCAGACACAAAGCGGAGACGCGAGAGACATTGAGGCGGACCAACGATGGCCCGAGAAGAGTCGATCCTCACGAGAACAGCGACGGTTTCGGCGGATAAACTATTGCCATGGAACGAATCCAGAGGATCCAGAGCAGCTCCAGGAGGATTTGGCAGCCGACGGTCGGACGAATCCACTTTCGCGGTTGATGCGCTCAACAAGTTTTAGTTAACCAACCGATCTCCTTCAGTCCGCAATGAGTCACTATTCTTCCCCAGATGGAGAAATCACAATACCAATTTAGTATATTCAACGATGTCGCCCAACACTAAAAGATAAAAAGCTTCAATCCGATGTCGGTGCCTTCCATTCGTCCGGCTAGAGGTCTGCATCCTGCAGTGTCATCGAGGTTGCCGTTCGATCTGCAGCTTTCTGTTGCACCGGTCGGTGACTGAATCCATGGCCCGGTGAGCCAATCTTCTGGGCGTATCCAACGTTTCTTTCCTGTTCTCTATCAATTGATAGAGAGTCTAGACAGCGCCCTTCCGCCTTTTCTGACGCCTGGACCTCGGTGAGACCGAGCAGGCAAACTGGCACCGACCGGCTCCACCCAGTCAAGGGCAGCAGATGAACGAGCCTGAAACGGGGAACCATAATCTGACGACATTCTAGAAGTCGACGCTGCTCTGCGCATTCAACTTCTATTCAGTCTCTAAGCTTGACTCCTTCCAAGATAGTGACAGGCTTGTATCCTTTTGTACCTATGCTTGAAACGAAGGGAATTAGAAGGACTTGGCACAGTATCCTCTTCGTATAGGGAAGAACAGCTTATCTCCCTGGCGCAAATACCCCTTTCCAAGGATAGACAGAACCCATCACATACCCAGCCAGCGAACCTGACGGATGCTGCATCTTGATTGCGCCTGGCGCATGGCCAGCTGATAATTAGTCCATCAATCGTTCTGCTGTTGTAGATACTCGCAGCGAAAATAACACTGCTATTCCAGATATGCAGAACAGTCAATAAGAAAGATGCACCATCCGGTTTAACTGCAGTTTCCCCTACTTCCCCAACTAAGAGTCAGCAAGCACAAGCGCATAACAGATTAGCCCGAAAGCGACTGTCTGTACAACATGCTATGCTTATGTATGTCATCCAAAAAGGGGAAAAGAAAAAAAGGTCGGTTATCGGAGCGACTTGTGTCACCTTGTTATCAAACGAGGACCACTCCTCCTCCGAATCCATATCATTCATGCAAATATCGAAAGCTTCGTCGTACATATGCAGGATTTGAGCACTAGCAGACACAGTCCATTAGTAAGTAGAGGCTCCTTGAGCTTGATAGTCTATCAGCGGCCCACGGACGAGAGGACTGCAAGATGCGTACCTTGTAAAAATGTCTAAATAGCGAGCCGGCCTTGTGACATATAGCAGAACTACCAACCCAGTATCAGGACACATTATGCTCACTATCAACCAAATGGGATCATGCGTCTCGGTCCGCTCACTTTAAAACCGGATCAGGGTGTGAATACGGGACGAGAGATGGCTAAGAGTCCATCGAATCTAATCATATGTTGGTATGAAGGCCAACTATGTTCTTGAGGAAGCTGCCGGAGCAGGTAGCCATCACTTGATTTGGTAGTCACCTGATTTGTTTTTATTCTTTCGCGATACTTGCTGCTGCCTCAGGATCGTATCTCTAAAGCTCCCCGGAGTCATATCTAGTAGAGCATCAATAAGTTCTAGACCAGTCCATTACGGCGGCCTGGATCGCTCCATAATGGTGCTAAAGATAAGCTCATATCTTGGGAGTGTCCACAATGACATCCCTTCATCTCAGCTGCATGGCCGTGCATCTCACGCAAGGGGCTATTCATCATGAGATGTAGTGCATGTACAGCTTACTGACTAGACTGGTTCATACTATGTCGGGCAAGAGTTAATCGAAGTTAAGCGTGAAGATCAAAACTAGCATGTTTCTCGGTCTAAATACACGGAAACAGTCGGGGTATAAACGAAGCTCAGTAGTTAGGGCCGTATGGCCCATGTTTCAATCACTAAATCATTATAGTCCTTGAGAGTTCGGACCAAGAAGAAAGCACAGTCGTGTACGCTTATGCCTTCACGCTGTTGGTGTTCTCGTCACTGTCCTTCTCCATGTCCTTTGCCCGGTGGCTCAGCACACTGGCGCGACGGACTGCATCGTCTTCCACGTCATCGAGCGTACGCAGAAGCTCACCATGCTTGCCGTACATGTGAGGTTCCTCGTTAGCAACCTTGACAACGTTGAAGACACTGGTGGTTTTGCGGAAAATACGGTCCATTTCCTCCAGGGATCGGCGGGCCGTCTCTGGATAGAAGAAGAGCACTACCGGGAAGATAAAGGCGTTGCTGTTCAAAGGTTAGAACTGAGAATGCCAGAAAACGGAGAATGAACGAGGGGATGAGTAACTTACATAACCGCAAAGATGATGTAGGTCTGGTACCCAATGTTGTCAAAAGCCACTGGCGTGATCATGACCACCAGGAAGTTGAAGATCCAGTTCGATGACGTCGCCAGCGCGTTTGCCGGAGCGCGAATCCGTAGCGGCACCACTTCAGCCGGATACAGCCAGGTCATACCCAGCCAGCCAATGGCGAAGAATGTATTGAAAACGAACAGGAAGACGATACAGGCGATATTGGCTCCGTTACTACCGATGCTGGCAGTGACGGCAAGGATGACCATCGATATTGACATTCCCGCGGCGCCAAAAAGCATCAGTGTCCGACGACCAAAGTGCTCAATGGTGAACACGGCAATCCATGAAGCGAGGAAGTATTCCGTCCCGTTGCAAGCTGAAATCAAGCGGGAGTTTTCGAGGGTCATACCCAGCTGGTTCTCCAGCACAACGGGGATGTAGTATGTAATCAGGTTGATACCCGAAATCTGTTGGAACATTTGATTGACGTAGGCTAAGACCACGCGGTGGAAGTGGCGGTCCTCGGTCATGGTGAACATGTCACGGAACGAACCCTTGGCCATTTCCAAGACTGTAGCCTTGATGGCCGTAAATTCCGTCTCAATGAAGGTCTCGTCAGCGTCGCCCAAGAGGGACCGCAGGACAGTCCTTGCTTCGTCCTCGCGGCCCTTGAGGATTAGCCAACGGGGCGACTCGGGAAGAGGCAAAACGAAAACCAGGATAATGAGGGCGAAGAAAATCTGGAAGGCCAGCGGGAATCGCCAAGCCACCTCATTTGGATCGGCGAATAGCAGACCGAAATCAATCCAGTAACTGATGGTGATACCGCAAGTAATCATGGCACCTTCAATCATGACTAGCATTCCACGATGGTTGGATTTACAGCACTCTGACTGCCAGGTGGGCACGGTAGAGGTGTTCATGCCGTTTCCTACCGACAAAGTATATTATTAGTATTGCATACATTGCATAGCTCACAAGTTGGACATATGCACTCGTTGCACCTACCGAAACCAGTAACCAAGCGTCCCACAATGAATTGCCCGAGTTGGTAGGAAGTGCATTGCAGCAAAGCTCCGATGCACATAATAAACGAACCAACGAAGATGGTTTTGCGCCGACCGAGCATGTTGCCAATCCAAATTGTGGGAATCGATCCAGCAAAGCAACCCAAGTTGTACGCAGCGACAACGACACCTTGACAAAAACAAAGATCAGTCCGCGGGCGGGATCAATGATTAGAGCATAGCACAAAATGGTGCACTTACCTTGGCGAGTCGACTGGGTACTTTGTTGCGCTTTAGTCAAGCTCTCATAGTATTCACCGTTGGTTGCGATAGTTGGAAAGTATTTGATGAACGATTGGAGGGTCAACAGACCACCAGTGACACCTTGATCGTAACCGAACAGCAAGAAATCCATACCAGCGATGACACTGATAGCGATTTGCAGCTTGCCTCCTGTGAGGCCCAAGTATGACCGCGCCATCTTGGAAAGACGGACTTTCGCACTCTCTATGGGAGTATTAAGCCCAGATTACTGTATCCAGTCGAGACTACAACTGTATGGTTGAAAGTAGTTGAAAGAAGCCAAAACCGAACAACACGAGTAATCCGTAGTCAGGGAGGCAGAGTCATTGGCTGGAAGGGGTATGTATGTGCTGGCGGACGGAAAGTGAAATGGAAGGGAAGAAATGTGAGAAGAGAAAAGAGATCAACCAGCAGGTTGCACGAGGGGAAGCGGACGGGGGGTTTTAAATAGAGCTGGAGCCTCCAGAGACTCGACTTGTCGCAACGGTAGGTTTCTAATGACCGATTGGGCGATGGAGAACATGAAATGTAAGTAATATTATTACCATTCGGGGAGAAGTCAGGCCAGTCGAGAGCATCTGTGCAAATACTAGCTACTAGGTTCAGCGAGGGATACTACTACTAACTACTACTAGTAGGGACGTTGGCACTCCGTCACTAGTACACCACCCAGAGCACACAAGTACCATCCAATTTGACTTTTGGAAAAGCAGAGAAACCCACTGGATGAGACAAATGAAAAGATGGGATTGGCTCAGGATGACCTGAAAGGACTGCAATCGATCAGGAAGCTGCTTCTCGAATCCTGCAGCTGATTGGCCTAAGCCACAGAAGCCTGGAGGGGAAAAATTATCCCCACAGCTGCCACTCTCCGGATCCAGAGACTGACTGATACATCTCTAGAGACACAGAACACAGTATTATTGCGTCCGAGAGCACTTGCTAAAAGAGGTCTCTCCCCGGACCCATCGTCCAGCAAGTTCCATTGGCTCTTACAACCAACGGAGGAATGACCGTTCCCCACATGGCCTCCCCCAGGCACACACCATCTCAGACCATCTTCAAGACCAAATTCAGATGAAATGACGAGTGGTGGGTGGGTTGCCCGACTACTTCTTACTCCACCTCCACGATGAGTGGGCGTCGCGATCAGCGGGGGGGCTGAATTGGGGGCCGCGTCTGCTCAGGCGAGTACTAAAGCCGATTAACTCGAAGTACATGGGTATCATTATACTAAGAGTAAGCAGTTTCCACCCAACGGTCGGAGGTCTCCTCTATGCCGTCATGGGTGTCGGGATGAGCAGGGGACTAGCCGTTTCTGGAGAAACCGAGCACAGCGGTCGCTTCATGGTGAGTGTTTCAACCCGCGGTTGGACCAGCTCGGATGTGAGCCAACCGAGATTGATATACTGTTTTGTACTTGGCAATTCATTTTTTATTTTCTCTGGTTATTGTCCACTGCTTGGAACTTAAAAGGAATCATACAGTGATTTTCGCGTAGTTTTCCATAAAGCGTATGTTAATATTAAATTGTCCGCTGGGTAGGCGGGTGGATTGCGGACGGCTAGCAGGAATGTGAGCCTCCGGGGCGGCTAACTGCGATCTGGGCGTTTGCAGTCATCGTCATCGGCCAGTTCGCGTGGCTTTTCGCGTGGGCGAAATCAAGGAAAACGGAAAGGATCGTAGGCAGAGTGCGCTGAATCTAATCGTCATATTTCTTTGCTCATTCGACGGAATAGTGTTACCGTGTCATGCCGTCGTGTGTCGGGTGTCGTCCGGTCCCCGTGGACCCTTTCCGTCAATGTGAGGAAGAAAGAGAGATCCGGGCTGATTATTCAGAATCCGGGGTTTTTGGAGACTCCGCACAGAGGGACCGACCGCTTTACCGCTTCCAGTAAGGACATTCCCCGGCTCTATCCGCCTCGTGGGCGTTTGCTATCGCGTCCTCCTTGCTTGAGTGCTTGAAAGTATTGTTGTGTGGCACAGCTGAGCTAGCGACATCGTTTCTCAGGAGAAGGACAATAAGATTAACTGAATATGCAGAAAACCATTAGCTCCCATATGTGCTTTTCTTGGCCCATATAGGGATTTGCTCGCCGCGGTAAGGTACTCTTCCTCCTCGACCGAGACTCCTGCGGGCGACCGTCTCGTCTTGTCCCGTAATATTCTCGTCGATGGGGCGCCTAGTCTCCAAATCGGTCAGGTTGGTCTGATGCCGACCAAACCTTTCCCCCTCCGCGCAGTCGGGGATTCCGTGGGAGAGCATCAAATGAATATCGGCCTTGTGCATGCGGTTACACTCGCTAAGAGCTCGTTTCCTCCAATCACGGTCGATATTCGGTTCGATTAAGCTCCACTTCGCTCAACAAGCCGCTTCCTGGTGCCTCCCAGGAACCTCCCTAGGTCACTCTGAGTCGTCTGATGAAGTTATTATTTGCTACAGGCTTACAGATGGACCAACCAGATCGTCGCAACCATGCAGTCATCATGTCGGTTTGACAATAAGGAAGGCCGCCGGGAGAGTGTGCAGTTACACCGACCTCAACACCGACCACGATGTCTGATACAGGCCGAAGTCCTAACCTTAATCACGGCAGATATGAGCTGGCCGAGGCCTGGCCGAAGGTCACCGAAAACATCGGCCCCAGAGGACGGCCACGGCTTGATGCATGGATGCAATATGCTACAGCTGCTTTTCCCTGCAATGTTCGAGCCATTGACCCCAAATGTCCTGGAAGGTGCTACCCGCTCGACGGGTGAAGATGTGGGATGTCAGATGCTTATCCGGAGGAGCAGTCTGGTGGGGACGATTAGGCTGCCTTCAGGGAGGGTGCCCTGCGCCCGTCCCATAGTACGTAGCCCTGGAGATTACCAGACAGGGTAGACGGGTACGGGGTACCCCAAAGTACTAATGAATAACCATTCAGCTCGCCGGCCGACTGAGGGAAAAAGCGCGCGACGCAAGCCGGGCACCTCACTGGCCCAAGGGTGGCAACCCATACTCCTTGCTGGCGTCCCTCGGGCGGCTTAGCGTCTAACCACTAAACCGGCTCAAGTTAGTTGCCAAGATAGACCAGGCCATTTTATCCATCAGTTGTAGCAATCTCCATCATCCGTGAAACCGCGCTCGGTCTCCCCCCGCAGTCAGGCTCTTCGGTTGTGGCCGAGCGTGTCTCCAGGTTCCCCTACGGCTTACCAGTTCTGGACATCCCGCGCTTTTCATCGGGCTGGAGAGGGGGCGCATAATCAATCCCCATAGGCAGGAATTCCCCTACCTCATGTGCATCGAGATTCGTCCAATGCATCTCGTTGTACCGAGTACCACTCTCTACATCTTCCCAGTGCCCACCCGTCGCTTACCTTGCCTTATTCGTGGACCGGCATGACAGCGCCTTGCTGCTTTCCTTTCTTGGTCGATAGTAGATCGCCTCGTGGTGTTCTGACACCCGCACCGATTCACATGGCAAGATAACTAGAATCTAAGCTATCTTTGGCGCTCGTCTGACAGACACGACCAGCTTACCTGACATCCCATCACGATTTCTAGAATGCGAAACTTGATTTCCAAAAGTATGGCAGAGTTATGTTACACCAAACGAGGTGACTAATCGATCCCGGTCAGCTGGAACCAGGATAAACTACTGCGTAGATATGCACGGAAGAATTGCACCACTCATTTGCTATAGTTGTCGCCCAAGAATATCCATAATACCAATATGATGGTACCAGGGAGCCAAGGCAGTCTTAACCGAATACTACATTGTGGACATTTATTCACGCTCTAGCGCGACGCGTAGAAAGTCATGCTACCTTTGATATTTTCACAACCACCTGCACCAATCAATAGCCACATGCGACAACCCATGAGGGAGCCCTGCCACGAGAAGCCAAAGCGTCTACTGGTCCTTGAGCATATTACTGTGACTCGCTCTAATTGGAACGCAAATTGGTGGATGTAAGTGGCTCGGGAAACTTTCGGACGTTCCAGGACCAATATTTATCTTCTTACCCATATGAACTAGTTGGTTTTCTTTGCGTGTCGAATAATTCCCCAACAAGCACAAAGCAGAGACAATTGGTGGGGCTGCTAGAACGGATTGAGTTCTTTGGCGCGTGCTTCGGCGCTTGGATCAGGCTGGTGGTCTTGGCTCGACAGCGCGGGATTTTTGTCCCCCTCACAAATGGATACTGTGAGTCAAACTGGAGATTTACTGACTAACTAGAATTCAAGTTGGATGTCCGCTTTCAGCGCAACCGAGGATGTGCTTGTAGTCCGAAGACCCCCTCGTGGATTTCAGGCGACACCGCAATCAAGTTGATCTAGAATCCGGGGTAATGAGCACAGCCCAAGGTTCGTACACAGGTCACGAAGCTAAACACCGACCAAACATATACGTACGGCTTGTGAATTAGCCCATTATACGTTAGCGCACCAGCTACTAGCGCAAGCTGCTCATGCGATACACCTACCTACCTTGGGCAGTACCATGGCAGATCATCGGCGCACAATAGCCAAGGATGAGCCACCGAATCAACCATCCAGGCACTAACTTACAATAGATACAACCAAGCTAAGCCGTGGAGGCCAAAGCTAGGCTTGAATGCGCGATGATGTCATCTCATTTCATCGAGATTTCCGATCCTCTTCGTCCTCCATGTCTCGGAAACTCGGGTTACAGAGCCACCAAGCACGGCCATCAATATCAAGAACGTCATGGGATCTCCTTTGGGACATACTGAGTGTGCTTGCCATAGGCTTCAACAACAATGGGATTTTAAGAATCACACCGGAGCAAAGACCATACATTCGGCTTCGCGGAATTATTCCCCGATGATCATCCACAGTCTCCGATATCACCGGCGGATTGTACATCCAACACGTGTATTATTCTTGCCTAGTGACGGCAGAGATTGTCGCAGGATCATGTTTCCGAAAACACAAGTCAAACAGTTCATCGGAGAAATAGCTTCCCCAGCAGCCACAGGAAGATCCTGCTACCTGTTTTTCAGACCTACCAAATTCACATACTAACCCACTGAGACCCCCCTTACCACCATGGCTGGCACATGAGCGGGCTCAGCCGCACCTCCCCCGACATGATATTCTCTCCCTGAAAGCTTAAGAGGTACCTAAAGTCCTAAACTCCGAGCCTACTAGACGAAGTGCATACTGGCGTCAAGCAAGATCAACAGTCATGCGGGGCGTATGGGGGGGGGCCAGACCAGACCACGTTGCGAGTATGTCTTGCAGATACTTAGGATGTGGCAGTCAATCACGGGGGAAGTAAACAAGTAAACCCACCTCCTGATCCTTGAATTGGCCCCGCAGCTGAGCTGCGTCTCTTGCACTAAATTGAATTAAATATAGGATATGACTGGTTCGTGAAGTGGGGAGGGGGAGAATCACTCACGATACTGGCTTTGCCAAATTAAGTACATTAATCGAGATAGATAGAAACAGAATATATGCTATACTACGCAGAAGAAGACTCGGTGCTCACTTCAGAAGTTACATAAAATATTGTCAACTCAGGTCAACTCAACTCAGGGAAAGAAAGAAAAGCAAATAACTAACATGTACATTACACAAACCGCCCCGCAAACCGTCTCACACCAGCATCAAAGATATACAGCGGCAGAGCCAACGCCAAAACCACCCACTGCACAGCAGCCAACTCCCAACAAACCCGGACGATGCCATCACGATCCACCCAACCAGCACCAGAGACCGTCACTCCGAACGCAACCACATTTTTACCCGCATTAATAAGTACTATGGCCTCGCTTCCCGACTGTGGATACACATCCATGATATAAGACATGGTGACTGAAGGAACGAAGACTAAGGCTGACGCTTGCATGGCATAACCGGTGGCAGAGACGTACAAGGATTTACTGCTTGCGATTGCATACGCAAAGAGGATTAAGCCTGGTGGTGCGACTAGGAAGGGGATGATGAGCGCGGGCATGCGGTCTTTTGGGTGATGGGTGTTATTGATAGTTGTGTTGGTGGTGTGTCTTCGGGCGGCAGCCCATCGGGAGAGGAGGTCGGTTAAGGGGCCGGCGATGGGATATCCTATCACGATACCGAGGAAGGAGGAGAGTGTGTATACACCGATTGCTGATGAGGATAGGTGGTATGGTGGTGCTGAGAGGAATTGGGGGCTGATGGCGGAGATGAGGACGATACTGGGATGGTACTTGCTAGTCAGCTTGTATAGTGTAGTATAGAGATATCAGTAAGGGTAAGTACTAGTAGTAGCTGCTGCTACTACTGTACAAATCATTTGTGTGATAGGTAGGACAGATGGCAGCACCAGGGAAGTAAAAGGAGGAATAGGAGGGAGTAAGAGCAGCAGTATAAATCCACTAACCCAGAAAGAAAGATGCCATAGGCGATTGTCGCAAATAAAACAATAGGGACACAAATAAACCGGAATGGGAGGGAAAATTGCCCAGGCCAGCATTTGAGTCCCTCAGGCTCGAGACCGCGGTCTCTAATTGATATCAGGTCTTTCCAGTAACTTCTGGGTGAATTTTCATTTTCTCTGTGTTCAGTCCTTTGTTTCGCTTCCTTTTCGAATTCACCGGCATGAACATTCCCAACGTCGGTCAAACGATGTCGAAAGGTTGTTTCAGGCAAAAAAAGGACCGATGCTAAGAAGTTGACTGCACCGAGGATGGCGCAAACAATAAAAAACCATCTCCAGCCCTTGCTACCGATAACAAAGCCGGCAATCATGGGACCGATTTGAGATCCAGCACAAAGCGACAAGGCGAAGAGAGCCATGGCGGTTGCAAAGTACCGCTCCGAAAAGAGATCTGTATGATACAAGGATACATAAGTAACATGTCAATCGACTAAAGATTAGTCAAGCCGTACTCACTTACCGGCGATAATGGATGGCCCAAGAGCCTCGATAGACCCAGCCCCTAGATCACCAATGAAGGGGAGTTCACGGGATAGCAGTAACGATAGGTACTACGCACCAAATGAAGCCACGATTCTGGAAGCTAGCAGATCTCTGAAACCAGTTGCTTTGATGCTCCATGTGCATCCAGCCAGGAAGACTATCATGGAGATCAATATAACTGGCCGCTTAACGATGCACATTGCGGTCGGCTTCCAGAAGAGATTCGAGATTCCGAGTGCAAATACAGCCCAGGCGACAAGGCCAGTAAGAGTGTCGAATTCGACGCCGAGGTCATGAGCCAGTGGAGCAAAGCCAGTGGCGAGACCTGCTGCATACAGATTCCCAATGAAGACATAGGCGCAAATGTTCATCAGGATAGCGCAGCGGAGTCGAGTACTCCAACACTATTGCTTCTTAGTACTCAGCACTTACAATGGAGGACAGTTTTTACATAGGAAATGGAGGATACCTTTGGGTCGCCAGGAGAACCGGCAACACTGTGCATCTTGATGTAGTAGTCGTTTCTGATTTGGCAGAGCCGAAGTAATTGAGCAACTCGAGAGAATTTATGTAGCCATTTTAATTTCGTCTCCACATCCCGGACTACGCCCAGAGTTGCCAGGCTATGCAAAACCTAGCAAGAAGTCTAGACTCTAGCAAGTTTGTGTAGTTTGTGTACATCAGACTTGGGAAGATTTGCATTCGTGCATTGACACCTACTATTTGTTCTGTATCGCGTACTGCAAGATTATTGGTGCCCCATCGGCCCCTCGGCCCCGTCGGGAACAATAACATCAATTACAGCTCGGCTCAAGATTTGAGGAAGATCCTTGAATTCTACTACTAGTCCTTCAGAGCACATGCACCCCGCCGGCTCGGCATAGGGCTGATTGCCGATCCCCCACCGGCCCCAGTTTTGATCGCATTATGTTGGGAGCGCCGCGGAGGACGGACGGGTGTATATCAAGATAGATAACCTCCATCTGACGAACAGTGAAGTGACACGCTGCAAACGAGAGTCCGTGACCAAGAAACTCTCGCTCTCGTGTTCTTCTAATCCCCGCTTAGACTCCAGACCTCATCGGACCAACATCATATACCCTGCCAAAATGGACTACCTATTCTACGACATTTTCAAGGAAGGCAAGACCCTTGACGACGCTCCACCAGCCTTACTTCGAAAAGAGTCCGATTTTGCCTGGGCTTCGACCAAGAGTGGAGAGACTACTCGATTCTTCCCCTCGATAACCGATGAGGAAAACAAGGTCAACGGGGCGGTCGTACATTGGAGAGGCATTGAAAGCCCAGAACGAGCCGAGTCCATTAAGCAAGAGGTTCCGTGGATTAGACATGGGTTTTCTGATGCCAAGGTCATTCCCATTGGAAATTTCACCTCGGTGTCAAAGCTCTTCCAACAAGGAGGGAAGTATCTTGACTGTGAGCCAGTGCAACGCCTGCAGCCATTTTCCACGGATCCGTGTGTGACATGGTATGTTATTATTGTTGCAAGGGATGCATCGTCCTATGATACGATGTTTGGGGAGAGAGATGCATTGCACTGCGTGAAGCTTTGGAAAGGTAAGTACCAGGATCTATGCAAAAGACCATTATTTCCTTTTCTTCTCGTTGTCCACCGAATGACTGATGGCTTTTTGTCTGGGACAGGTGGGATAGCGGAAGAGGTGTTTGATGTGGTCCATCCACAGCAAGGAAAGGTGAGCTATCTGGGAGCGCTGTGCCGTAAACACAAAAAGCTAACTAGCCGAGTTGAACAGGTTCTCCGACTGAAAGCGAATGATAGAGCAGAGGTAAAACAATACGTGGAAGATATTCCTTCCTTCAGTGAAGGTGCAGCAGAGGTGGACATACTCCGAGCGAAATCGCACATGGTCTGGGAGGTTTTCTTCTAGATTGCTGAGTAAAAGCAACTATATTTGATCCTGGGTCCTGCAAGATTAGAAAAACTAGTAGCTAGACTATATGGTTTATTATTCCTGATGAAATTCATAGCTTTTAACCAACCAAGTCCAACCTACGCATCTCGTTGTGGTCTCCGCCACTCTCGTGATGGAAAGTTCACTGCTATGGCTCACACTGGGGTTCAATACATAGTATAGTGTGGACTTATAGGTGAAGAATACCCGATGATCTACCCGAGTCTATTCCTGGAGTGCTATTCCTACTGAAAGGATGCTCAAACTTCCCAAACTGGGACTTTCAGGTCCGACAAATACTTAAAGAAATTGGATTACAGGACCTTATTGATCTTGACCTTCCACATCCGAAGAAAGACCACAAAAATTACGCGGAATGGCATAGATGCTCGAAATGCCTGCAGACATGGCTGACTAGGCAGATAAATGGTGAACTCATGGAGGAATTTGTGTCATCCGTCGACGACAAAGTCTTTTCTGATGAAGCATACAAGGTGATCAAGAAGATCGTACTAGGGCACGGCATCGTGGGACGTCAGAACGTCGTGTACAATCTAGTCAGAAAGACGCGTGGCGATTATTCAACTGCGCGCCAGTATGTTGAGGATTTTAGAAACAACTACATACTCGCCAAGGAACTCCAATGCGGCCTACCTCCGTTTACCGCTTCACTCTTGAAGCTGATTAGCTATGTACATCCTTGAATACCCACAGTTCGAGACTACTTTCTTCGTTATCTATTGATAATTTAAGACGTTATAGACGAATGGCTATATAAGTGTATGAAACATGTTCTTTCCACACAAAGTAAAGAAGAAGATATCATCACTCAGCCATCCCAACTAGCTCCGTCAGCTTCGACACTCTGGCTCCGTAGAGCTTGGTCATAAACTGCAAATGATCAGCCTGCTTCGAATGAAGAGCAGTCGTGCAATCCTCCACAACCGTAACCCTCAATCCCTTCTGGAACGCGGTTCTCGCAGTAGAATCAATACAAACATCCGAGAACAAACCCGCTAGAACAAGATGCTCAAAGCCCTGTTCTTCTAAATATGCCGTGAACTCCGGAACCAGGAACGGATCCAGCAATGCCTTCTTATCAAAGACGCGCTCGCCAGGCTGAACCTTCACCCCAGGACCAAACTCCGCACCCCACGTCCCCTCGACGCACTTTTCGGGTTTCTGGAGAATGGCGTCCCGGTGTCTCCAGCTGGGGCTTTGGTAGGTGGTGTTTCCGAGGAATCGGACGAAAATGACGGGGCGGTTGTTTGCGCGGGCGAAGTCGACCGCGCGAGGGACGTTGTTGACGACGCCTGCCATGGCAGGACTGGGGTTTCCGGAGATGAAGTCGTTTTGGAAGTCAATGACTACCAGGGCGGATTTGAGACCAAGGAAGGCTTGGAGGTCGCCGGAGGCAGTGGTGGTGGCGGTGGATGGGATAGATTGTGTGGGGTTTGCGATGGCTTGGAGGAAGTGATCGACTGTTTCCTCTGTCTTCAATGAACCGCCTTGGTCGGGGGTAGTGAGTTTGCGCTGGAGGAGGCTTTGAATAGCCTGCTCTGTCAGCTTCTGGATACCTTTGCCCCCAGCGTGTCGCTCCAGGATGGCGGCTGCGGCACGAATGGTAGCAAATGGGTTGACGAGGCCCTTATCAGCGATGGCATCGGCAGACCCATGGACAGTTTGGTACTCGCTGAGGCCGTTTACGTCTGGACGCAGGTAGACGTTCTCAGCGTACATGGTCTCGGGAGTCGATTGACCGAACCAGTTGAGGAAGACGGGCTGGATGACGTCTGCGTATTCGTTGCCTGCAATGATGATGCAACGGCCCTGGACTCCATTTGCCATTAAGCTGCGATTGAGCGTGTCAGGCTGAATAAAATTGAAGTCGATGCCGAACTGGGCCTTCCATTGGGGTTCCCAAGCTTGGAACACGCCATCAAAGAGGTGGAACTTGTATGCCATGGTCACCTTCTTGGGGACGTTCTCGGGACCCCAGTTTTCGGCCGCCCTGTCGAGTGCAAAGCGGATGATGCGGTCGAAAACGGGCTTGCTGAAGCTAGTGGTTCGTGTGATGCTCAGCTGGTCGGCGCTGTATGCGTTGTCGCCAGCGTAGAAGCCCTGTGCTTCATCGCGGACCATGAGAAGGGCGTTGCCCTCGCCGAGGCTAAAGTGCTCCACCTTGGCCGCTTGGAGGTGTTGCCGGACCAGGTAGAGCGATTGGGCGTGGATGGCGGTGCGGAAGATTGCCGCGATGCCAGAGCCAGCAGCATTCTCGCAGAATTGCTGGTAGTCAATTGCATCCTTTGTGGTTTCGTCTGCAATGTGCGTGATCAAGTTTTTGTCCTCGCCGGAGACAGTGAGGGTGTGATAGGAGTGGTAGGTAGAAGAAGAGCGAACAAATTCAAAGTTGACCGAGTATTGTTTCGCCAGTGTCTGAATGACCCGTTCAAAGACGGCGACCAATTCACGGCCGGTGCCATGGCCAACGGCAAGGCCAAGTCGAACAGTTTGGATAGTCATGTTGAGAATTGAAGAGAATGGTTGTTGATAATAGAGGCATGTTGAACCCTTGCGATACGAGTATTTATAGACAGAAAACCTGTGTATCTTGAGAGAAAGCGTCCTCCGCTACGCCACAGATCTTCAGCTGGGTGGATCGATGCCAGCACATACCTAACTAGCGGAGACATGAGCTGAAGCAGCTGAGTTTGCTACGTATGCGAGTGGATTATCAGTGACCTGTATACGAAAGGTATAAATCGGATGATCCCATGCAGTCTCAGGTCCACCGCTTGAGCCCAGTTTGCACTCTGCCTGACCAGTTACACTCTGCCGACAATGGAACACGAAACTATGAGATCCGGCTTCAACATGGGCAACGAGCTCGACTACATGCTGGATCGAAACTACACAGCAGCCTCACGCCTCAACCTCCAATTCTACCTGTGGAAGGAATCATTCCAATTCAACCTCCACCCCTCTATCGACCTCGGCCCTGCCGGTGAGACCGTCAGAATCGCCGATCTAGCCACAGGCACCGCAATCTGGCTCTGTGACCTTATGCGGGACCCAGCCATGGCGCCATATACTCTGCAGCTGGACGGTCTGGACGTGGACCTGAAAAACGCCCCTGCACCCGAATGGGTGGCGCCCTCCATCAGTCTTCGCCAATGGAACATCTTCGACGAAGTCCCTGACGACCTGCGCGGAAAATACGACGTCGTCCATCTACGCCTTCTCGTTCTGGTCGTGCAGGAGAGCAACCCCCTCCCGATCATTGATAAAGTTTTTCAGCTCCTGAAGCCTGGTGGATACATTCAATGGGACGACCTGAACTACCCCGACACGATCGTGGCCAAGCCACCCACAGCACAGCAAGGCAACCAGGCCACCCCAGCGTGCGACGCCTTCGTGCAATTTGCCCAATCCAACGGCCGTAATGATTGGGTGCTGGATCTGCCACAGTCGTTGATGGAGGGGCATGGTGGATTCGTCAATGCTGAGCTGTTTCATTTTAGGGATCGGCCAGAACTCTGCAAGGCTAATGGGGACCAGTACATTCTCGTGCTAGAGGAATTCGCAGCTCGGCTGAAGTCTGCAGGAAAGGTGGAGGAGGCGTCTCGTATTTATGACATGATTATGGGGCTTGCTGAAGAATCGCGACGGGGATTCCATTTGTCTATGCCGAGGGTGGTTTGCGTGGCCCAGAAGAGATTGTCGCTCTAGTATGGCGTCTGCTCTATATTTTATCCTCTTACTCTGCTAGCTAGATCGGTGGATCAAGAGATACAATGCTGGAAAACCTTTAATGTCTTCCTATTGTGCTTATGGCACGTGATATATGCTGCTTGGTATAGAAAGCTGGCTTTGGCCCCTCTCCAAGGAGGAGAAATCTCATCTCCATCTTCAATTTATCTTAGAGCACCACTTGCATCCATAGCGCTCTCATCAAACCGGGAAGAAAAACTCAAAAAGTATGGCCGAGATCGACACATCAGTCTGGTACAAAGCAGATATTGGCCCTCGCCTCAGCCAGCCCATGCGGGACATTTTCTCCCAATGGAGCGGTATAAGCGAGGATCAGCTTGACGCCCATCTTCACGCTGTGGTATGTCTGCCTAGATATCCACATGATGCTCAGCACTACTAACAACCACAGCGCGACAAAGCGTGGCAATACGGCGAATACCCCTGCGTAGGCCAATGGATGTTCCTACTGCCAGGCATTGCCAAGTTTCCCCAATTCCCTGCTGTCGTTGATCGCGCCCTCCAACCAAGCACGACCATCATCGATCTTGGCACGGGGCTAGGTCAGAACCTGCGTCTGCTCGCCGCGAATGGTGTCTCTCCGTCTCAAATGTGGGCCCTCGATCTTAGCCCGGAGTTGTGGCACTTAGGTTACGAACTGTTCAACGATGACGATCGAATGAAGGCTGTCTCGTTTATCCCCGCCCACTTCCTCACCGATGAACCGGAGCAGCTGAACAAGCTCCGCGGAAAGATAGACATTATGATCGCGGGGCAATTTCTCCACCTCTTTTCCTGGCAGGGGCAGATTGACGCTGGAAAGCGGATTGTTGAGCTGTCCCGGCCGGGTACCCTCCTTATCGGATATCAGCAGTCGCGTCGTGCCGCGAGAGAATACATCCGGCCCTGGGGGATGATGTTCTACCATAATCTAGAGAGTTTTCAGAAACTCTGGGGGCTTGTGTCGGCAGAATCAGGGACAGAGTGGAAGGTTGAAGCCACGCTGGTGGATTTGGTAGATTGGGGGATGGAGCCCGAAGATACCCAGTGGATGCCGCCAGACCACCAGGGGTTGAATTTTTGTCTGACGCGGGTGCGATGATGTGTGATGTTTTGATTTGGAGCGGAGATTATTTCCCTGCGTACCCTGTTTTTTTTCTTTTTTCCATAAGTCTCTCTACCCAGCTGAAATACCTCGATGGCTGAAGATGATCAGCTGAACTGCTGCAGAACAGAATCCAGAATGACCCACATGGTGCATTAAGCCAATAAGTGTATGACAGCTGTCAATGAGTGAAATAGATAGATAGATAGATAGTGGGCTTTCGTGGGTCAGTGGCTTGCGGAGTGACAACGCTTGGGAAGTTTATTCTCCACAGCTATCGCTGATAGGTCTTCTATACGCTCGCTTGGGTGGGATGAAGAGTAGTCTAACCGTGAAGATTGTATCCACAACATTCACAGTTACAGCTGTGCAGGTTGAGGTTGTAGGGATAATGATTATAGCTTACAATTGAAACTGCTCTTTTATATCTTTTTCTTGAACATCATCTTATATAAAGGTTCGCATGGTGCTTTTCTCTTATATTATAGTTTTGCTATTCAATTCAATTCATATTCTTATACCTGTTCGAGCCCGCTAAGCAAGGCTATAGTTTTGCTATGTCCTTGCTTGTTATAATTATAGTAGCTAGACATTTTCATGTTCTTTCTTACTCTTTTATTACAATTTTCCAGGCTGCAGTCTGGAGGTAAGGTGCTCCTTCTTTTCTTAATCTCTGAACTTTGTTGTAAAGGACCTGCTATCGAATGTGATCTTATGAACGGGATGATGAATAAGGATGAATTATGCGTTGTAACAATACTAGCGCGGATGTAACTATGTACATAAAAATGACTAAGCACTATCGGACCCCGGATTGCTTCTGATTGCATAATACCACATACCAATTGCCCTTTCCACACGTGCCTTGTTCCATAGCGCTTAGATAGAAATATAATATAGTAATTCTCTGCCTTTTTATTCTTACTAATACGTAGTATTATCTAAAATTTCATCATATGCTTCAGTATTATCATCTTAAGACTATCCCGGGATGATCAACACCAGGCAGTATGAGCTGTTTGGCAGTCACTATCCAGCAGAGCCAGCTGCCAGGATTATCTTGATCCACTGGTTATTCCAGCTGAATGTAAGGATTGGAATCCTACAAACGCCTACTCCCAATATCTGTGTACCTGAGTATATAGGGAATTCTAGGGGTCCGCAGAGGATCTGCGGGTAATGATGGCCTCGTATTGACTTCTTCTCCTAGAAGAGTTCCTTACACTGAAGCTATGAAAGTATTCTCTTATCTCTATTCTCGTAGTCTATTGCTCTATAACCCAGGGACTGGATGAAGAATTAGTGTGTAAGTTAATATAAGATTATTATTGTATATTTATTAATCAAAAATAGGATTTATTCGAAGATGTCATAGCTAATTTATATATCTGGCCGGGATTACTATTATCTCCGGGTATCGGACTAACTATTTATTTATACATAAAATCCAGAGCTAGCCTTGTAAATCAGTGGATACCACGGAGCTCCTGCACCGCTGAGGATTTGTAAAAAGCTTGCTTGCTTATTCCTTCCAAAGATCTTATTTTTCATCTATCAATAGACTCATGCAAGTGTCAGCTGAAATGGATTTGTTGAGCTGAACCATGGACAGAATGGTGTCCGGTCTGTGCAGAGAATCTTTGAAAAGTGGGCAGAGTCCCGGGGCCCATTCTTTCAGTTTTCGTTTCTTGGATAGCAGTTCATTTTGCCCCCGGGGCTTTGAGACTGACCTATTTGACTCTTCCACACTTGTTATCCTTCCGTGTTTGGGTTAATCTGATCGCTGGCCGAACATTCATATCTTTACCTTCATCACCGAGACGAATGACGATTATATGAATACGTTATGGCTGAGAGAGATGATAACGAATCGAATTCCAATAGGGATGGCCTTGGGGGAGATCCTATTCCGATACACGGGTGGTCCACTTCTTCAACATTCTTTTCTAGTTCCCAATTGATGGGCGGGGAAGATGTCTTCAGAAGCGGCAATTTCAGCGAGGAAACAATGAGGGACTTCAATCTCGCTCATATGCGATCGAGCTCTGAATACACATCCAGGTCCCGTACTGTTGAAGATGAGGCCGTCGACGAATTCATTGCGGCTGGGGATGATTTTAGGAGCCAAATTCAATTTTTCCAGACAGAGAATGCCTCTCCTCATCTCTTTTCTACAACAAGGGCTATTGAAGGGCATTCCGAAGAAATACAGTCTGAAGAAATAGAAAGAAATATCTCTTTCAATATGCAACTGGGGTTCTCACATACATCGAGGGTCACTGAACGGGAGGTGTCTTCTGAAGTGCGAACCTATAGTGGATATGCAGAAGGCACGGCAGCTGTTTCTCAAGTGCAGAATGTGTCTTATGAGAATGCTGAAACAATCCAGTCTGAAATGATGGAAAGAAACATCTCTTTCTCTAACCCGCAATCGTCGTTCTCAAATGCTATATCAGCTTCGGGTGTCACTCGAAGGGAGGTGGCTACTGAAGCGCAAATCTACGAAGGATATACGGAAGAAACGTCAACTCAAGGGCAGGATAGTTCTCGAGAGCATGCTGGATCTATGCAGTTTGAGATGATAGAAAGCCCTATCTTGTCCCCCACCATGCAATCGAGCTTCTCGAATGCGACATCGGAATTCAGAATCACTGGAAGCGGGGTGGCTGCTAAAGCGCGGACCTACAATGAATATACAGAAGAAGAAACATCAGTTATTTCTCAAGGGCAGGATACGCCATCGGGGCTCCGTTCCACGTCGCGGTTCGCCCAGGAGATTTCCGAAGCAGATGGGAACAAATCATCCAAACCGAGCGTCATACCACCACATGTTGAATCTAAAACAGAGTTTAGTGCGGTGGAAGGGCAAAATGACACTACGGACTATACTGACGGTCAGAGCGACACGATGGTTCACGCACAGACCACTTCATCAGGGTTCCTGTCTACAGAAAGCCCTGAGAGCGTAAAGGCCCAAGCCAGCGTTACTCAGACTACGGAACCAGATGTTGCCCTCCGGGAGACAAAAGCCAGTGGGATAACTGGAGCAGCTCAAATCAGCGAAAAAAGAAAAGGGACCTTTCTCATATCACACGCGGAACCTGCTTCATTCTCACCAACCATCGCACCCGAAGTGAAGGAGCTAGAGACAGAAAGGGAGGCAGCTAACCCACAAGAAGAAAAGGAAGGAGACACTTATCAAACTGCCCAGCAGTTGGATCAAAGTGTGTGTATTAGCCCGACACTCGCGACTGAGGATAGGGATATAAGTGAAGATGAGCCTTCAAAGAAAGTCATTGATGAAGATACCGTTCTATCCCATAGTGGGCCCACTTCGTCCTCGGATGTGGTGCACACAGTAGGAGAGAAAGATGTCATATGCGAAGAAAATCATCATAACGAAATTGCTGTTGATGAGAGAAATTCGATATCCGAAGTTGGATCTCTGTCATCAAAACGATCCCGAATGGCAGACCAGAAGATCAACAATATGTTAATCTATACAGAAACCCGTGCTTCTCTAGATCCAACCGAGAAGTTACATCTTATCAAGCTTGCCAATGATGAAGTCTTTGCTCGTCTAAGTCAACTGACCAATGCCTCGTCCGGCAAGCCGTATCTTAGCCCAGAATGCCGAGATTTCGGTTTATACGGGTGGCTTCGAAATATCATGCACATCTTTAACCATGGCACATACAAAGAGATCTCGGCAATGAGATTTCAAAACCTACGTGTTCTGGGAACTAGGCCCCAGGTTCATCGTAACCTGACGGCTCTGGGCGTCTTTTCCGCCCTACTGCGTCCGCGAGAAACATTCAGCCCGAGCCGCAAATCCCCCAAGGAGATCATACGGAATCTAAATGGCGTGTTAGATCATGGAGAACTGCTGCTTGTCTTAGGACGGCCTGGAGCTGGATGCAGTACTGTCGCAAAATCATTGTGCGGAGAGCTTAATGGCTTGAAGCTGGGTCCTGAATCGGTTATTCATTACAATGGCATTCCACACCAGCAGGCACCTAGTAATGTCAAGAGCGCGATGCTTTATAGCTCCGGAACCGAAAAACATTTCCCGCATTTGACGGTTGGACAGACTTTGGAGTTTGCAGCATCTGTCCGAGCTCCCATCCAAAATCTCCAGGGAATAACGCGGACAGAATATGCAAAAGCTATGACGAAAGTTGTTATTGCCGTCTTCGGTCTGAGCCACACGTACAGCACTCAAGTCAAAGATGTGACAGAAGATGAGCGCAAGCGAGTCAGTATTGCCGAGATTATCCTGTCGGGAGCATCTTTAGCTGCATGGGACAAGTCAACTCAGGGCCTAGCTCTAACAGAGGCATTGAAGTTTGTGCAGTCTTTGCGGCTGGCGGCAGATTTGGGCTCATCATCCCACGTTGTAGCTGCATATGAAGCCAGCGAAGCAATGTATGGTCACTTTGACAAAACCTTGTTGTTATACGAGGGCCGCCAGATATTTTACGGCCCTTCTTCTGAAGCCAAGGGCTTTTTCGAGCGCCAAGGGTGGTATTGCCATCCACAGCAGGGTACTGCCGAATTTTTGACCTCAATTACCAATCCCACAGAGAGGCAGCCACGTCGGGATATGGAGAACAGAGTTCCCCGAACTTCGGAAGAGTTTGAGACGTACTGGTGCCAGTCCGCAGAGTATCAAGAGCTGCAGAGGGAGATGAGTGATCATAAGCAGATAACGGTGTCCCACTCGAGAGAACAACTGCCAAATCCTAATCTGGACGAACAACAGAAGCAGCCAGTCCAAAAACAGAATAATTGGCAGTACCCTAGTCTGATGCTGCAAGTCAGACTGACTATAATACGCGCTTTTCAGCGTGTTTGGAACGAACGTGCTTCAGCAGCATGCAAGATCACAGTTAACTTCATTATAGCGCTGCTTATTGGCTCAATGTTCTACAACACTCCTGCAACGACAGCCGGATTTTTCTCCAAGGGTGCAGTGCTCTTTTACCTAGTGATGCTCAACTCTCTTCTACCACTTACCGAGTTGACCAGTCAGCTTTCCCAGCGTCCGGTGGTGGAAAAACATGCCTCATTTGGCTTCTACCATCCCATGGCCGAATCACTAGCCGTGCTCCTGAGTGAAATCCCAATTAATTTTCTACTTGTCTTGGTGAACACTATTGTCATCTATTTCATGAGCAACCTTCGTCGTGAACCTTCGCAATTCTTCATATGCTTCCTGATCAACTTCGTGTTGATCCATGTGACAAGTGCAGCCTTTCACATGACAGCAGCAGTAACAAAAACGCTCGCGCAAGCACAAGCTCTTGCTGGGATGCTGGTACTTTGGGTTTTCATATTTACGGGCTTCATTATCCCCGTCCCTCGGATGCATCATTGGTTCGAATTCGTCCATGATATCAACCCCGTCTACTACGCATATGAAGCCCTAGTCGCCAACGAGTTCCACGGTAGGGAGTTTGGATGTGCTGAGTTCATACCATCTCAGCCCAACCTCCAGACGAACGCATATATCTGCTCAGCTGTCGGAGCTCTCGCTGGCCGTCGTACAGTTAGTGGTGATGATTATATCTGGCAGACCTACAGGTATACCTACGACCACGTGTGGAGAAATTTTGGTATTCTTATTGTTTTCCTGGTCGGTTGGATGGGTCTATATTTCGTTGCGACGCAATTTATTTCACACCCAAGTATCCATTCTGGAAGTCTTTCTTTGCTTCACAGAAGTACATCTGCTTGCCTTAGGCACGAAGAGCATCGCAAAGAGGACGAAGAAGCTGGGAAAGGTTCTGTGACTCCAGGCCAAGATACCATTGGCAATGTGGGATTGAATGATTTTAGTTTCATTGAGCCTCAGCGAAACAGTTTGAGCTGGCGCGATGTGATATACGAAACAAACACAAGCAGTGGAAACCATCGGATCCTGGACAAGGTGACTGGCTGGGCTAAGCCAGGGACAATCACCGCATTGATGAGCCTTAACAGTGAACAGAAGACGGAGTTACTCAGAGTGTTGGCGCAACGTACCACAATAGGAGCTGTCAGTGGGGACATTCTCTTCAACAACTGCCTTTTGAGCCCGAGTTTCCAGCGGAAATTCGGGTATGTTCAACAGCAGGATATTCATTTGAAAACGGCGACGGTTCGTGAGGCTTTGCGTTTCAGCACATTGCTACGTCACGCAGACTCCGTCTCCAAGAGAAGCAAATACACATATGTCGAGCAAATAATCAAGGCACTGGATATGGAGGATTACGCCGAGGCTGTTATTGGAGTTGTTGGAGAGGGCTTGAACGTCAAGCAGCGGAGGGTTTTGAGTATTGGAGTAGAGTTGGCCGCAAAGCCCGAAATTCTGTTCGTGGAAGAGCCTGACAGGTAAGCTTTCGCAACAAGTATTCTTTGGATAAAGCGGGAGTTAATGTCTGTACCAGCGGCCTTGACGTGCAAAGTTCACGCACAATCTATCGTATCCTCCAGAAATTGGCCGACGCCGGACAAACGATCATCTGCACAATGCAACCCAGCTTGATGGCATTCAAGCAAGTAGACCAGCTCCTATTTCTCTCCAGCGAGGGTAGAACTGTATACTTCGGACCCACCGGCAAGAATGCACAAACTCTGCTAGACTATCTCGAATCAAACGGTGCCCCCCGGACCCGCACAGAAGAGGAAGACTCCGCCAGCTACATAGTTGAAACCCTTTCCACCGCCACCAATAAACACGGGGAGGCCTGGTCGGATGTCTGGGTCAGAAACAACAAAGTCGACCCTATCCGCGAAGACTTCGAGAGTATCAACACCCTGAACAATCCAACAGAAGACAAAGAATACGCCATTCCACTACACCTCCAATTCCCCATCGTCTTCCGCCGAACCCTTCAATACTACTGGCGCTCACCCCTCTACATCATATCAAGAATACTCCTCCAAATATGCGCCGCACTCATCATCAGCTTCTCCTTCTACAAACACGGCACCTCGATAAGCGGCCTCCAAGAAACCATCTTCTCCGCGTTCATGATCTGCACTCTGTTCGTCCCCCTCGTCCACCAAATCACCCCTCTCCTCACCAAACAACACTTCATATACGAAACCCGCGAACGCCACCCAAAAACCTACTCCAGATTATCCCTCCTCCTCTCCATAATCCTCACCGAACTTCTCTACCAAATCATCCTCAGCATCTGCGTCTGGGTAAGCTACTACTACCCCATCTCAGGAACTACCCAATCATCACCCCGCCAAGGTCTCGTCCTCCTCTTCTTCATCCAATTCTTCATCTACGCGATAACCTTCGCTCTCCTGGCGGTCCCAACCTCCACCCTCATAACAGGTATATGCTCTTTCATGGCCCTCACCTTCAACGGCGTTATGCAGCCGCCCCACGCTCTCCCCGGTTTCTGGATGTTCATGTACCGCGTCTCCCCGTTTACGTACTTCGTTGCTGGAGTGACATCAACTCAGCTCCATGGTGTCCCGGTTAATTGCACCAGGACGGAGATGGCGGTGTTTGATCCGCCTTCGGGGCAATCGTGTATCGAGTATCTGAGTGATTATTTGCGGACGGTGCCGGGGCAGTTGATGAACCCGGATGCGATGAGGAGCTGCAAGTATTGTCCGTACTCGGTTGCGGATCAGTTCCTGGCGGAGAGGGAGTATCGGTATGATCGGAGGTGGATGGATTTTGGCGTCGGGTGGGCTTTTGTGGGGTTTAATGTTGGGGTTGCCGGGTTGGTTTATTATGTTTTTTGGGTGAGGAGGTGGAGGCCGGGGTTTGGGGCGAAGATTATGGGGTGGAGGAGGAGAGTGAGTGGGTGGTGGTAAGGGAGTTAGGGGGTTGGTGGTAGTGGATCTTTAATGTGTAATCTTCCTTTTTGTGCAGTTGGCTTTTATTTCGGGACTATTGTTGCTTACTATGATATTTATGTTGGAAATGAGATAATGTGGATGCGGTGTATGATGGGGGTACTAGGCCTAAGTCTCTTACCAGAATATTGAATATAATCTACGTCCACGGCACACTTAGAAAGCAACAAGGTTTTGGGATTTAACTTTTCAAACTAGTACCTTACAGGTCAAACAGCCTGACAGATCCTCCACTCACCAAGCAAAGACAAGCAGGAACGGTTCCGTCTCCCGAGCGACTTCTGCAAGTAAAAGAAAGAAAATTAAGGGGAGATTACCCGAACCAGCCGGTAAGAGCACACATCAAAGTTCAACCTCAACAGGTATCACCCACCATAGAAGGCCAACTGGTTGCTGTGCGAAAAGAGAGGTAAGCATGTAAGCGACTGAGAAACACACGTGCAAGGTATCAGACATCGTCCCAGACGAATGTGATCGACGCCTTCCGCACCATGCTTTGATCGGCTTTGCTTTCCGCATCCTTCTTCTACCAACCAGCAGCAGAACCAGCATTATATTCACCTTCATCGGTCAGGGCGCTTTCCTGTTGAGTTCTTCCATTGTCATTCCACTCGTCGTTGACGGGTGCGTTGAAGCTGAGGCTGTCATTCTGAGGGGCGTCCTCAGCGGCATTGGCGGTAGGGCAACGCTTGATAGTATGGCCCACTATAAGACGGGTAGGGTTCATGTTAGAATATGCTTGGTAGATCATTTGGTTGGGAGACATCCTTACTTTCACCACAGTTGTTGCACTTGACTCGGGAATAGTCTCGCTTCTTGGGGCAGTCACGGCTGAAGTGTCCGACTGTGTTAATGAGTATTAGCAGTCTATGCGGTAGAAATTGAGGGCGATGTCTTGGAGATGCTACCTTCATCACAGTTACGGCAGGTAACAGTAGAGACATCACGCGGCTTATCGCAATCTTTCGCGATGTGATCCTCGGATCTGCTACGTTAGGAGACGTGAATAAATCAGTGGAATTGCTGTTCTAAACTTACCCGCAATTGCGGCAGGTTCTGGGAGGGGGAGCCTGAGGACAGTCTTTCGCGAAATGTCCCACTATATTATAAAGTCAACATATAACAAGAAAATAGACGACATGCCTGAGACTTACTCTCGTTGCATCGCTTGCACTCAACGTTCTCTGCAGAGCGAGGGTTGGGGCATTCTGATGCCTTGTGGTCCTCCGCGCTTGCTATCGTCAGTAGAGAATCTCGAGTCTTGCAAGGTGAGCTTACCCGCAGTTACGACAAGCAAAAACATTGCGACGTGGCTCAGGGCAATCGCGAGCACGATGTCCGTCAGCACTACAGTTGACGCATTTGACGCCGACACGTTCACGTTCCTCTCGTTCCTCCTTACAGCCACGAGCAGTGTGACCCAAAACTACAAACCGTTAGCGACTAGAGAACACCCGAAACCACTGATTGTAGCCTACCACCACAGTTGCTGCACTTGGGCACCTGCCGATCGTAAGGCAGACCGGCGTCAGCAAGACGTTCAAGATTGTCCTCAACGGAAGACGGCCAGCGTTCTCTGAGATTGGCGCGCTGCGGCTTAGGACTAAAGAAAAAGCCGACCACGTATGTGCAGTTCAGCTTCCCCTGAAGATCAATAAGGCTGATACAATCATTCACCTCCTTATCCTAGAGGGCGGCAGAGCGTTAACGTGCGTGCTTCTCAGAGCTTCAGTGTGCAGGGAAGATGAATCTTCTGTCTTACCAGCGCGATAAGGTAGAATTTGAGGTCCTCTTCACGCAACTTGTTTTCGATGTCGACGAAAGTGGCCTGCGGAAGAGACTTGGAGTACACCTTAAGTCCCTGGGTCATGTTAGTACAACGAGCACACGTTCACATCCGTGATGAGAAATGCAAGTAGTAGCAAATAAGTGCTTCCTACCTCACGGAAATCCTCGAGATCTCTTTCGTCACTAGCTTTCTTCAGGATAGCCCAAGCCTCCTCAGGAAGCTTGTCGGGAATGTGATTCAAATCGAAGCGACGGTTTTCCTTGCAGTCCATAGTCTTGTGACCTTCACGAGCCATTAGCGATGTATACTTGTTTAAAACATGCCGTATGCCATACCTTCCATCTTGCAATTCTTGCACACGTCGGGACCCTTTTCAGGGCATTCGGCAGCTGGATGTCCTTCCTTATTGCAGATCCGGCAAGCACCCTTGAAAACACGAGGCTTAGTGCACTCAGACCTGTTGTGTCTAATGCTGTGTCAGATCAAAGATATTATTAAGAAGGCACATGATAATAATACCCATCCTCGCCGCAATTAAAGCAGGCCATATCCTTGCGCGGTTCGGGACAGTTGCGAGCAAAGTGACCATCGCTTCCACAGCTATCTTTTGTTAGCGACAGTGAGGATCTGTAGGAAGCTACTTACTTCCGGCACCGATTATCATCGCCATGGCCTTCAGCTGGAGGAGCAAAGTCATCACCACCGAATCTGGGCTCAGTACTGAAGCCACCGGGCCTAGCGTTCTCATCATTACCGAAACCTGTCTTATCTCTTAGTATCATAAAACTTCAAGATTTGATGGAGCATGATTAAGAACATGCCATCCTGAGGGAAAGGAACTTGTTTCCCAAGAGGATACGTACCGCCGTCATTACCACCACCCCAGTTGCCAGTGTCGTCACCATCTCCTTCAAGTGTCCAGCCAGCCATCTTGAAGAAATAATCTGTAGTTGATGGAAGCTAGATGAGTATCGATGCACTGGTGTATTCAGTCAGCTTGCAGGTCAATCCACTCGGTAACAACGCGTGGCCGCGTTCGGTATATAGGTTAGATGAGCCAGCAAGAAGTAATAATGTTCAAAAGACAAAATTGATGAGAAGTTATATCTGCAAGAGAATGGAAATAACACTTACCTATCGATGGCACGTTGTGTAGGATAATTCAGCTTACTTGTCTGTAAAGGACTACCACCAAAGCCGTGGTACAAAGTAGGAGGCCTGGAGAAGAAAGGATGAGACGGAAGAATTGAACAGGAGAAAAAGAAAGAGGGAAATGAGAGAGCGGGGTTCCGTCTGGGGGCCTGCAAAAAGCGAAGAGCAAAACAAGAGGGTGATAGATCAGCCAATTCACGGATTTCTCCATTTACGAGCAAACGAAGCAATATGACTTAGTCTTGTGGAACCCAAGGATGGTCCACCTAGCCAACGATCCCCTGTTGATGGATTGTATGAAGGTTAAGCGAGGAATACCAATGATGGAAGGTAGTACAACTGATAGACCCCTACCAATATATCTGCTTATTTATCAATCAAAGTACTAATCATCCTCCAAGAAATTCAGAGATGTTCCTACATAGCAATAGTAACACAACAGAGCTCAAAAGGAACTTAGGTGCTACTAGTGCAATATTGGAATATTGCCTAGTATAGACTTCTAGAGCTAGCTGTGCGGTAAAATCTCTAGAATTCAGGTGACAAGTTGTAAATTGGCAGTGCATCTTCGTGAATTGTGCTTGCGCCACTTTCTTCAATATGAACGCCACCTAGGCCCACCATCAAAGCCCAGAACGCTATGATAGAAATTCCAATTAACAACAATTAACAGAGTCTACTAGCAGCTTGATTGGGGTGTGAATTCGCGCTATATATTCTCTGATAATCCGTGTTTTCTCACACACGTGCTGGGATATTGTTATCCACAACAATCGACACTACAAGTTGCTATACGTTTAGTGTGCGGGATAGAGTCTGGCACAAGGTTTGAGGACCCTTGACAGAGTAGACATAAATGAAGAGTGTCTAACCACTACCTACAGAGAATCCAAGCTAGGTACTGATTCTTATAAGGGCCAACTTGCAATGGTTATAAAGCCTGGATATCAATAAAATCGGTGCTTGCAAGCTATAAAACCCTCCCCTTCTCCACCAGGATTATAGCGGTCTGTATCTCACATTGGATTGAATGCCTAAATACTATACATGCTCGGCCATTGCTCAAGTGAGGCAGCAGGACAATAAGCAGCTGCTCATAAGTAAATTGAGCAAAAATGAGGCTGAATGAGAAATCAGCGGGACTTGCGTTAGGATAAGCCATTTGGTATTCATGTTCTTTTCCGCCTCCAATTCTTACCCTTCCAATGCAACAGAGCCATTGGAATAGCACTCACAGCCACAATCAAGGCAATCGCAATTCCCGTACTCCCCAGATACCCAACATTTTCCAACATTTGAGGAAACCTGAATTACTGTCAGTATACCCACATCGCTCTCCCAAACACAGAAGACTTACCAAAATGGTCCTATAAACCCCCATGTCTGTCGCACCAATGTGATAAAAACGCCAACACTTGCTGCTTCTGATCGATAACAATCCACGGCATATGTGAAGCTTACGGTAGTGACGATTTGGTTTCCAACAGCCGCGATGGTGACCCCGACCAGCGGAGTGATATTCCATTGCGATGAAGCATGGTCTAGCTGGACAAGGAAGATAACGACGCCAACTATCGTCAGGATAATACCTGGATAGCTTATCCAGAGTCTGAATTCCGGTGCAACTGGCCGCTGCGTTTTCTTCTGCCCGTACAACATCCAACGGTCGGATAAGAATCCTCCGACCTGATCGCCGAGCAGAGAGCCGATAATCATCGCGATAAACTGCAGGCCAACCTGCTCTGAATCAAGTCCGAACATCTCGGGGAAGAGTTGCGGCATCTCAATGGAGGGGAGGATACCACCGAGGAGGAATATCATCGCATATGCGGCAGCTGGAATCATAATGCAGGGTCGGATTGCCATACCAAGGGGGCGTAGAAAGTCCCATATCTCCAATGGCGCTGGATCAATGCGCTTCACATGAAGGAATCGTTGGCGAAGGGTTGGGTTACTGACGTGACTAGCAGCGCTGCCACGGATGTATAGAGTTTCTTGGCCGAAGATCGAATATATGATGAATTGAACGCCGTTGGTCTGGTACAGTTAGCATCCTTCTCCCATTTAAGTGAAGTTCAGACTGACAATGGCCAATATCCAGTAGATCCACCTGTATCCCACTCGACTAGTAACGAACCCAAAAAGCAAAGGCGCAAGCGGTACACCCAAAGTCACCATGACAGCCCACACGCCCATGCATCTTGCGCGGTCTTTCTTGAAAAAGGTCTCGGCGACCACAGCGCTACCAATTGCAGCGGCAGGACATATAAAGAATGCAACAAGGGCCCGGCAAAATCCCATGGTCGCATACGACGGACTTTTGGCGCAGCCCACATTGGCAACCAGACTGCAAAGCAACGAAAGCAAGAAAATAGGACGTCGACCATAGCGGTTGGACAATGGCATCCAGAAAAGAGGCGCACCCCCGAGGATGGCAATGACTAGTGAAGTCAAATAGCTTGCTCTTTGTACGCTGACTCCAAGGTCCTCTGCGATCTCAACGAAAGCGGATTGGATTGAAGATGCTGTAAATGTCGCCATCATAGCGTGGAACGCAACAAGGGCTAAGTTAATAATTTTCTACACCAATGGTCTGTCAACATTAAGTTCTTGGAGTTTGGCTCGGTATAAGGTGAAACATACCTTCCATGTCGGCCAATTATAGGGATCAGCATCAGTCATGTCCGGGATAGGGTCCAGTTCTACTGTCCCATATCTCTGAATCAAATATTGACGATGATCTTCCGTCAATGCATCTGATTCACTATGTTTGATACTTTCATCATGCGACCGATCAAAAGCTTCCAAATCATTGTGATCTCTTCCTTTGGCGGCGATATCCCCACCGCCATCACCATCATTCTCAAAGTGCTGAACACCGGGCTTTTCCATCTTGCTATGCGGTTAATGGAGAATTGTTGAGAGGATACGCTTGAATTTAAGGGCCCTATGACCCTACGTTTATACCCAACCCAACTCACCTAATATAGAAAAGGGCCTAAGAATTTAGCCGACCTGTACCCCGGATCTCCAAGCCCGCCAAGCTAATTTCCCCGCAGCCAACTGCCGACCCCAGGGACCCTGCGGCAAGCTCGTATCCGATTTGCCATAATGCTGGGTAGCTGTGCTTGATAATAACAGTGTAAGCAGGTATCATACCGTGGCTTTTATCGTGCCAATGCGCCAAGCAATCTGTGTTCGTATTCTCGGAATTTCCGATGTGTGGTCGTCGTCAACATCCCGGTGAAGACCTACGCAGTACTACGATAGAGAACAGTGGGCTCCCAGAGAATGTCTACGAAAGGAGCCACATGGAATCTGTCAGAATACCAAGATGATTTGCATTTGTGTCCGGCGTGTGCCCCGGCAAAATGGTCCCTTATACAGCCTCCCGCCCTGACTCCGGGAATTGTTCATTGATTGTGAGAAAATCATGGTTCCCGGAACTTCATAAATTATGCGCCCACTAAACCTTCTCTTGCACCCGCACATGTGCTCTGACCATCAATGGCTCCTTCAGATCGCTAATCCCAACACTAATCAATTCAGGTATGCCCTTTCTCTGAGCCTGCTTATCAGCAAGTTCGAAGTTGAACTCCGTTAACAATGTGCTCATAATTTTATAAATATTCGTCATTGCAATGGTCTTCCCAATACATTGACGTCCACCAAGGCCAAAATGCATTAATAGCCGTGCCTTGGCAGCAATCTCAGTGTTCTCCCATCGGTACGGGTTGAAGATGTTGTGATCAACACCCCAGACGTCAGGGTTGTGATGGAATGCGTGGTTGCAGACGGCGATTGATGTCTGCAGTTATTGCGTGTCATTAGCACAACAGTCGGCATTGTGGACATAGTCTATAGCTCGACTTACCCCTTGTGGTATATGCTGCCCGTCTATCATCACACCCGTTGGACTCATGACCCTCCGAGCTAGAGGCATCGTGAAGACCGGCGTAATTCGGAAATTCTCCCTTATGCAGTTGCGCAAGAACGGTAGAGCAGCTTCTGCGGCAGATACAGAATATGCTGTCTCTCCGTATGTAAGGTGGGGGAGATTGGTCTCAATCTCCTTTACGCACTCCTCCATATATCGAGGGTTATGAAGCAGGTGGTAAAATAGCAGAGTTGTCGTGGCGCTCGTCGTGTGTGTCCCTGCGATGCTGTAACTCCATTCAGTAATTGATGACAGATACATTATGAAGGGTGAAAAGAGACGTACATGAATCCAAAAGCCTCAGTCTCAAGATCCGTCTGCGTAAGATGTTCCCCAGTATCAGGATGCTTAGCCAATATTAGATTAGTTAGGATGTCCTTCCTATCGTCACTTTTAGACATCCTATTTCCACCGAAATCCCCCAACCTGCGTCGAACACACTCCGACGCGAGATCCGCACAAGCTTTGCGGCCAGCAAAGAGTTGTTGAAGTGGCTTGTATGGAACAAGTGGAAGATATTTCTTCAGTGTTGCCGTCATAGCAGGCCAAGCACCAGTAACAGCCGCAAGCAGACTATGTTCGATGACTGGCGGGACTCGCGCCTCGTCATCCGTCTCCTGAATTCCAAATGATTGACTGAAGGCCAGCTCACCAAGGACGTCAATCACGTAATAATGCAGAGCTTTTTTGAGATCAAATGCTCTATTATGAGAGCTATGCTCCCTGATCTTGTCTCTCAGGATTCGAATATTCAGATCCAGGTATTGCTCCATCTCTTTCACGTAGCTCATGGAGAAGCCATGAGACATATGACGTCTCCGGATGGAGTGTTGCTAATCACATTTAGAAAAGTATTCTAGCAATTCTTATAGTAGGACAAGAGAAAGCCTTACTTCTTCATCCCGCATACCGAATACATTCGGATGAGCTGCGCCATATGCGTCGTAGAATTCCGTCTTTGGCATTCCTCTTCCACCTTTCTGATAGATTGCTTGGATGGCGCCCTCGTGGGTAATGCTGAGTTTGTCTGGTCCGTATCGGACAATTGGTCCATACTTTTCATGGAGCTCTGTAAGGGTATATGGCTGCTTGAGGGTCAGGAACTGGTAGACCTGCCAGAGGTCGGTCAGGCATGCGAGGAATGGACCGGGGTATTTGGCAAGGGGATGTAGATATCGTTGGTAGATAGAGTAGACAATAAGAATGAGCGCTAGATAGAGACCAGCGCTGGTCATGGGAGTAGATGTAAGGGTTTGTATGAGGACGGTCATTTTCAAAATAAGTGATTTGCTTCTTCTTCTCGTATTTCAGATTAAAGCGGCAAGTAGTTGAGATGGTTTGGCCTACTGTATGTTATGCTTCAATCCCGCTGCTCTTATAGATTCTTTGTCTACAACGTACCAAACCTGTGTGAGTTGTTATTATTCTCATCCATAACCGAGGTCAGCCATCCGAAATAGCTTTTCCCAGTTGCATAAGTAGGCCACCTCGTTATTGATTGTGTAGTTCTCTCATGTTTTACAGCCCAATGGGGATACCTTCGGCTACGCTCGGGAAGCGCGAATCCGATTGGTCCAGATGAGGTGATTGAGATCAGGTGGGTACTGATTTCCCCGCATTATACAGAATACTGAATTATTGATGAGCTGAGAATGCTTGCTTCCATCTCTCACTACGCCCAATGGAATCATCTTGTAAATCTGCTACCATGTCAAATCGGCCACATCGCAGGCGAAGAACTGAGGTTGCCTGTTCGGAATGTCGATGCCGGAAACTGAAGGTATCTACTCATTAAACAGGATCTGTCAATTCTGTATACAAAGAACTGATACTCTTAGTGTGAGGGAACAAGGCCGGCGTGTGCACGATGCCGGCACAGGGGGAGAGATTGCAAGTATCAGCAGCCTATTGAGTCGGGTATCCGACGTCCAACGGATAAGAGGTCAAGCTGCATGCTATTATAGCGAAGGGTGAATGTTAATCTTGGTTTCACAGAGGTCAGAACGATTTATCTCGCCGAGTCGAGGTCTTGGAGTATAAGCTCTGCCATGAGGCTGAACCGCAAACACGTTCGTCAGGTTTGAGGGAGCTTGGGGAAACAGTCAACGAAGATACAAGTGTTGATGAACTCGCTACACATGCTTTCTCTGAGACATCCCTTGGCCATCTTTATTTCGGTACGCAGTCCTCTAGCATGGGATCCAGCTAAGCTAATCACTCTGGGCAGGGGCAAGCTCAAATTACGCCATGTTCAGACACGTCTCAAACGCATTCGCTGAAAGCGCTCTCTTACACCTCTCATTGAGCAATCAAGCACAAACTGCTATTCATAGCTGCAACGTATCGGATCAAGGTATGAGACCAACTGGTAGGAGAGCATCAATGGTGAAGCAGCTCTCAGTATCTCTGAAAGATATACACGCTCTTCCGTCTAGAGATGAGGCACTGTATCTTATTAGTCGCTTTTCCACTACAACCAGTGTGGTCCTTCCATATGTCGACTACGAGACAGTGTTGGACTCCTATGAGAAGGCTCACCTCGAAAGACCACCCAGGTTCCAAAGGGGTTTATTGGCTCTTTTGAATATGGTTTGGGCACATGCATCTGCATCCTTACAGCTTCCGGAAGCAGAAGTATTCTATAGCCATTGTGCGGGTCTTCTAGACCAGCGGACACTGGAGAGACCCACTGTTGAGCTAGGTGAGCCTCCATTATGCTTTCAACGCTGTACTTGATTTGACAGTAGTGCAGTTCAGATATTACTGCTGAAGTCTATCTACGAGCAGAATCATCAAAGATCTACTTTGAGCTATACAACCCATACAAACTGTGTAAGAACCTCATTGCAGATGGGCTTTCACTGTGCCTCTGTTCGGGATGCCCGTGATCATACAGCTGAAAAGCTGCATCAGAACATATGGATGGGCGTTCTGAACAACGACAGGTAGGTCTGGGCCACTTATCATCCTTTCTGAGTATAGGAAGATATGATTGTCCTCACACTTATATGAGTGCCATGTTCAACAAGATAGTAACTTGCCTTTTACCAGAATTATGGGGTTGACCCAGGGGAGACCGTTTCTTATCCCTTACTCCTTTGAAATGACCTTTGGAATGAAACAGCCCGCGATGCCAGGGGATATAAGCTCTATTTATCTCTCCCAAATGACGTTGGTTAACCCCAAAAGTCTACAAAGCGACATATGCTTACTCTATAAAGATCATCTAACACACTCCTGGCCGACATAATCGAAACACTGTACGATCAAAATTTGGAATCAGGCCAATCTCTCGATATACAAACCATCATCAACAAACGTGAAATCTTACACTTCAGGCTCGAACAATGGGCTGACAGCCTTCCTGATCACATTGCTTTGCTCCCGAGTGAAGGGTTACTAAAGCTGTCAGCGTTCCCAGATACTCGCTGGGCCGTACGAACACTTCTATGCATACAATACCATAGACTGAAATTGATCATGAACTTCCCTCTAATGATGAAATTCTTAGAATCTGACTCAATGAAGCCAACGGGAGAGCATATCAGAAAATATATCCAGCGCATTCGGTCCCAAATCCTCCAGGATGACTGGTACGCAATACAAGAATTGCAGTGTTTGATATCGCACATTTCTACACTCCCGGGGTTCATGGACGTGTATGCATCATGGTATACATGCAACTATACAAGTTTGTAATTTCCAAAAGAAGCCTACCTTATAAAACAAAGTGCTAAAATATTTCTAGTCTTCACAGCTACCCTCCACTGCCTAGCACTATTCCTTGTTCGCCAACAATACTCTTCAAATTCCGAGCCGAAGCCACCCCAGATACGCCAAGAAATAGAATCCTGCCTCCGCATCATGAGGATTAACAGCAGAGGAAGCATCGTGAACAAGAAGGCGGACTACTGTATTCAAAGACTACTTGTGGTGTTTGATGCGCTTGGTATGCCAAATCTACCATCTAAACACCTTTTATAGACTATTGTCTAACATACCTGCAGACAACGACCCTCAGGAGGGTACAAGCAACCCGCTAGACACATTGACTACCGATTTTGTTTTCCAGCATATCAAGCTCCCAACAGAGGAATTCCTAAACCAGTGTAGTCGGCAGGAAGAGTCAGAGCAGGCTCAATTGTTTTTAGATATCTTTTCAAGCATTCCACTTTGCGAATGAGGGGTGTCTGAGGCGTCTAGACAAGTGACAGCTGTAGCCATTAAAATACTATGACAGGGTGCTCTCTGCCCCTCAAGGCATGCTAGAATGCAGATGGACCGAACCTCAGACCTTGACCGCGATATCTTTGAATAAGCAATTATCGCGATTATCTTGATTACAGAGCTACTACTAGTGGCGGTCGTCTGGTATATTTATGCAATGAAAGAGGGCTTGCTAATAGTACAACATAAATGGACCTGCTATTATATATCAAACTGCAAGATGTTCATATGACTATAAAATAAGGGGAGACTGTGCATAGATACAGACCCATAATGATGCGAAAGAAGCTGAGTATAATATCAAATCAGCTGAAACCGAATGTTTCATGAAATTGAGCTGCCAGAAGACTCACCGGCCTTCCCTGAGGCGGAAGCCGGTGCGAAAAACTTGGAGACCCTCTCACACGTCTCACATTTATTCTGGTTTCGAGCCATAGCTACCTTGCACTCGAGGACGGTGACTTGCTGTTCGGAAACTTTGATCTTGCGTTTCCAGTCATCGATCTCCTTTTTATGCTTCTGCTCGCGTTGTTCGAGGGATCTTATAGTCTGGAGTTGTTTCCTAACCTCCTCTTGTGCGGACGCCAGCTTCGCAGCCTTGTCTGAGTTGAGCTTTTTGAGATCCTCAACCTGGCTTTGCAGTGAGGAGATGACTTTCTCCTGATCATGTGTCTTGAAAAATACAGTTTCAAACCTCCATGTGAGGTTTTTGAGATATTGTACGTCCGGTGGGAGTGAAGGCCTAGTTGGCTCAGTCGCCTCTTTTGCAAGCTTCTCGTAGCCTGCGTACTTTTCTTCACTTCTTGAACTTGGTGTCATGCTTTTCCGTCCAAGCATGAGTCCTGTAGGAGGGGTGTTATTGCTGGAAACGCCCGTCTAGAATGAGTCTGTAAGCTTGACGCAAGGCTAGTGAGCATGTGTATCGTTTCACTTACGGTGGGGCGAGAGTCAGGCTCATCAGTATTTTCCTCGGCATCAGGCCTGTGTACCTCTGCTTCTTCTTCACCGTTCTGGTGGCTTTCGGGATCATTGTTCCCATCATCGATAACGATTGTCTCGATTCCATCTTGACTTTCTTCTTCTTCAAAAGGTAGACTGGGCCCCTGAAGTGTCTCTTCATCGGAGTCTTGTTCATAGTCCGAAGAGCTATCCTCGTCTGTCATGCCATTTTGATCCGTTTCTTCCACTTGGTCCTTTCCCGAAGAAAGGACCGCAGCTGTTCTGGTCTGCTTCTCCGGACGGCTCTCAGGCGCGCTTTCGTCAGGCAGTGAGCGTTTGTTGGCCCTTGTTCGTAGCGTTACAATGCGGCCTGCAGGAGGATCCTGAGGGGTATCAGGGTTTGACTGCAACATTAGTACGATAGATATCAAGATAGGGAGGTGAATTGGGCCAAACATACCATGTTGGCTGTTAGTCTTCTCTGTATACTCATATTCTATTGCGAAAGTCAGATAGGTCCTGGCAGTGGGAGCATAACATGACATACGGAATATGCCTTCTGAAGAGCGTTTAGACTTCTATGGGGGAAGAATATCTGCGTAGAGTCAGTATGCCACCATGGGTGGAGAGGGTGATATATGAAAGGGAAGGAACAAGCTATGCACACCTTGCCAAATGGCTCCCAGTGCATGTGGCTGTACAACGACCGCTGATCCCACAGGCGCTGCCTTTCTTCATCATTCCAGAGTCCACCGGTTTTGACGCGTGCTCTGGGCTTCCTGACTTTGCGCTTGAAGGTCGGCATGAGGAAGGCGATAACAGAAGACGGAGGGACACAATTGAGAAGACAGGAAAATCTTGTTAGTTGGTTTTATTGCAAGAGAGAAAGGTATTTCAAGGAAAATCTCGCAAAACTCCCAACACAGCAGGGGTGAAAGAAGGCTTCCAACGAGGCTGAATCAAACGCCACAACAGGCAGAACTGAAGTTGAGTCTAGTTCAGTTCAGAAAGCAAGAAGCAGGCTTCCTGTATTGTTGAGGTGGAAATTCGCAATCAAAACATACCTTCCAGTAGATAGAATACGCGGTACTTGAACTCAACCCCCGTAGGTGAATACCTCTAGTAATTTTCACACCCGCCTCTAGTTTGGATTACAGTATATAGAATACTATACGCTATCAGGGGTTTGATCCAGGCAGAGATCTATCCGCCTTTCACCGACTCTCTCAACAGACAATTCCTATAAGATAACGCATTGAAAAAGTACACTAAAGGAGCAATGCGGCGCAGCGAAGGTGCATTAGAAGCGTCGTTAGCCTCGTGCCGGGGAACGGCGGATGCACAATAGTTGGCCTTCAACCCCTGCGCAAGCCAAATGACAGTTTTGGCGACTTGCGTAAGCGCTGTGGTAAGACCTCATCCATGCATTAGAGGGTTTCAGATGATGGAATTACACCGCCAGGAGCACTCAGCCTTGCAGGCACAGGATTGTTATTGCAGCCTTGTAAAAGAAGCTGAAAAGTCCCGAAGCTCGAATATGTCTGTCCCCTGGTGGAGATTGTCACATGTTAATTGACGGATAACAGGGCTTAGCTTGGAATGTTATGGAAAGAGCTGCATTCCGGGACCTTTTCCCACTCTTTTTGAATTCAACTTCAACTACCGCTGAGGAGTATGGTGATTACAGAACAAGCAAAAAGATCTTTGATAAATATACCTACTTCTACTCAGTGGAGGTCTTACCTTCAACTATTTCAGGAGGTGTCCGTCCAGTCATTTGTATTACGTGCTTCAGATGAATTACATACGCCTGAGCCTGTCGACTCCCGGATTGAAAGTAGACAGCAAAGCTTACTTGGGCGGGACATCGTTGTTCATATTGCCAACTCTTATATAAATTTCTCCAATAAATGAGTTAGTCACGGTGTATATGTATCCAAACTGTTGGAATACACAGGATGTAGCTGAATCAACTATTACTACTAACTACAGGCATCAGAAGAAAGCAGATGGGTAAACAACATTACAGATAAAGCCCTCCGAGAAAACAGACCCCATGGACTTCGATTGTGCCCCACTCTGTTATGATGTCTAATATTCATGCCAAGGAATAAAAATATATTATAGGCCCAAGCGTTTATGAAGAAGCTTCCAAATCTCTGAATGGCCCTCATTAACAGCCAAAACAACAGCATCTGCGCCATCATCATCACGTACTGTCAGATCGGCTCCATACTTCAGCAGTATCTTGACTACTGCGTAGTGGCCTCGTGCAGCTGCTTGCAAGAGTGCTGTACGACCACTTGCAGCTTTCGCGTCAATGATAGCACCGTGCATGACCAAGAATCTGACCCTGGCAACATCACCCTTTTCTGCGGCACAAATCAAAGGTGTCCGTTCCTCAGAATCCCTCATTTCTATTGTGGATCCCCGTGAACTTAAATGCTTCATTTCGTAATATCCAAGGCAAGATCTTTTCAGCAGCGAATCGGGAGTCAGATCTAAGTGCGCGACACACGCTCCATGCTGAACGAGAAGTTTGACCGTGCTCTGGTTCGCGTTGGCTGCAGCGATTTGAAGAGGCGTGAAGTTATCGTTAGGAAAATCAATATAAGCGTTGTGCTCAATTAGTAGTTTGACGACAGCATCATGACCATATTGTGCAGCCCGAGCAAGTGGAGTCCAACGTTCGTTATCCTGCAAATTGACGTCTGCACCGTAGTGGATAAGGTGCTGCACCAGCTCTGTGTATCCCTTCTTGGCGGCCCAAGTGAGAACTGTACAATCATCGCGGCCAATACCCGTCTTGCAACTTGAGTTCGGGTCAATACCCTTGTTGATTAGAAGGCTGACCAGCTCAGGGTCATCATCCTCAACTGCGGAGAGTAGCACGGACCCAATCTTGCACCGATCATTTGCCAAGTCGATGTCAAGAAAGAGACTGACTACTTCCATGTGACGGTTCTCAAGAGCATGGAGACGCGCAGTATCCCCTTCTTGATCAACGGCTTCCATGTCGGCTCCCTCCTCGACCAGAAACTTTACCATAGATGTATTACCAGAGGCGGCTGCCACAATTAAGCTAGTTTGTGACTTCGAATTTCTGGCCTCCAGGTCTGCACCTTCCTTTATGAGGGTTTTGACCGTTTCTGTATGGCCTTTACTAGAAGCCAACAGAAGCAGTTCTCCTTTGACGTGTATCTCTCTTTTCGCTTTAAGCCCTTTTTGGCGTAGCAGAATGTTTACCGTACTAGCATGGCCCCTTTCAACGGCGTAGTGCAATGGGGTGAAGTCTTGCAAATCGAGTGTGTTGATGTCACAAAACGGCAGTAGTCGGGAGACCATATCAAAATATCCTTGTTTACAGGCATAGTGCAGGGCTGGCAGCAGCTCCCCACTAAGCGGTAAATCGCAAATACGTCGAATGTGGTTTGGAAACTGCATCGGAAGTTCGAAAAGTGGCAGGTGGCGTTCCCTGACTGCCCATCCAAACATGGCTTGCAAGTGCGAAAATTGAGACCGACCATCTGCTTTCCATGGATGAAGGCCCCAACTTTCATTGGATGTCAGAGCTAAGAGCTTGAACATGTCCCACAGAGGATCTTGCTCTGAGAAATACTTGGTATGAGTCGTCCAGTGATTTCGTGCGTAGGACAAAAACCGATAGCGCGCCAAAGACGGCGATGGCACAGTACGTAAGGGAGGCGACGGTAATGAGACAGGTAATTTGCGTTTTAACCTCGATGGCAAAAATCTTTTGATAAGCCGAAAGCCCGGGACATTCTTTGGAATGAAGTCTTTGCTACGTAGATCCCATTCCATAATTTCCTTTCTTGTCTTAGAAAGATGAAGGTGGAAATCAGAAAACGAAAGATACGTGATGCAAAGACGTCCACAAATCTGGTTTCCTGAGCGGACGGACTCTGGAAATTGAAGCAGATATGCATCGAAACTGCTGTCAAGGTATTGACAGATTGAGGGATGTGCGAAGCGTGCACAGTTATCGACAGGGTCTAATACGACGAGGTTTGCGCACCAACCCAAGATAAAGTCACATCGTGGAACCTTTTCTGGGTCCCAGCATTTGTCATTCAAGTCCAATGCTACTGCCTCCTTCAGCTCTTCGCAATGAAGCGGTCGTGCGCTGAAGCGAACCCAGACAAGTGTTCTGATAGCACGAGGGTCGTGACAATTTATCCTCTTCACACAGCGCTGGTATGTTTCCTCAAGACCTTTTGGTAAGGTTGATAAAGCGACGCGTATGTCTTGCTCCGTGGCACACGTATACCAAATGATCTCGATTTGCAGATAAACCCACAGAAACCTGCACTCTATCAGTAAAAGTTGCACGTAAAGTAATGTCTATAGGCTTAATTCACATTCCCGAAGACTCTTACAGTAAGATACTTTCCATATCATTGATGAGGTGACTGTCCTCAGTGAGCTGGTGAAGCACCATTCGGTCTGCAATACTTTCTCTAATATAGACCTGGATATCTTGTAGCACATTGCAAGTCGTCGAAATTTCAGGTACATTCGGAAGGTACGTCGCGACACTTGTGCCTCCGACGAAGTACTCTCTGCTGAATATGAGTAGCCGTCGGCCGATGGCTTTATCACCGCCGGTTTGGAATAGTAATCGAAAGTAAGTAAGGAGACGCCTTGCGTCCGTCTGTTCTAACGCGTCAAGACCATCTATTACATAGGTGGCATTCGACACATCCGTATACAAACTAGCAAATATATCTTCCAAATCATCAAGATCGGGGACTTCTCTTTTACTTCCGAAATATCTTTGAAGCATTCTTTGGCCGTTCTCAGAGAACTGCTGGGTCCCCTTGACGATAAATTCGGTCAGTTGCCGTATGAAGCTTGAGAGCAACTGAGATAGGTCGGAAGCATATTGTTCGTCGCAGTAGAAGAAGATAATTGGAGCATGAGGTTTCAAAGATTTGCTACGCGCTTCTTCGATTGCGGTGGATCTATTGGATCATCAGTACAAGGTCATTCTTGGACATAGACAACATGCTACTTACGCAATAACAGATTTCCCAGATCCAACTGAGACATTGTAAGTCACCAATGCCACGAGAGAACCCGAGGGCACTTACTTTTACCAGAGCACCATAGCCAAGGGTATGCCCTGTCGGAGAACCAGGCCTGGAATTCCGGGTGATCTAAGAACCACTGTGTAGTGCTAAGGAGTCTCTTCCGTGAAATCCTCTGATGTGCTCGTTCGTGGTCATAGCATGTGATACGCGTCAGAAAATCGTCATCGAAAGCAGATTCTAAGCCAACGCATCAGTTTTCCGCATCAAGACACGTTAGCCCGAAATTTTCATACTCGACTTGCTGACCCAGTTACTGGACAATGGCTCTCTTCGTGAAGAGTCATTACCAATTTGCCCTGGTACCGCAATTCGTCAGTCCTCATGCAGTGAAATCCTCGAGTATATACCACTTGCACTTACAATCCAGGCTCAACGCGGCAGTCGGTGTCTCCATTACAGAATGCCTCGGAATCACAGCGAGGAGCTCTTTCGCATAGGCAGCTGCTGTCAAGGAGGCATAGCCTTGCCAGTCTTTCTTCTTGTGCGTATCGGCGTAGTCGCAGATTCCTCGAATAACAAGGCAGGGGAAATTATCCATCAAGCCAGCAGCTTCCATCTCAAAGCACAGAATTCCGTACTTCTTTGCAATCTCATCCCGGAGCTTTCCGTCCTTGATGACCTTGTTACCCGATGCAATCAAGCCGTAGTGTATTCCACAAGGCTGTTCCAGCCTCGTAGTTCCCCTTCTTAGCGCATCCTCTGAAGACTGCGGATACCCAAAAGTAGCCTCCATACCAGGGTTTATCGCAATAACCTTAGAGACTGACTCTGAGATCCGATTTGGCTTTTGCAAATGTGCTGCCTGGAGTCTAGAGATCGCTGTTAGCAAGACGGTAGGTGGTTTGTTCAGCATTCCCGTGTGCTCCCATTCACCCCCATCAATCGCCTTTCCATAGTCATATTGGATTACGCCTCCATACTCGCGAGATGGTTTGCTCACGACGACATCCCCGAGCTGGACCCCAGCGTCACGCACCCCTCCGCCCACCCCGACCATCAGTCCAAACCGAAGAGATGGGAATCTTATACGGACTTCAGTAGCTATGACCGCTGCAGAATTAGTCCCGTATACCCCAGACGGTAGACAAGCAAGAACAACGCGATGACCGTGGAAGACACCGAAGGTATATGTGTTGTTGTCGTGAGGTTGGGCGGGCAGGTCGGGTAGACGCTCGTCCAACAGCGCTTCGGCGGCTGCCATCTCCACGGGCAAGGCGCAGATCCAAGCTACGGTGAAGTCTTCATGACGGACAATGACTCTTGGAGGGCCCATTTGCTATACTCCAGGCAAATTGTATTTCACTCAGCGAGGGCTGGTGGTTCTGGTAGCGAGCGGGATGGGTGGAAGGATTGATGGAGGTTGGAGATCGGCGAAGACGAGACGCGCAAGGCTGCATTTTCAGCTGAGTGGCTAATGGCAGGGATTGACGTGGCAGCAAAACACATCGCACTTTGCTTTTTGATTTGCTCACTTGGCCTGGGAGAGAAGTCTGAAACTGCTGAAATCTGCAAACAGAAGTTCATTTCAAGAGAAACTACAGAAAATGTGAAATGGTAGTAGTAGAAGTAGTAGTGCCGGAACCTCTCCTGCAATGCATCTTCAGTCTACCAGCTTATAGGCAATTACTGGTACTAGTTCCATCAAGTCATCAATGATATGGAACCCGTAAGGCACTTTCTAATTCTACACTTTGCAAACGTGTTAAAATCCATAATCAACCATAAAATCCAACCAGTCCAACCATTCGGGATGAACGTGAGGCCGATCATAAGCTGGATTGAACGAGTCCCGCTCAAATCCCACGCCTGGCTTGACACAACCATTCTCGTCAAATGGATTTAGCCCATTTCCATACAGAAACTCGTGTATCTCCTTTTCAATCCAGATGCCTAGACCAGGTTGTCTATTCCGCGTTACATCCACACCCACAACAAGCTTAGGCCTCCTACTAGTACTTCGATATCTCCACCGGGTACGGTTACGAATCCCTTCGATCAGAATTGACCAATTATCCATATCAGGCTCCGAGAAACCCAGAAAGCTCAACTCGACCGAGCGGGTGGTGAGTGGCAGTCGATCCAGAAGCCTGACCATGTCAGTAGCACCGACTGAGAGGCCTGAAAGTCCAAAGTGGCGTAATCTCTGCCATTTTGCGACTAGGAAAATGGTATCAAGTGGAATATTCGGAAAGCATCGATTGCTAGACGAGCTTTCCTGGACCGTGGACATACTGGCTTTGAAGCTAAAGTGCTCTAAATCAGCTGCATTTCTCAACACATCTCGCAGATTACCATTGCGGAAAACCGGCCATCCACGTTCATTTTGGTTGGGGCATGAGAGAGCAAGATCAAGTCGCTTGAATCCTGGCTGCTTGAGAATAAGGAAAAGGTTCAAGAGCTCCTCACACGGTTGTTCAAATATCGTGCAATTTATTCCTGTGTCCAGCTGGTTGACATCGAAAACGAGCTCAGAGACCTTGTGGTGCTCTCTATCTCTTGCTAGCAAATGCAGTGCAGCCCGGAATCCACGCCATCTGTCCTTCCAGTGCTCGTGTAGATCAGTCCACAGAGAAAGAGCTGGATGGTTCTCCTTGTGCGTCGGCCATCTGCGCGGGACGGGATAATTAAACCCAGGCGGGAACGTGCGAATCATAGGTGTTTGATAAAGAGGATAAAAAGCACGCGCATGCGTTACAGGTGTAATTGTGACTCTTTTCAAGGCTGGAAATTGCTTTAGCCCATACTCGAAGGCTTCCTTATCAGCGTTAGTGCGAATGTTTTCTTCCTCTTCCCTACTCAATTTTTCATAGAGGTCGAAAGATTCTTTCAGCCATAATGTGGAAGCAACGTCCTGCTCGGCCCGCTCTATGCAATCTGCTAACCCCGTATAGTCACGTTGGTACCTCCTCAAATCTTCAATATTTTCTCGACAAGCATTGAGATACCAGAGTTCAGCTCCTGCGTAGGGGACCCGCTCTTCTGGATTTCGTCCGTAATCTAGCACCGAGAACTGAGGAGGTGGTAACAGCCGCGTGTCATCCCAGATAATCTCTTGGATGTGCTGGCGATAGACTTCGTGGTCGGCAACTGCACGGAAGACTTCGAGGTTACGTTGGTCAGCGGATAGAAAGACACGTTTTATACGTAATTGCGCTATCTGGTGCAGAAGCTGGGACGTCAGGCGTAACGATTTGATATCCCGATTGGGCAGATATGACACAATAGACGCAATTAACCTGATTGGAAGGGTCGTTAGGGTGGCTCCTGTGTTCCCTGCGGTTTTGGGAACCATCTTATCCTGAAGAGAAATCAAAACTTAGAAGAGAAGACAGCCTAGGAATGCTAGAAATAATGATGATGGAGGAAAAGTGGTGGGTATAGCTAATATACCCACCTCGATATATATGTCGGGTGTCTAGACGATGTGGTTGTAAAGATAGAAAGTCACCATGGTGGAGTAGAGTGACTTCAGAGAAGACGAGTGTGATGAAATCCGAGTAGGGAAGGAAGCGAGGATATTTCCACATGAAATTCTTTTTTGACTCCTCGCCATCATGTTTGAGATTGGTGAGGCATTAAATTGCGAGGGTTGAGGTTTGTAAAACAATAATAATTTGATTGCTGATCGGCTCAGCCCATGATGTACTTCACTCTTTTCGCGACGTGCCTATGAGTCCTTCCAAATGGCTCATGCAGCCAAAGACATTGTCCAATCATTTTCAATGTTGTGCTACTATGTGGCTCCAAGGGTACTGTTTCGGTAGAAAGGACCATCTTACTGACAGATGAAGCCTGGGTGACAGATAGCGTGAGAAATAAGCAGTCGTGGCGATGTACATTGAGTGGGGATTAATTCTACTAGTTAACGGTACATATTCAGGTCCTCTTCTATTTTGCATCTGTCGCAATGGTCTCTTGTAACAGACGAATCTCATCCAGCAATGCTTGTCCGCCATTCTTCAACAATTGCTGAGCGACCGTAGCACCCAACGCCTCGGCATCCTCGTCCGTTCCCACTTCCGCTGTCGTCCGTTCGGAGAGCAAAGTTGTCCCGTGGGGATGAATTATAGTACCATCTAGTCGCAATTGAGCTGGCGAGGAAGCTGTTGGTGCCTGCTCAACAGTGCAATGTACTGCGACTGGAGACGAGCAGCCGCCCTGAAGAGTGCGTAGCAGTGACCGCTCTGCCAGACAGATCCGACGGGTAAGCAGGTCTTCGATTTTTCGAACCATGGTCTTTGTCTGGGCGTCCTCCTTGCGGATTTCAATGCCCAGGGCGCCCTGACCGACAGCGTACGGGAACTCCGAGGGAGGCAAGCGTTTCGTAATGCGATCTTCCAGATTGATGCGGACCATACCGGCCGTGGCCAGAATGATTGCCGAAAATGGACCTTCTGGGTCATCTAGCTTTTTCAGCCGTGTTCCGCTGTCACGTCAAGTCAGAAAAGAGTCAACTCTCGGTGACAAATAGGGGCAGTTCCTTACAGATTCCCGCGGCATTCCTCCACTTTCAAGTGCGGGTATCTGTATCGAAGTAGGGCTTTCCGTCTAGTGGAACTCGTGCCCACCACAGAGCCGGGGGGCAATTGACTCAGATCCGTATACTGCGACCGCAGCCCCTCCTTCATCACCAACGCATCAGTGGGATCTTCCCGATAAACAATAGCCCCTAGTGTACAGGTTTCTGGTAGACGCGTCGGCATATCTTTGAGGCAATGCACGAGGAGGTCCAGCTCTCCTGCGCACAGCTTGGTTTCCATCTCTTCGGTCCAGATGTTCTTTGCTGCATCGGATGGCCCTGCAAATTTCAGGAAAGGGCTACTTTTGTCGGCATCGCCGCGCACCACAACCGTTTGCCAGGGAAACTGGACTCCGGGGTGAGCAATGGTCAGCTCCTTGGAAACATGTTCCGCTTGTACTAGTGCCAGTTTGGAATTGCGGGTGCCCAGGCGTAGCTCCTGTACTGTGGTCGTAGTGTTTTGTGACATCCTAGAGTACACGATAGTTTTGAGGAAGGAAATTTAGTTGTAAGTTGTAGAAGACAATTGAACCTCGTGGAGCTGGAAAGATGCAGGTTTCAGTTCGCTGGCAACCTAAATAATTGATACAAGTTAGCCAAGATAAAATGACTAAGGAATAAGCGCTTGTATGTTTTGAGACTAGTGATCCAGCATTGAGGCCTGAGGGAACAGTCCTGTTATCGACCATTCAATCTCAACTCAGCGACTCTTGGGAATTGTCAATTGCATATTATACGATCCAGGTAGAATATCTAGTTTAACAATCATGTGACTCTATACCCAGTTTATCAGTACCCCACCTGGCAATATACCTTTATCGCAACGTAAGAATAGGCATTTGCTGGGACTGGACGCAGACATAGAGGGTATCATTGTTATGGGAATCTTCACACTGATTGATAAGACAAATTGCGAATGGAGCGCGGCGATCCTTATAACTGTGGGAGCTGATCTTCACGGATATGGTTAAGTTTGTCCCCGCTCCCAACACTGGCGGCAACCCAAATGACGATTCGTCTTTTCGCACACCTCAGACCCGAGTGAGTCAGACTATCTCGTGGTGAATGATTGATAACAAATTCCTGACTCTTGGACCCTGACTAGGTCATTTCCAGCAAGTGGAAACGGGCATAGTCCCACTGGGCTTCTTCTCTAACTCAGAAGTATCTAACTGCTTGAAATGAGCCATCTTTCGTTGATGGTATCTTCCTTTAAGCTGATCGTTATCAATTATATAGGATTTATTGGCATTCGGTCATCATCAGCAATGTACCTGTCGACTTTTCTTACTATCTGCTTAGGCCATCAAGCCGTAGCGGAGATGGCATCGGCGAGTATACAATCTTGAGCTTGGTATGCGACACCGACGCAGGCGCAAAATTCAGGAGAGCAAGAGTTGGCGGTCCAGGTCAAAGAATAAAGCTGAACATAATAGGGGTGAGTCGTGGTTTTGCTAGTTCTAGTACTACTACGAGATGACATCGTGGTTACCATGTTTCGGCTTCCTCTGTCAGCACTGCAGACGAAGAATGTATCTAGTATCCTTAAGCCATGCCCTATAGGTTTGCTGAGTAGGTCGTCCCTTGCTCCAGTACCATCTGACATAAGATTAAGCATCTTTTTGTTTTGTTCTTTTCCCTCGCAGAATGTGATTGTCGAGATACACTGCGCTGTCACAGTTTGTAGAATACATTGTACTGCCTAGGATAGGCAAGATCTTTGCCTTTGAATGCAGGCATGATCCAACTGAACAAGAAATAAAACATTACAACGCGAACAAGGCTATGAGAGATTGGCAGAGGCTCGTTAACATGCCGAGAAGCATAGTATCTCATCGGTCCAATGATCCGGTATGAGCTGATGTATTCCCAGCAGGAGATTTGAATTGCAGCTGACGGCATTAAATATACTGTAAGCGTACCTATGGCATCGGTAATCTCTCACGGGCTTCTAAAACACCTGAGCAATGCTGAAGAAAACCCACTGAATCATTAGAAACATGAAGTAGTGGGGAAACACGTGCATCCTCGGTCAATCCCAAAGTTGAGACTTCGTTTCGAGGTTCCCTTGCAGATCCCCCTCCGGTTAGATGAAATGACAGTCTCTAAAGAGCATCCCCCATCCGACCGTTCATTTAACAGTCTGTTTTAGCTCAAACGTGCGTGTCGATCCTAAATCGAATACGCGAATACGCAAATACGCAAATACTACACGGAAAGTTGCCCGTTTTTGAGGATCGATCACAGCCGATTATACAAAATCTATTCAGCATGGACCCCCTGAGCCTGGCATTTAAGATAACTAGGATGCCTCATTTCACCACCCATTACACGGAGCAAAGCTTTTCGTATCCAAGATGATAGCTGCTGCTCTTCTTCTGGCTGCAGTGGCCCCTGTCCTGGCAGCCCCAAACACCGACGCAGTGTCTGTTTGCCAGCACCTACACACGGTTTACCCCCAGTACACCGTCTGGGACCCCACAGGCACCTACGCAACTGAAACATTCTGGAATCAGTCTTACTACAACAATGCAGTCAAGGAATACTGGAACGGCGTGAACGCTGACAACCGTCCGGCCTGCGCCTTCTTCCCTGCAAACGCGCAACATGTCTCCGTCGCAGTTCAGCAGCTGAACAAATATCCCACTGCACCCTTTGCATTGAAAGGAGGCGGTCACAATTTCAATGTGGGGCTCTCAAGTACCAACGGGGGCGTCCTTATCTCGTTCAATGAGAACCTGTCCTCAACCACCCGCAACTCAGACGGCCAGACTTTCGACGTCGGGCCTGGAGCCCGATGGGGCGATGTCTACGCTGTCACGGAGAAGACGAACCAGGTCGTCGTAGGAGGCCGATTGGCTAATATCGGCGTAGCAGGGTTTACGATTGGGGGAGGATTGTCATACTACTCAGCTCAATATGTACTACCTTACCCTATCCCTTCCCCGCCCCCTTTCCTCTACGTCCTAGCACTAACCCAACCCAGGGCCTATCCTGCGACAACGTGGTCAACTTCGAAGTAGTCTTAGCAAACGGCACCATCGTCAACGCGAACAGCACCTCTAATCCAGACCTCTGGTGGGCCTTGCGCGGCGGCGGCAACCGCTATGGCATAGTTACCAAGTTCACATACCAGGGTCACCCACTCGGCGACAACGGGCAAGTCTGGGGCGGCATTCGCTTTTACAGCGCCGACAAACGCCAGCAAATCTTCGAAGCTCTCTCCAACTTCACAAGTGAATACCCGGACGCCAAAGCCGCCGTCATCCCAACATTCGACTTTGGCTTGCCCGGAGCGATAGTCTCCAACCCAGCCGTTTTCTTCTTCTACGATGGAGCGAAGCCCAGCACTAACGCCTTCGTCGGTCTCGACAACATCGAAGCCCTGATCGACTCTACAAAGACCACCACCTACACCGATCTAACGAACGAAGCAGGCGGAGCCAAGATCTACGGCATCAACGCTGCCATTCGTGTCAACACATTCCCCAACATGCCGTCCCAGCAGATGACCCAACTGCTTGAAAACCACTGGGCTACCTACCAGTCCATGATCAAGAACGATTCCTCCAAGAACTTGGACATCCAGATCGGCACATTTACCCCGCAACCGCTGTCAGTGCGCATTGCTCGTGCTTCCAACAAGGCCGGCGGTAATGCTCTCGGCCTGGACCCTGCGAACGGTGATCGTGTCTGGATTGAGAATGACTTGATCTGGGTTAATCCGGTTTGTAATGATGCTTGTCCGGAGTATCTGCGCCAGGTGGGTGATACTGTGAAGGAGGCATTTAATAACACGCTGTTGGGAACTAAGCCGACGAATTATCAATCGGGTGATGTGGATTGGATCTCGTACGTTTCCTTTTTCCTTTCTTTTCTTTCTTTGTCCAGGGCAGCACGCTAATAATCATATAATAGCTCTAATCCTCTCTTCATGAACGATGCCGCCGACTACCAAGACGTATATGGCAGTTATGGACCAACGAACGAGGCGCGACTGGCGAGTATTGCCAAGGCGTATGACCCGACTGGGTTCATGTTCCGTCAGGGCGGATGGTCCTTTTAAACTTGGCGGTGCCTGAAATGGAGGAGTGCATCTGTTTGATGATTAATTATCACGTATATTGGTCTATTCAGGCTGCAAATACCCCAGATACCTTTAGCTGGATAATGGAATAAGATAATGTTAGGATTTCACATTGGTCTTCAGCTTATCCACCTGATCTTATTGTTCAGTGATAGCTCTATTGAAGCTTGAGCTATATATCCCCCACGAGGATAGGCTCGTTTTACAGCTAGTCAGACATCTGACTATAAACTACAAGCTCAAAATACACCAGTAGTAACATACGATACAATACAATAAAATCTAACCGATAACGCTTGAAGAGTATAACCGACAAAACAAAAAGCTCCCCTCCCCTAAGATATCCTGCTCCATCTTCCCCGATGAAACCACTACACCCCACAATCCACACCTAGAAAAACAAATAAAAAACTAAACAGACAACCGATATCCATACCCAGTATGAATCCCAGTATAATCCTTTTCAAAGACATACACCCTACTTGAAAAGCCTGCCCAGCAGGCCTCCCGCAAGGTTACTCATCACTCCACCCGAAAGCGCACTATTCGCGAAGGTAGAAGCCTGACTGAAGCGATCGCACCGGGAGAACGCAACAGTGTTGGTGATGGTCAAGGCGAGGGCAATGGCTGTATACAGTTAGCATCCACGCTCCTTGTATACCTGCTGGGAGAAAGAGTGCAAGGATAAACTCACCAACAAGACTCAACCAAATCACACTGCTCAAACGAATAATGGCCAAAATGGCGAGACCGATCCATAGTGCAGGCGTCACGTACAGACTCAGCCAGAAGAAGCGTTTGTCCGTGGCGGTGATGGTGCGGGTAGTGGGATCGGAGGACTCGAAGACCCAAGTAGAGTCGCCGGAGGAAGTGTTGACTTCGTTCCACCAGCGGAGACCGACCAGTCGGCGACCGGCTATGTTTTTGAGGTAGTAGAAATCGGCGGAAAGGATGAGGAGGGTGATGATGAAGACGAGGACGCTGGTTGCAGTGGTTAGCTTGGTTGTTTGCTCGGATCTAGATAGGGTAGCTCTGGGAGGGTCCGGAATTGGAGATTGAGGGAGCTATGATCTTGAAGCTGAGTTTGAAAGGTGTTTACGGACAAGTTCTTGATAAAGAGCACGCCGAAGAGGTACATCAGTAGGGCGCCGATGCGAAAGCCCAGGAAGAACAGGAGAGTAATCGGATGGGCACTAAGGCGCCAGTTCAGTTCGCCCTGCTGCGGTTGGAGCGGTTGTTGTTCCATGATGACAAAAAACGTGCAGGATCAAGTCAAGAAATATCCTCTGGAAACAGTCCAATACACATGAGATAGACGGCAGTCAAGCAGCCTCCTGACGAGTCCAGATCATGCGAGGCGGGATTGCGTTGATGCTGCGTGTCTCCAGCCAGGGGCGGTGGGGTGCGGCAGAATGTGGAGCGGCGGACGGTTACTTGACACTCTTTCATCTTATTTCTCCGACTCCCCTCTGTTTCATGCGCGATCGGCACTCGGGCTCTTTCATATTGCTCAGTTTGGTGTACAAGAAAGACCAAGGCAGTGGTTGTCACAGGTGAATAATGCAAGTGCCAATGGAACGAATCAAATACGGGCCAGTCGCGACACCTGCCGGATGAGGTCATCGGCCGGTTCCTGACTGGAGAAGCCTTTATGCGCAAACCGAGGATCTCTTAAAGTTGCGGGTCAATCCGCAACCGCTGCAGCAGCTTCATCCGATAATCTCCATTCTTTCAATCCAACAGGAGACATTGCAGTTCAGTGTGATCCCAAACTCACTACCATCGCCTCAACTGAACACTCTCCCTCTCATCGACAATGGCCGCCAGAAACACCCTCCGTCGCGCCCTTCTCTACAGTACGTCACTGCCCCCTTCTCTTCCCAACCCATAGGTCTCCCCGCATTTCCGCACTCATCCCACACCCCAACATGCTATCCGACTATACCAATTACCCCCTAACTAACCCCGAATCCCAGTCCCGGGCTCCTCCCAACGCTTCATCGATAAATCCCGCACACTAACCGCCGACTGCGTGGCCTACGATCTCGAAGACAGCGTAACTCCGCACAAGAAAGCGGAAGCTCGGTCCCTGGTGCGGAGAGCACTCGACGAGCCCGCACCGCAGGGAATCCGCGAACGAGCCGTACGAATCAACTCCGTGGACAGCGGCCTCGCCCTAGGCGATCTCACCGAAGTGGTGCGTACCATTATCATCCCTCACTTTTCTTCTCCATTCAACTCACTAAATCCGGTAATAGCTCAAATCCCCCAATCTCACAACAATCGTGATCCCCAAAGTCAACACCCCCTCGGACCTCACTTTCGTGAACGATGTCATCACGCACACTCTCTCCCAACAACAACAACAGGATCCTTCCACCCCGAGACCTCCAATCTCCCTCCTCGCTCTAGTCGAGTCCGCCAAATCCCTCACAAACCTCACCCAAATCTGCGCCTCCACGCCCCTCCTGCAGGGCCTCATTTTCGCGGCCGAAGACTTCGCACTCGACCTCAGCATCACCCGTACCCCGTCATTAACTGAATTCCTCTTCGCAAGGTCTATGATTGCTACGGCTGCTCGCGCTGCGAACCTTCCCTCTACTATTGATTTGGTCTGCACAGCGTACAAATCTACCAAGGGGGACGGGTCCCCGCCTGCGGTGCTGGAGGAGGAATGTCGCGATGGGAGACGGCTAGGGTTCAATGGGAAGCAGTGTATTCATCCGTCGCAGGTGGAGACGGCGCAGGCGATCTTTGGACCGGATCCGGAGGAAGTTAAGTGGGCTGTGAGGGTGTGTGTGGCGGATGAGAAGGCTGCGAGGGCTGCGAGGGCGGGACGGGGTGCGTGGACGCTTGATGGGAAAATGATTGACGTGCCGGTGGCGGAGAAGGCCAGGGCGGTGGTTAGGAAGGCGGAGGCGTGTGGGTTTGATGTTGGGAAGTTGAAGGAGGAGTGGGGGCATCAGGAACCGGAGTGAGCATGCTTGTACTAGGTGGTGTTTGTGTCTTGAGTGAGAGGAGTTATATATACAAAAATTCAGTCAAGCCAGTTGACAAATTAGGAGTAACTATTTATGGTACTTGTTGGATGAGGGGAAGGTAGAACCGAAATGAGATCAAGAAAAGATTTGAGTAGATAGTCTATCGATCACCTCTTATACTCCGGGACTATCACTTCCCTACAAGAATTCACATAAAACCCAGTAGTCTCCCAAAGCGTATGCTAGGCTGAGTTGGAGGTAATGTTGAATTCGGGAGATCGAGCATCAAGAAAGGTTTTCTTGAGTGTTTGAAGAATATTCGCTGTTTATTATTGCTTTGACTCCAGGTCTTCGCGCTTCAACAGCTGGATCTTGCCCATGGTCAAGATGGGCTGGTCCGCATCCGCCTTGCTGTTTGCATCATCTTCCAGACTCTTGGCTAGTGATTTATCGTAGCTGGTGGGGTCAATCCCCAGGATGCCACCAACATATCCACCCCGCTCACCGGGGACACTGAACTCGCGGAACAGGTACTTCCATTCATTTAACCATGCCTTGACGGCCTTGCCGATCTTGTCCTTGCCATTCTTGGAATGATGGCCCGTGCCTGTGATGGCGTAGACTACGCGCCGGCCTTCACGGGCATGCTTGAGCAGGATCTTTTCCAGGTATTCAATGGCCTCCTCGGGATGCAAGCCATGCAGGTCAACGTACAGTTCCTCTGCTGCATCATCCAGACCAGCGTCTAAGAGATGTTTGTTACGTTCTTCGTATAGTTGCCGTGCTGCTTCCCGATGACACTTGCGCATGGCTTCGTTTTCAGCCTGACCCCGCAGAGACAGAGCCTTTGCGGCTCTTGCGTCATTGCGGTTCCACGCTTGAGCAGCACTAACCAGAAAATTAGCTTCAAGCCTTCAGACTTCAAAAGTGTCAATTTACCTTTGAAGGAATTTGTTCCTCACCGTACCATGGCGGATAGCCTCCGTCCGGTATTTTATATATTGTTGGTTCGCTCGGGAACCGGTTTCCAACCAGGGAATGTTCTGCGGCGGTGGGATTGCCTGAGCGGCTGCGCTATGTTCGCGGCCTTTAACCCCATCCCGAGTGTTCTTAGACGAAGATTTCCCCTTCCCAGGCGCAGGAGATGGGGACATGCGAACCACGTCCGCTAGTGATGTAGGCATGTTTTCTCTGCTTGAATTATTGTCGCGATTTCCGCGTTTCCCATGATGCTTCTTGCCCGTATTCTTGGCACTGACAGCAGCAAGGGTGGGGAATGCGTCTGGATCATCGACCGATGGAGCAGCCGGGTTCAGCTCACGATGCTGATGCCGACTCCCTGGTCGAGAATGAGGGCGGGACAGGTTGGTCATACTCCCATTTCGCTTACCAACAGCAAATTGCATGGCCTGAGGCACGTACTTGCTGCCAGGGAATGCAGACAAATGACCTGGATACTTGCCAAGATACTGGCCAGTCCATTGGTCTCCCATCCCGGCAGTAGACTGCAGGGGAGGGAAGGCCTCCGAGGTACTGTCCATGTGGAATGACGTGCCAGGTGATGCTGTGCCTGGCGTACCGTCTGCCACACTGAGATTTGCAACGAGAGCTGAAGGGTCATGCGAAAACGGGCAGCCGTCACCTGCCAAGCAGTTCCCCATAACCCAATACCTGTACGAATGTGCTGCTATTAGTATCCTGTTCTTGCATGGACGAAACATCGGGGAGCTTGGGGGTATACTCACTTGCAAAGGTGATTGGTTAGATCGTGACTAAACCGGCAATCGGCACGAAGACATTGGCCGGTAGACAACCAGTACTTGCAGACCACTGGACTGCGACTTTGGCTGGGAGGGGTAGCGATCTTGGGCGGCTCCATTGACATCGACTTTCCGACCACAACGTGGCCGTCCTCCGAGTGCGGCAAGATGGAGTCACCGTCACCGGGTTGCGACAGCGACGCGATCGTCGCGCCCAAGTCGTAGCTGTTGGCTTCCAGGGCCGCCTCAATTTCATCGTTCGATCGCTTGTCTCCCAGGACAGTGCGTAAGATATCGTGCGGGCTCATATCGGGCACAAACTCGGGTGCCGTGGCGCTCAGCCCTCCTGTGATGCTCGGGGTCCCAATAGACGAGGTGACGCTGTTAGCGTCGTCGGCAACCAGCCAGTCCACATTGCTATCGCTACCCAGGTCGCCGTAGAAATCGGACACTTGGCTTTGATCGGAGAATTCGTATGCGTTCAGATTAGGGGAGTGTGGGATGGGTTGCGCAAGAGCTAGTCGAGGCGATGGGCGCGGAGAAGTGAAAGGCGACACGGTGGAGGACAGGGGTGGCCGGGATAAGCCGCCTCGGGAGCTCTGGAGCCACGAGGTACTTCCGGGGCTTGTGCCTAAGTTCGAGTGAGGGGATAATGGGGTCGCAGAGCGCGCCATCTGCCAAGGGGCAGGAGACGAGCGTCGAATCACCGTGTGACGAGGCGGCGGAGGGGAGGAGTCTGGCAAGGTGCGATTGCGATGGCGCCAGAGGATGTCGAGGACGGCATTTTCTAGGGACGGACCTGATAAGGAGGTCTTTTCGCGTACAAAATCCTCTATTTTCTCGACCTGCTCTTCTTCGTCCAGCGCTTGATCCTGGAGGATGCGAAGACAGTCCTCGAGGAGGTCTTCTTGAATCATTCTGGATCGTCGGGGGGGCTGAACGAAGGAAGGAAGAAGTAGGAGGGCGACGGATACACGGTGTGTGCAGGAAGATGTGGGGTAATCGGCGTTTGGAGATGGGAACAGTAATCAGATCAAGGAGACAACAGAAGACAGGTCAGATTCGATAATCCACGTCCATGATTTGTTCCCAGGACAGCTGGAATTCATGAAACGAAGAGGAAATCTTGAAGAGAAAAAAACAGGGATGTTAGCAAGGTTGACAGGCGACAGGGGACAAGCTTGAAGTCCATGGGTGATTACATCGCATCTACCGTCGTGCAATGATCGATGATGACGGGGAGGGGGAGAAGAGAGTGGATCCGGTAAACGAAGGAAGGGAGGGAGAGAAGATAAGAAGAGGATATGGGTTGGAGAGATGGAAAAAGAGGAGGTCCAAAGAGGGAGGACGCGCAAGACACACACACAGAGAGAGAGAAAGAGAGAGAGAATAGAGGAGGAGGAGGAGGAGTGAGAGGGGTAAAGTCAGTAAGTAGAAAGAAGGGGAGAGAAGCAAGAAAGAGGCAGCGAGAAAGTCGGAGAGAGCGGAGGGATTTGGTATTGATTGATTGATGGATTCCAAGGAGGTTATCCCCTCTCAAACAATTCCTACGCGGCGTCTCCCGATGAACATCCCCCCAATCAACGCCCTAGAGAGGTACTTTTGTTTATTCTATTTGTCTTTAATGTTTTCTTTATTATTGACAGGCAATCAACCAAAGCTGAAGCTTCCGGGGTGCGATTTGACTCTCAACCAAAGAAACGGCGGCGCTGTCACCTTACCAAGTTTCCCCCCTTTTTTGGGGGGGCAATCTAGACTGGCAGCCAATTCCTCACTAAGAATGGCTTCCTGGTCGATCTGCCGGACTAAACAGATAGATACTTGCTGGTCGGGATCGAGATGGAGACGATGGGCCGCCATAGGGTCAATCCATTTATCTACCACAAGTAGAATGTTAGAATAGGTATAGCTTCCCCAAGTCAAGCACATCACCAGTACAAAACTTCATTCATGAACAGCAAGTAAACTACTAAGTTGCGATCAATAGCGAGAAGAAAATCATACCGCCCGTAATTAAAATCCCCGTATCGAGGCGTATGTAACAGAAAAAGTGGAACAGTCAGCAGCGATCCTGACTAAGATCTTCCCCGATTGCCGCCTTCAGGCAGACACTAAACTCCACCTTCAAGAGAAATGCAGACGGACTGACTCTCATGAGGAGAGCCTAGATGAACTGCTATCATTGTCGTTCCTTCGCATCCAGATCTCCATCTCTATTGACAAATTCTATTCTAATCCGAGCTTGTGTTCCACCTCCCACTGCCACCATCCGAGACCATTCCTCCTCCGTGCTGCGACTAGCAGAAGCTCATTGACCAATTACCGGACAGCTCCCATTTCATCATCGCCTAGCTTGACGTCGTGGACCCTTCCTCGCTCACTCTTCCACTTTTAATCGCTCTTCCCATCCCCTCATGCTTCGTTCCTAGACGGGGGCTTAGCTACGCCCTCCTTGATTTTAACTGCGCATCGCCATTCTGAACGACCATTGAACATCTACAGCGTTGCATTCATACATCGCCGAACCCCAAGTCGCGTACTGGTTTGCGCCCGTCGGCCCATCTCTCTGCACAGGCGTCCATTCGCCTCACCCCGATCTCTACATCGAGCCGGGCTTGATCCCGCATATTGGATATCAAGTTAAGCTACATACGCTCGACGATCCTTCAGCTGCCTTATTTTATTCCTCCACCTTGAAAGATGCCAGCGGATTACTCATCCACCGCCCGGGCACTGTCCGTCTCGACCTCATCCCCAGAACCTCTGTCTCCGTCGGAGGATGAGGCTTATCCACCATGGAGCCGAAGAGCACCGGGAAGGCGAAATTCAGCCAGTATCTCCGGCGGACGATCCGCTACCCTCCGAGATCAAATCATAGACCGAGCAACCAAGACATACCACCAGATCCTGGAATCGTGGCGCAAGATGAACTTCTGGCAAAGGGTAGGGGCGGTGGCCGCGTTCTTACTGGCCAATCTCCTTGGAATCGGCTTCCTTGTCTTCACCGGGAAGGTCTTCATTTGGCTTCAACCTGTGGCGGCACAATGGGAGCATTCTCCTCTAGCCTACGGGGTTCTGTGGTTGTGTGTTTTCTTTGTCTCCTTTCCGCCGTTGGTTGGATGGTCCACATTTGGAACTATGGCGGGCTACATCTTTGGGATATGGAAAGGGTGAGTTGAGAGAATTTTCATGGATGCGCAAGAGGGCTAACACCGCTCATAGATGGCTTCTTTATGCTTCCGCGACTGTGCTTGGGTCGACTTGTTCTTTCATTGTGTCTCGGACAATCCTATCCAAATTCGTCCACCGGTTGATGGAACGCGATAAGAGATTCGCAGCTTTGTCGTTGACGTTGAAGTATGACGGCTTGAAATTGCTGTGCATGATCCGCCTCTGCCCGCTGCCCTACTCGGTATGCAATGGGGCGGTCTCAACCTTCCCCACGGTTCAGCCGTTGATGTATGGGCTTGCCACAACACTCATTTCGCCGAAGCTGCTGGTTCCAGCCTTCATCGGCAACCGGTTACGCGTCTTGTCGGAGAACAATGAAGAGATGAGTGCAGGCTCCAAGGCTGTCAATATTTGCAGCATCATCGTCTCCATTTGCATCGGTATCTTCACGGGACTGTATATATATAGAAGGTAAGAGTCAAGATATCTCCTTGCATTGTCCCGATATCCGAGACTAACGCAGTTCAATAAGAACATTGGCCCGGGCCAAAGAGCTAGAGGCGAAAGAAAGGGAGGACATCCGACGCTCGCTGCAAGCTGACCATGCTGCCCATCGTCCCCATGACGCCTTTTCCGAGGATCCTGAAGTCAACAGTGCGGCCGCTCTTCTTGCGCGCGATGAAGAGGAACGCATCGGATTCGGCGACCTCGACGACGACCACGTCGACCTGGCGATTGACGATGAGAGTGGCAGTGAGACCTCCCCCCACCGTACACAAGCCTCCCCTTATCGCGATGAGTTTACCGACAACGATTCAGATGTTTTCAAGGATGGAGATGGGACCCATGAGGAAATGTATACCCTACATACACACGTGCGGAAACCCTAGGGCTCATAGTCGGCCCGGGACAGTCAATGGCGAGGGCGTTGGTGGCTACGTGATAGAAATCTGCGGTTACGAGTGATGACAGCACACTTTCCGGATGGACATGACGGTTTGTAAATTCCCTTAGGGGGTTTCGTAAATATTATAATTGGGCGAGGGGCCATAGGAGCCCGGCTTCTGGCTATGCCTCTAGACTGTTGAACACCAGGCTGTGTTAATTCTTGTATAAAGTAACTTTAGAATCTCTGCAGGTAGGTCTACTGATCAGGAAGGCAATCCTCAGATACTACTAAAGACCTCGTCCTGTAAGTCACCGGCGTGGACTGGAATATTGAGACGGTGGTAACGAGTGCAACGTCCCAAGAAGTGTGAGGTCCACCTTGGGCGCTGCTGTCGCGGGAGGATCCGGGAGCGTTGAGCAAGGCTGAGAGGGGCAATGGTCAGACGCAAAGCAGCATCTCACGGAGGCGCTCTTAGCCAGATTTGACTGGCTTAAAAGAAGACTTGGAAAAGCAAAGAAAGGGGGAGATGGACACGAAGTCAGTCTTTAGGCTGACGATAGCACACGAAGACGGCCAGCAGGAATGTAACAAAAGCAATGAAAGTATTGGCCGGTCGGACTGAAAATTACGCGGGGTTCCGGCCGAATTTCCCGCCGACTTTCTTTCCCTTTTCGAGTCCGACAGCCTCAAGGCAAGATTGTCCGTCTACTTTGAACTGACTCCCTTCGGCCTCTGCATCGTGTCTCTTCCCCCCCTTGATTCGTTGTCTCCATATTCCACTCCTCAGGCGGCGGTATTCTCTTCCTGCCGGTAAGTCGGTCGCTACCTACTCCGTACCACTCAGATACCCCTGCGGTTTCCTTGTCCTACTACTAGTAGGGTTTGCGCCGGTGCCAGAAACAAGCCAACCAACGTGATGGATTCGCAGGCGAAGGACCTGTTGTCCTGTTAGCCACTAACTCCATCCCGGCATGTATGTCAACTGGTCATTCCCTGTGTCAGGCTCATTCATACTTGTCTTGGACTTTCCCCAGTGTTCCCCCGCAAATCATATATGATATCGAGTGGTCCGCTGACCTTGAATTGAAAGATAAGATACATTTCACATCCCTGGTCCAGGTCTTATCTTCACCCGTCCAATGGACTGATTGTGATGGAGCTCGCCATGGATGAATAGGCTAAGCATTAGCATCCTACATCACCTTACGAAATGGGTGTCCATAGAGTCAATCAGTCAGTCACCGTATTTGCAGTGTAGTAGTTGGTCTCGTGAGCTCTTTGCTACAGTCCCAGAAGACTTACAATCATACACCTACATTCTGAGAAATTAGCACTTGCCAGAATCCCACTTCAGCTCCCTTGCCAACAATCATGAAATCGGCCGCTGCCTTGGGGACTCAAGGTCCGGATGGCCATGCCTACGAATGCAATCACCTGGACCAATATCATGTACCCACCAATTTTGATGCCGCTGGCAGAGGCTCCTTCCCTTTGCTGGCACCGCGCCCAGTCTTCGCTGGAACAGGATCCCCCTCTCAATTTCCTGCAAAGCAAACTGAGGGCATATATCCAAGTGGTCTTCCAAATGGAAATGGATTCGTACATTCTAACCCCTCCCTTAACGGTGGCGTAAGGGGAAGTTACCCCGAGAAAAAAGGCCTTCTCCGGGAGTTGCAGGATCGCTCTCAGGCAGCAGATCAAACACCACAGTCTTATAAACCTAATACGATTCAAGCAACTGCGAATCATCTGGAAAAGACGCAGGCCTTAACCCCCAGTCTCATTCAGAAGACGTCAGCATCTCCAGCTAGGACCGTCAATATTATGTCTTCGTCAACATTTTCGTCGCCCAGCCACAAAGGTGTCGACAGTGGATCTTTTCAGGCGAAGTACCGGCCACGCTCCTCGATACCTCCCAGGATGCCCGCTGTAGTCTACGCCCAACAATGTGTGGCGGCGGCGTATGCGTCCCGACTAAATCCATACGCGCTTCACAAAAAGGAACAGGAACTTCTCCAAGATCACATGTGTCATCTCCATGTCACTGTCTATCTGAACATTCGAAACGGCATTCTGCGTTTGTGGACGCGTAATCCCATGCTGAGTGTCTCAAAGGAGGAAGCCATGGGTTGTGCAAAGGACTATCGCTGGATGAACCTTGCATCATTCGCTTATGAGTTCCTCGTGCGCAATGGATACATCAATTTTGGCTGCGTGGAGATACCAGTCGCTCCGGCACCTCCGAAGAAGGGTCGACGGCGGGATGGACCCGTAATTGTTGTGATCGGGGCCGGAATGGCCGGTCTGGGGTGTGCGCGCCACTTGGAAAGCCTCTTCAATCATTATCATGACCCGCTCACGTCTCCCCGTGTGATAATACTGGAAGGAAGGCGCAGGATTGGGGGTCGTATCTACTCGCATCCTCTGCGAAGCCTTCAGTCATCTACCTTGGCTCCAGGATTAGTTCCCAAGGCTGAAATGGGCGCTCAGATCATTGTCGGCTTTGACCATGGAAATCCTTTGGATCAGATTATCCGGGGCCAGCTGGCTCTTCCATACCATCTATTGCGCGACATATCTACAATCTACGATATAGATGGCTCAGCGGTGGACGAAGCGCGGGATGCAACAGACGAGATGCTCTACAATGACATACTGGACCGATCCGGGCATTATCGCCACAAATCCGTGATAGTCCCGACAGCAGAAGGTGACCGGGATCTCATCGATTCTGGACGTGATGTGTCCACTAGCGACGGCCTTACAGTAAGACAATACGAAGAAGCCAGGGCTGCTGGGACCATCGGGCTTCTGTTTCCTGCCAAGCGCGTCCGGCGAGGTGTTGGCCACAAAACCGCTGACATTAAACCGGTCGGGGCCCCATTGGCCGACTCTGACAACAGCGAGGAGAATCCAGCTCGCCTCGCCTGTCAAACGATGGGTTGGAGTTTAAACAATGGGGTTGCAGTGGACCAGACCATCAATTTGGATTATGTGGCTAAAGCCTCGCCGTTTCCGACATTAGGCGCCGTGATGGATGATGGTGTGCGACAGTACCAGCGCATGCTCCCACTGACCCCGAAAGATATGCGACTGTTGAATTGGCATATGGCCAATCTGGAGTACGCCAATGCGGCTAACATTGGCAAGCTCAGTCTTTCCGGGTGGGACCAGGATATGGGAAACGAGTTTGAGGGAGAGCACTCACAGGTGATTGGTGGATATCAGCAACTGCCGTACGGCCTCTGGTCGCTGCCTACAAAACTCGATGTCCGTACCAACAAGATTGTCAGCAAAATATCCTATGGCCATACGGAACTAGGCAAGCAGAAGACAGTGGTTCATTGCGAGGATGGTGAGTCGCTCGTTGCGGATAAGGTTGTCTTTACAGGATCTCTGGGTGTCCTGAAACAACGCTCAATACAGTTCTCTCCTCCGCTCCCGGATTGGAAAACTGGTGCAATTGACCGACTTGGCTTCGGGATTATGAATAAATTGATCTTGGTCTTTGACCAGCCGTTCTGGGACACGGAGCGTGATATGTTTGGGCTTCTTCGTGAGCCTGCAAATCGAAACAGTATGATGCAGGAGGACTACGCGGCGAATCGCGGCCGGTTTTACCTATTTTGGAACTGCATGAAGACTACTGGTCTCCCGGTCCTTATTGCTCTCATGGCTGGGGACGCTGCGCATCAAGCAGAGCACACACCAGATTCGGTAATTATTGCGGAAGTGACCAGTCAACTGCGTAATGTCTTCAAGCACGTGGCTGTTCCAGATCCTCTGGAGACCATCATTACTCGCTGGGGTACGGACAAGTTCACTAGAGGAAGCTACTCGTATGTAGCTGCGCAATCACTCCCGGGCGATTATGACCTGATGGCCAAGCCAATCGGCAACCTGCATTTTGCAGGAGAAGCAACCTGCGGCACTCACCCTGCCACGGTCCATGGAGCATATCTGTCCGGGCTGCGGGCTGCATCTGAGGTGATCGAGTCCATCCTGGGCCCCATTGACGTCCCCAAACCGCTTGTTCCGGAGAAGGACAAGGCTGTCGACCTTGGCACACCCGCAACGACGACAGGTCAGAAGCGAAAAGAACCTCCCTCGACAAACAGCAATGGACCATCACTTGAACCCACTGGTGCCACAGCCAACGATGCATCGCCTGAGGCACTCCGTCGGGAAGCGTATGACAAAGCCATGTGGGCCGCCATCTACGAGGAACTGGGCGCGCCACCCCCACGACCAGCACGCACTGCGCTTAACCCGTTCCTCCTGTACCAGAAAGACTACTGGGGCAAGTGTCGCACACAGTGTGATGAAGCCCGCCGAGCCGCGACCAAGGACCCCAACGCCAAGGCCGCGCGCGACGAGATCCGTCAAGCGCTTGGCCTCATGTGGCGCCAGGCCAGCGAGGAAGTGAAACGGCCCTACTTGGAGCAGATAGAAGTCAACCGACAGGCCAATGCGAAGATCTGGGATACCTGGCGTCACGACATGGCAGAATGGGAGAAGAAGTCCTACGAAGTCAAGGACCGATGGTGTGCTGCGAATCCGTTTGCAAGCTGGGGAGAGCCTGCGTCGTCGCAGAATCCAAGTATAGCCATTGCTCCTGAACCTTCCCGTCAGCTTGCGAGTGCCAACCCGTCTGGTTCTTCGCTGATGTCGCATGATGGCAATGCTGCTGTTCCTAAGACTAACGGAGGAGCTGCTGCTGTCGGAGCAGTCGTACAGCCTAGTCAGCCAGAGGCGCCAGCTCCAGCGACTACGAATGGCACTTTGGGAGATGGTGCTCTTTAAAGGCTCCTTCTTCCCTGATAACATCTCTACGCAACTCCACCTACACTCATCAATACACGTCTAATTGCATCCCTTGTATGACTATGAACATTATGTACGATGTCTCTTGCTACTGAAGAGACTATGACCCTGTTAGACCAGGAAAAAAAGAGAAACATATCTGTAGAAGAAAAAATTACTCTATAACGTCTTTCTACTCTATTTTGTATTCCGTTCACATTCATGAGATCAGATCGTCGAAGAGGATGATCGATCGAACCATCGAAAACCCCATCTTTGAAAAAACAATCCCGTGTATCACAAAACAATAAAACAACAGAATCGCTGGAGTGAGTCTAGTAATATATAAAGCAGCCGTCAAGGTAAAAAAAAGAAAAAATAAGAAAATGAAATGCGCAGACACAAAACCAGTCCATAAGCCAATGCCCCCACCTTGGCTAGAGCATAACAATGACAGAGCCGTCTAGGTCGGTCTAAATGAAAACTCCAGGTCTAGATAGATAATAGAGGAGGGGAATAAATATGATGGAAAAGAAAATGGAGGTATAGGGGGGATGATGAAAGGTTGTTGGGTCGCTTAAAGCAGAGGGTTGGACTTGTACTCGGCGGCGGCACCCTGGGCGTCCTGCTTGACTTCACCGTTGACTTCCTGGGTGGCAGGCTTGATAGCGGCCTTCTCGGTGGAGGTGGCGGGCTCCTCGCCGGACTCGCGCTCGGCGATGTACTTCTCGGCCTCGAGAGCGGCAATGCAGCCGGATCCTGAGAGTCAAAGTTAGTTGATTGCAATTGACATACATTCGGAACTGAGTAAAGCTTACCGGCACTGGTGATGGCTTGGCGGTAGCGCTTGTCCTGGACATCACCGCAAGCGAAAACACCCTCGACGCTGGTGTAGCTGGTACCGGGCTGGGTAACGATGTATCCGTCCTCATCGAGCTTGATCTGACCCTTGACCAGGGTGGTGGCGGGGTCGTGGCCAACAGCGTAGAAGAGACCGTTGGCGTCAACAACCTCCTCCTCGCCGGAAACGACGTTCTTGACCTTGAGGTGGGTCATCAGGCCGTTGGGCTTCTCCTCACCAAGCACCTCGGTAGCGACGGAGTTGAAGCGGACGGTGACCTTAGGGTGGGACAGAAGACGGTTGGCCATGGCCTTGCTGGCACGGAGCTTGTCGCGACGGACAAGGACAGTGACGCTGCTGCCGTACTTGGCCAGGAACATAGCCTCCTCGGCGGCGGAGTCACCACCACCGATGACGAAGAGGGGCTTGTTGCGGAAGATGGGCACGGCACCGTCGCAGACAGCGCAGGCGCTGATACCGTTCTGCCAGTACTTCTCCTCACCGGGAAGGTTGAGGCGACGAGCGTTGGCGCCGGTGGCGATGATGACGGCGTCAGCAGTGTGAGCGGGCTCGTCGGTGGGACCGTCACTCCATTCCGTCCACAGCTTGAAGGGTCTCTGGGAAAAGTCGACCTTGGTGATGGTCTCGGTGATAACCTCCGTACCGAAGCGAACGGACTGCTTGCGCATGTTCTCCATCAGCTCTCCACCGCCAATGCCGTCCGGGAAACCGGGGAAGTTCTCGATGTCGGTGGTGGTGGTGAGCTGACCGCCAGCGGCGGTGCCGTTAGCCAGCATACCCTCATAGAGGACGGGCTTGAGTTCAGCGCGGGAAAGGTAGATGGCCGCGGTGTGGGCGGCGGGGCCGGAGCCGATGACTATGTATCCCGGTTAGATTCTTCCTTCATGCTCCTCTGCTTGCCATATATATCCCAAAGGGAGAAAAAGATCCACTTACTAACGACGTTGGTGTGCACCATTCTGGAGGTTGAAGTGGAATTGACGCGCAGGGGCGCCTTGAGGTTATTTGATAGGACGGAGGCAGAGGGCGAGGAGTTTTGTTGCAGGGACGACGCGGCGGCGGCAGTCAATCCAAGGGAGGAACGAAGGGTGGAGAAGGGAAAACGACGAAAGGCGGAGGAAAACAGATTGGCGGTGTTGAAGGGGGGAAGGAATTGGATATTTAAATATAGGAAGAAGAAAGAGGGGAGGAAAGAGAGAGAAGGCGGAAGAGCGAGGAGGGGGGTTAAATGAATTATCTCTGGGCAGACAGACGGAGAGGCGAAGAGGGGTGGGGAAAAGGGCTGGCCGGCACGGATTAGCTAAGGAAAGGGCAGAATTGCAACGAGTGGGGCAGAGAGAGAGAGGGAGGGAGACGTTGGTGTGTGATTATTGAGACGCACCTTTGGAACTGATTGATAAGGTCGAAGGAACCAGAAAACTAGACTCAACAAGTCAGGACTCGCTCGGCCAAGTGAAGATGTTGGTGGAAGAAGAGGCCAAAAGACTGGCTCACAAATCATCCGCGGCGAGACCCGGTCACGTGCACGACTGCTTACCAACCGGGCTGGGCGAGACCCGATAATGTCATTTGGTTATCAATGGAAAATGGTCGGGAATAGCATCACATCATATGAATAAGAAAAGAAATAGTTACATTCAGTCGTCACTCGTTAAATCATATCACTCATAATAAGGCGTCTCGAACCTCTCCATCTCTATTTGGATCGCCCAAACCACTTCTTCCGCTTAGGCACCTCCTTTTCTTCTTGCTCCATTCCCATCCCTCCCGCATCCGGACTCACAGGCACAAGTGTCTCCGGAGGCAACACGCCTCCTTGAGCAATCTCAAATCTCGCTCGCACATCATCTTCGTCATCGAACCCATCGTCCTCATCTTCCTCATCTGTCATGCCCTGCTCGACGTCGGTGTCTTCCACCGGCGCCTTGTCGGCCTTCTTGCGTCGCACTCCAAGCCATCTCTTCCACCCTTTAGGCACCGATGCCGCAGGCGGATCGTACTCCATGTCTTCGTAGCGTAACATTGGCACGAGCAATTTGTATGGCGTCGTGATCCCCGCCGGATCCTTGGGGTTTAGCTCGAGATTAAGCGTGATAGCCAGTCCCCCTTCCAGGTTGATCAACGCCCCGAGCCCATCATCACCCCGTTTGGACGCCTTTTGACTGAGGTTGGTGGGTCGTCGCAGGAACGGGCCGGGCTTGGGTTCACCTGCATCATCTGTGTCTGCAGTCGGGAATGCGCCGTCCATGCTCATCCGACGCGCAGGCGGTGCCTCTCCCAGGTTGAAATCCTTGGTGGGAGGCGGGCCCCGGAGGGAGAGTCGTCGCAGGAGCCCTGCCCGGGGGGGTTCCTCTCCGCGAGTGAGAGACAGCGTTCTCTTGAGCTTGGCGGGTCGGGGCTCTTCCTCAGCAGGGGCATCGGGCGGCGTTCCGGGTGGCGTGGTACCTGTCCATCGGTCAGACACAATAACTTTAAACCGTCTTAAGTAAAGACGCAATAGTAAAAGTGGGTCAACTTACCTGGCTTGTACTCCCGAATAGAACACCAGTTCCGGCGTGGGAGCAACCGCTTGTTGTTCCGGGGCTTGTTATTCACATCATGAGTGAAGATGGGAACCATATCCTCGTCCGTGTTAGTGTCCATATGATGCACGCGGTTGCGCTTGTTAAGCATATCGGATATCATTTCCGTCTCGGGCATGTCGGCGATCGCTGAAGAGATGACGTTTGGCATGTATCGGTAGTCTCGGTCTTTGGGTACGTCCAACTTGGGATTCGAGTAAAACTGGCCAATCGCCGCCAGATGCACGTCGCCGCTGGAAACAGTCTTGGTTAGATATCCCTGCACCGCAAAACCAGAATAGCTCTTACCTTAATATGGTCACCCGGACGGATTTCTCTGCCGCAAGATCCTGAAGGTCTTCGATCAGATACGTCCGCTCAGCCTTGTGCCGCTTTGATGTCCAGTGATCATCGAAGATCTCGACTTTGGCGCCGTTCTTGTTCACCAAACCGCCAAAAAGTCCTGCTTTTCCAAGCGACTTGCGGCTGTTGAGGATATTCTTGACCATGGCCTGCGAAGACATTAGCATGGCACGTGTGGTGATTTGGCAGCAGTCAGTGACATACCACTCGTGGATACGCCAAGGGGATACCTAGCGACACGATCAAGTGTCGGGTCTCACCCCGAACAATCTCCTGGTGGCATCTATCCCAGATCAGTTCGCCAGTTTCTTCCGAAATGATCTCATCCGTCTAACGTATCGCTGTTAGCATCAAAGTAGTACGAAAGGCGTCATCAGATATTTACCATTCGTTCTGTACGACAATCTAAGCCGAGGAAAGCCACTCCGTCGCCTAGAGACATGAAAAGATGCCGACTGCGTTGGTCGATATACGGCCCCGGCTTAGCACCAAGCAGCCAGCTAGGCTCTTCGGTTTCAGTTTCTTCGGGGACACTGTGATGCTGGAAAAGCAAGTAGTACTTGAACGCAATATTCCCCAGTCCTGAGATGACGGGCGAGTTCATGAACTCCTCCGGGTAGGAGCCGAATCCCTCGATGATCTCGTGGTCATTCCACATATTGACCATAGGGATCTGGGAGTTGGCGAGGGAGAACAATCCTTGCGAAAACCAAGACGCATAATTTTCCAGGTAGAAGTCTTCCAGTTCTGCCTTGAACTCCGCAGTAAAGGGCGCCTCGTATTTCTCACTCAGATTCTTGATCTTGACCCATTCCTGGAAGTGGGCGGTCTCCGCAATCACCTTATCGTTGAAGATCTGGTCACCACCACCGATCATGACGTGGAACGGACGAGTCTGGTGCTCGTTGAGGACATCTCGCCAGAGAGGGTCCGGACCGCTGAGCTTGTTGGAGTCCACCGCAGGGCTGAACCCATTGCCGGTATGGAACATAATGTTCATTGACTGTCCCCTAGCTGGCACCCAGAAGCCTAGAGCCGGTCCATGATTCAGACGGTACGCGACCCGCTGCTGAGTCGGGCCTAGTTCGATCTCAATGTTAAATTTCCAGAACGTGACATCCCTTCCTGGATCAGCATACAGACGGGCGCCTGTGATTTCTTTGTAGCTTCCAGCAGTCTCTCCGTCCATGGAGTGGATGCGATTCGCCGGGACAGGCTGCTTGACACCCTCACTGCTGTAGTCCATAATGCTAGCGGACAATTCAAAAATTCCATCGTCGTTTTCAACGAATGAGAGATCTTCGCCTTCCGCAGTATGCTCCACAGGCTTGACATACAGAGGTCGTCCGTCCCGGCCCAACTTCATCAACCCTGCAGTTGGGTCGACGTACTCTGGTGCCAGTTGAGAATCTTCCCCTCCTACCTGGACGGGCGGAGGAGCGAGAAGATCCATTGGTTGGGCAAACACCCTCAGAGTCGGGCGCGGCTCATAGGAGGAGAGCGAGTCTTGTGTGACGATAAGAACACTGCCTCTCCAGGTCTCCTTGTTAAACGGCCCATTGGGACCATCAATTCGGACCCGCTTCAGGCCGGCGTAGCGGAGAAGAGGTCCACTTTGTAAGAAGAGTGATGGCTGAAAGCGCTTATTACCTGTATAGTATGATTAGCAATGAGATAGCTTTGGACTGATGATCTAGCCTTTGGCTGCTTACCTGTTGGCTTCTGGGCAGACGGCTTCTGGGCAAAGTTGTTGGGTAGGGCTCGACTGAGTCTGCGGTTGCTGCTTTCGCCAGTCTCCCACCAGGCCTTACTCCGATCGGCATCAAATCGTTGAAAATCGAAATCAGAGGCTCCCAGTCTCGCTACAGCTGCAGTTCTCCACTCAGATAGAGGAGGGGGTGTCGGCGGAGGCACGTTAAACGAGACCTTGGGCTTGGACGGCACATTTGTCTCCGCCGGAGCAGGAGGTACTATTGGATTGTTTACATCCAGCCCACTGTCTACGCTAGCCTTGGCAGGTGCCGGGAAGACCGGTGCTGCTCCAGTAGGATTTTTCAACACTCCCTGCTGGGTAGTCGGTCCTTGCATGGAAGCCCCCCTCTCCGGGGCAAGGTGTGGAGGCAACCTATTTTGATAAGCCGCCGGGTTGGCAACTGGTGGCGCACGGGTGCTGGGCTGATTGGGAACGGCCTTCCTGGCTGGGACGGCCATTCTAGATTGTTCAGGATACTCTGAGTCCGGAGCAGCAGAGATAGGTGGATACGGTTGTGCATCTCGTTGTTTGCCCTGGTTCATTGCTCGCGGGCCCATCGGTGGTCCTTGTGGGGGGTGGCTCACAGATACTGTTCGCCTGGGAGCGTTGCCCGTTCGTGCCATTGGTCCATCTGACCGGCCCCCATTAAAGTCCTGGATCTCGTCAAAAGCACGTTCTGCGGCGTCTTGTGGGGGTGGCATTTTGCTGCGAGGAGGTCTGGCTCTGTCGGATGAATCTGGTCCCGGGGGGCTGTATCTTGTCTGCCCTTCGGAAGCTGCATGTCGGTGATGCGATCGCTTTGCTCCTGGCACCGGTCTTGGTACAGCCGTTCGTCCTGGGACTGGTCTCTGATCCACGCTTTCTACTGAGTCTGAAGGCTGCGCCGTTCCTGTCGCACGACTTTCAGCCTGCCGCTTCATCCGTTCCTTCAGTTTCATTTCAGCCTCTAGAGCCCGTGCCCGCTTCTCCTCCTTGCTCGCGCCTGTATAAGTGACCTCGAGCTTTTGGAGCGGCGAGCGATCAGACGCCCAGTCCCGTCGCTGTTCGGTTGTAGAGCGGACCGTGCTCGACCGACTTACTGGGGATGGCTGACTATTCGAGGATAATGAGGCCTTGAGTGCCTCGTCGCCACGCTTGTCAGCTCTGGTGGCCGATGATTTCGAGCGTTTTTCAGACCATACTGGGCGGTCCGGCGATGGTAGGTTTTCTCCTTCCTCCATGTTGTCTTCTGGGTACACGTCTCTCCTGTAGCTTTTGCTTCTGGAAGAATATGAACGCGACCTATGATGACTTTGAACTCTGCTAGAATTGGCTGGATAGGGCGGTGGTGGCCTTGAATTGTTGGGGCTGGCGTAAAAGTCGTTATCCTCGTAGTAATCCGGTGCAGCGGACTTCACGACATGGGACGGCTGTCTTTTGTGCGACGGGGCTGTATAAATACCATTGGTGGGCGCCTGCTGCAGATACGTGGAAGCTTCCGTGGGAGGGGCGGGGAAGCGATCTGTCGCCATGTTTGCGGTGTAACACGCAGCAAACGCAGCAGAATGTGTTTACTTAACAGTCCCGCTTGTTCAGGAGGCTCTGGCCAGTGACTGATTGGAAGTGTGTTTCGGATCGGTGTTGGTCCTTCGTTGGCTCAGTTGATACGTAGTCACTGTGGCGCATTCGAATGTGCCAGTCTTGAAACAAAACCCCCTGTAAATGTTGGCGGTGGGATTATACAATTGATTCGAATTGAGCAGAAGCCGAAATGATGCCTCGATTAGTAGAATAGCATTGCAGTTGAAAGCAGTGTTGGCAATATGCACTGCAGGTGGCGGAAGCCTAGTAGTAGCCTGCCTTGGTAGTTTCCTCACGTTCGGGGTATATAAGATCGGAGATAATAGAAGTATGCAGTATAACTACAGATCGGCCGGTGGAATAAACAATCGAAAACCCACTAAGCAAAGGGGCCGACCAAACAATGGGAAGTGAAAGAATGGAAAAGAAGGGAATGTGAAGAATGTAGGAAGAGGGGAAGAGGACGAGGAGGAGAAAAAAAAATTATGGAGCACGGGGCAGAGAGAAATGCCCAACGAGAGGCGTAATGCTAATATACGATGGGGATGGGGATTTGATCGATCGGAGGGGAGATGTCAATCTAAACCGGTGGCTGGTAAATGAGCCCAGCCCTCTCTCTTCTTCTCTTCTCTTTGACTCGTCTGTTTTTGCCTCTGCGGGGCGTCCATCCACGAGCTCTGCCAGGTACACGCTGACTCGGCCGTTTTTCTTCCCACTATATCTTGTTCTATTCTTGTCGATTTGGATCGTCATTGTGAGGATTTTTGGATTTTCGTTGGGCAAGTGTCTGGCCAAGTTACTGCCGTCAACGTCGCCCCGTCTGCCACCTCAAAAAAGGGTTTCGTGTACATGTTGGACAGTGTTGTCAGTTAAGCCGGTCTTGAAGGGAATCATTGTCAATTGATCCCCTCTGTCACACCATCTGTCATTCGGCATCATGGCCAGAGTTAAGCAAGGATTTGAGGGTGGAAGTATATTGTGCAGCCTAGACACTTGCATGATGGCTGTGCGGGTGTTGCACGGGCTTGGCAAGGAACACCTTACTCGGACCACCACCACTGGATGGCTGAGGTCATTGCACACGTTCAGCACTCGATTAGCACTAGTACTTGAACCCTAGTGGTTACATATGTGACTAAAATTTGTGGTTCAATCCTCTGGCTGTTTGGGCTCTCAAGTTGTAATGCCAGTGTTGTATCTGTTGTGTCGTTTACGGCTTAGCTCTGGTCACATGACCCTATCTGTCGGTATTACCAGATGGGGTAACCCAGCACTGCCTGAAACTCGTATCATAGACAGCATGCCTTGTAAGGTCTTTCGTACGAAGGACTCAGTATACAAGGATATCTATTCCGATCTCCATGAGTTTTAAGCTGGGTGAAGGGGGTAAAACATCAGAAGAGACCAGCTAATATATATCATTGACAACATGAAAGCATCAAGTATGTATTTCTCCCTGGTTTGGGAGTCAAGTCGGCGCATCTTTTCGCAGCCAGGTAGCAAACTGAGAAACTCATGCGACTGTGAGTCTGGATAGTATATCCGGGCATTGTGCTGCTTTACAAGGCTATCTTTTGATCATCTTGGAAAGTCGGTACACTAGATTGACAAGAATTAGTCATCTGTAAAGGCTGTAGAAGTCAGCATATAGCGAATAGCAACGCCTGAGAAGACTCTCTACTCCAGATCACTTGGTTTCTTTTATACGTGTTTATTAGGCTCTGTTGTCCCCAGTGGCATGCTCCAACCTTCCTCACCAGGGGTCGGATGTGTTTTGCTATAGTCGCGCACGCTCTGATAAAAGCTCGTTGAGATGATATGGTGGTGCAAACAGTTAATTTAAGGTAATTAGTCATGCCTACAATTCGTCAAGCTATGCGGAACCGTCTGCGGATAGAGAGAGCTCCACTGAAGTGAAGATAACACCGTCTGCATACACTGCCAGCTAGGCCTCAAAGTATGTACCGTCATACGTTAAATTCGACATGACTTTTGGTGGCCAGGTATGAGACTGTTCTGCTTGCTTGCTTTCTTCGCTCCGATGAATATTTAGTATACAAGACATTGAGATAGATGAACCAGACTGAAGGCCATCAGAAAACATACGTCAAAGCTCTTCTTGGGTCAGTGTATGAGCCTATAAATCTACCATGGATTCCTCTTAGGATCCTGACCCCCGTAAGCTAGATCTTTAAGAGGCAAAAAATAACAAGAAAGATCCATTTTAAGAAGCGCTGTGACCTTCTACTGGAGGTCATATGCTTGTGGTACATGGTGAGAACCACACGTTAGGCGAAGAGGAAACATATAGACTAAAGGAACGAAGCGGTGAGAAAGCAAGTTCAAGGTAGAACGGATCAGTGGGGAAAGTAGAAGCAGATCTTGCCTCCAGTAGATTCAAGAATGTAATGGAAATTCCCAAGACGGTCTTAATCGGACACATCACATGTAGGTTGTTAGCTCGGGCTTCCTATAGTCTTGCCGAGACGCTTCATGCCTATTCCACTCATGTATCCATGCTTCCGTGCACCTACTACTTAAGGATTAAATTCTACCTTGCAGCCATGATGAGCTATACTCGACTAAAAGCCTAAGCATCTTTTGCATATCAATAATTGAATGAGGGGCTGCCGCTATAACGAATGAAGTCTGTCGCACATTTTCTCGTTACCTAAGTAATGGTAAATCCCTGTTATCCTCCCTTAATGGGTGGAGGTAGCCTAGACAACAGAGTAATCAAAGTAGAAAAGCACGGAAGACTCTAGGTTCCTTCCATGTATTATATTCGATTCTACTGTAAGGTATATGCGTGGATGATCATCTGCACTGCTAGTTAAAGCAGCCGCTGCTCAGGGAAATGCTCTCTCACATCCATTGAATGGCCACGTCAGCACACTGGAACTTGTTTACGATGTGAGTGAGAAAGAAAATCTAGAAGATGTCGAGATAAATGGAGCGCTTTTCGGACTGGAGAGCTGGCCAAATTTATGTCTATGGGGCCTCTGTCGTTTTGTTCCGCGCACTGTTGCTTGAATTTGTAATGCGCGCTGATGAATTAATTAGCTCAATGAAACCTTGAGCAGAGACGATAGTAATAATGTTATCGAACCACGGAAAGAGTCCCGCGGTGGAGCCCGGAGTTGCTTATCAGTGATAACCCTAAAAGTCAGCCTTGTTATACTCTCGCATGCTATAGCAACCTCTAGCAGAAACGCCAGCTGGTGGATCCCTCGTCTTTGGGAGGATTTAGTTACGGACATCCAAAGCGGAAAGGAGCCCGACATGATTACAAAAGAATTAAAAGAATAATATGTCAGCATGCTTGTACTCCGTAGAGGGGTAGTTAGTTAACTTGGTATGCTTACTGACTCACCCAAATTGAGACTCACTAAGCTCCGAACAGCCTAGCCCATCATTGACTAAACTAAAACAGTCTTCAACATTTCCTGAGCTGTTATTTCTGGTGGCTGTCGCTGGATGACAGCTGATCTATCTGGCAATCTCCATTTAATCTCAAGGCTGAAAACATCTCCGGAGGTACACACAATGCAGTCAGAAGGCGAAAAGAACACATTCAAGCCAGGTGATGTCGATACCACGTCGTCCGAAAGCACACCCAACAATGAAGCAACATTCGCACCGGCAGCCTTTTCAGCCACGTCCTTCAGTACCACTCGCGCGAATTTCACCATCGTCAGTCTCACGGGCGTCAGCTTCCTCAATACGATGGGGTCAGGAATACTGACCGTGGCCCTCCCACAAATGGCGATCGACCTTCATCTAGACGAAGATATCCTACTATGGCCCGCATCAGTCTACGCGCTCGCAGCTGGTTGTACTTTACTGCTCTTCGGTTCTATCGCAGATGCAGTTGGTGACAAAATAATTTGGACAACGGGGAGTATTCTGTATGCGATATTTACACTGGCTTGCGGTTTTGTACAAACGGGGAATCAGCTCATCGCGTTTCGGACTGTATTGGGTCTTTGCATCGCAATGTGCTTGCCCTCTGCAGTCAGCTTAATGACGCGCAGTTGCCCGTCGGGAAAAAGGCGAAACATTGGATTTGCATCGATGGGAATGGGGCAGCCTTTGGGCTATTCATTGGGGCTCATCCTGGGTGGTGTTTTCGTTGACACGATCGGATGGCGCTACGGGTATTATATCAGTGCCATCATCAATGCCGTTTTATCGGCCACGGCTTGTTGGGCGCTGCCCGCTGTGAACAAACCCCACGGAGAGCCGTGGTATAGGCGCATGGCAAAAATTGACTGGATTGGGGCAGTCATCATTAGTATCTCGCTGGCATTGCTGTGTTTCGTGATGGCGTAGGTGTTCCCTCAATCTCCCGCGTTCTACCCGATCTTGCTAATGCAATGTGTCCTGCAGTGAACTCTCCGGAAGTTATCGAAACATTCGCACAGGCTATGTCATTGCCCTTCTTGTTGTTTCACTAGTGCTCATTCCTGCATTTGTCGCGTGGATGAACTGGCGACAGCGAAAGGGTCAGCCCGCCCTCATTCCCAACAGTATATGGCGTAACACCACGTTTACTTCGACATGCATCATTGTGTTCTTCACCTGGGCTGTTTTCAATGCCTTTCAGTACTTCTCATCACTCTAGTAAGTGTAAACCTTGTGCTTCTGGGGAAAGTACAACAAGTAGCTGACAAGTATGGGCAGTTTCCAAAACATTCAACATCACTCTGCCCTCATCTCAGCCGTGATGTTCCTGCCCCTAGTGATCGTCGGGGCGCTCACCAATGTCTTCACCGGCTACGTAGTAGATAAAGTTGAAGTACGCACTTTAGTTTTTGTCTCTGCCTGCATCAGCACTATCTCTGCTCTGTTGATGGCATTAGTCAAACCGAGCTGGGGGTACTGGCGGGGTCCGTTCGTGGGGATGCTTCTCAGCCCACTTCATCCGGATGGTACGTTTCACATGAAAATAGCGGCTAAATAAAGCAAACGATGCTGACTCGCTATTCGGATATAATAGTTCTCTTCACTGTCTCGAATCTGATAATTTCGCAGGCTTATCCGGGAGAGAACCAAGGGCTGGCTGGGGCCGTGTTTAATGCCGTCTCACAGATTGGTAACTCCGTCGGACTAGCCGTCAGCGCCGTTATTGCTGGATCTGTCACAGCACACTCGGATGGAAATCTGCTGAAGGGTTATGAAGCGGCCTATTGGCTTATGTTCGCAGCCATGCTCGTAGTCTGCTTTGTCAGCTTTGTGGGACTGCGTTCTGGCGGAAAAGTGGGCAGCAAGAAGGAGGAGTAGAATCTTCTGTAAACTACCATCATTATTACTTCCGATTACTATTGACTCACACTTCGGAGCCTCCAATTTCCGGATCTCTTATCGCCAGATATCTGAAGGATGAAATGACTGTTGGGATTGTAGCCACTCAAGGCAGGCAGAGGCGGTTCAGTGCGCTTTTCAGAGGCCACGCCGTGATATTAGCCGGGTCCAGACAGGCA